CTTATCTGGTCTTAAGATGATTTTTAGAATACTCAGCGTATTCTTATTAAGGCATATACTTGATTTTCATTACAAAAGCACTAGGGCAATGTTTACGTGTTTCAATTTACTTTCGACATGTCTAAAAATTGTTTTGTATCAAATGATCTATTCATTCTATTATATTATGCCTAATGTGGGAAAAAATAAAATTTAAGATTGTTACCCATATGTGAAGCTGTGTACGATATAGCGACTTTGATATTATTAATAATGGAATTAGTCTTTGATTAGCAAAAAAAACATTATATATTAACTGTCCTAAAACTTCAAACCCCTCACCCTTCTACTCTTTAATATAGCCAATACAATTTAACTCCGTGCATAGACAAAAGGCTACAATCCATTTATCAGGCATTGTCATTTTAATTATTTTATTTTGTTCCTTGGTCATTGTGTACGGTTGTTTGATTAAATCGTAAGCAAGAAACTATAAATTTATAGAGTATTAGTACAGGATCACTGAACGATGCAGACATGCAGTTAATATTAAAGTAACAATACCCTTTGTTATTCGTAACGGTATCGAAAACTACAGAGTAAAGTGATGGATCAGTTCTTTAATTCTCGCTAGCTTCATTTTGCGAACTCAATTTTTGATCATCCAGTAGTTATTGTCTATATCCTAATGTGTTATCTTCAAGGGATATTCGTTATTATTCTGAGATATAATTATTAACACTCTTCTACAGTATTTACAGCAACGGATCGAAATATCGGTATTCTATTATTCGCAAGCATCCTCCTGTCCATTTCAATTATAGACGATACCATTTACCGGTTCAAGATCATTCGCTCCTTTCAGTTAATTCATTTTAATTCACTTACTTCTATGAAATGGATGGTTTAAAAGACAACAGAGAATTATCTGATGAGACGAAATTTTTAAAATACGGCATCAACGATTATCACTACCTAACACATGAAAATGAGGACGATAGAAAATCTCTTACGGTAGTTGTTCAGAGGAATATATGCTTAATCATAGCACTAATCGCGATCACATTATTATTTATAGCCATTTTCGTCATCTTAGTAACAATAAAAACGCCGACATCAGATCTTTCGCTACACCGATATTACAACCACAGCTGTGTTATAGTGCAACAAAGTCAAGATAGAACTTGGAAAAAAATTGATATTTGTAAAATACTATCGGTCTTAGTTATACTGCTAGTTATATTCCTATTAATAATATCACTTATAATATGGACTAGTTTTAAAAAATCACGAAGAGCCAGTCACGATAGTGATAACGGTAATGCTCGATATCAATTACTCGTTCCTAACATTATGAAAGAAAGATTGCCGCCGAATCCTTTTAGGCGAATAAATCAATGTTATTCACAAAGTGAAACGGAATTGGAACATTCATAATTTGGGCATCATAATTTTATAAAATCTCATGGCTGACATGTGGTAAACTATGTATTTAACTAGCAAGCTAAGATCAGAAGACGTATAAATTTGATCTTAAACGATGAGATAAATTACAACATACTGGTGTCATAATGCTCATATATATCACTTGATGACTTGTACGTTTTATTATATTATACCACAAGCAAGGGCTGAATGGAAGAAATTGTATCAATGACATCTACTCTAAAATTGATCGTATATGCAAGCCTAGATTGAGGGTAGTCATGATTAATTAAGCTTACGTTATGGATTCATATTAACTTTCGCTATCAAAGTGATCGGTTACAATGGTATAAACCCCTCCTTAATAAAAAAGGATAGGAAAAGAAAATGTTATAACTGACGCAATTTTATCCGTATTTTATTGGAATTAAATCTCCATGGTATCTGTATCTATTTATAAAAATAAGAAATATTCATGAATCTATGTAAAAAATTTATTCCTATGTCGACCAAATTTATTTCTACATGCTCTATGCCGACATCTGCCATGATGTAAAATAACAATACTAATAAGATACAATTAAGTTTAGTCAGCAAAGATATTTGTCTGACTGTACATTTCCAATGTATCCATAAATGTGTATTATGATATAGTAAATAATCTAGAATTGTTTACTGACAATCCAATTTATGCCGGAACTAACGAATTACGGATTATTCCATGTATATCTAACACATTACGTCTTTATTTGAAGAGCATACGTTTATATATTAGTATAACCTACTTTTAAAATTCAGGACTCACCAATTTACAACTAGGACACTATAGAATTACATCATTATTGATATCATAATCGAGATTTTAATATTGAATGCACTATATCGTTTAATCATATGACATTAATGCAATGTTACAAGGGAATCACTTAAATTTCGAAATAACGAAAATGTCTATATTGAGAACTAATGATAGCTGGTTCATTTCTTAGCTACTAACGTAGTGATAAAATTCGTTGAATACATAATCCGGGAAAATCGCTTCGATATTCTAATCAAATAATATGAATGATATCAAGCAATAAAAAAATTAATATTGTCTTACAAAGATTGCGCTGTTATCCATTAGCAATGCTTGTTTATAGCATACCGACAAAAATAGGTAATCTAATTATAAAGAATTTGATCTATCGATTGTTTTATACAAACCTTTCGAGGAATGTTAGCATAGTGTATGAAATTATCCAAGAATACAAAACAGTTCGTAACATCAGGAGATAAATCGCTACTTTTGGTCCTGCAATTAGATCATAGCAGTTATTTAATAACAATAGTTCAATGAGATTTCAGCTAAAATATACACATAGCACAAGGATGTAATTATTACGTGGAACTAGAAGAATCCATTACTGATCGTAAGTATTGAGCGATAAGTTGTAAAAATACATCAGTATTTTTCGTATGAAATTGCTGCAGTAATGTCACAATTCCTGCAACAAATGGGGCGCCGTCACAAGGATCATTTACTTTCTTGCAAAAGAGACCACCTGCAAAAGTGAAATGTAATATATTAAAAGAGGAAATGTTGAAACATATTACAATTTTCAGATTTGAAAGATGGAATACGGGCTAAATAAACAAAAAGCACATACCAGCACTTTTAACAAAAGTTAACTTAGGCAGCTGAGCCAGCACGAAGGAGAAAATGAAGAGTGATAAATGTGGGATGTTGTTCATGGTGACATAAATCTTGAAAGAAAAAATATTCTAAGCGCTAATTTGAAACACTCGTAATCAAGATCTAACCTCATTTTTCGAATTTGATAGTCAAAGTTTACCTTCTTAAGAGGATTAGCAATTCCAGCAGTTTCTAAGTATGTTGTTAATTCGAACAACAATGGATTATCTTCACCGGGATAGGGTAAATTCGGATCGGAATAATGTTTCTGTATATCCATTAGGATCGCTCTACATTGATTGTTATTATTATAGTAACAGTTATATCGATGGTTCAACTATGTTTTAATTTAGCTAAAGCATACTTGTTGAAAGTCTCTAAGCAACCAGATAACATCTTAGAGTCGAATTTACAAGAAAAATTAAGTTCCCGGAGGATTTGACAGCGAATCAATTGCATTTGTCCAACCTGTAACCGTTTAAATACCATGATTACTCCCATTAAAAGTTCAATAAACATAGCCATTACTCTAATCTAATATTCATTATGCCAATTATTGTTATATTCACCCTTAAAATGATTGCGGAATATAAAGGCCATTTTTTCTCGATTTTAGCGATGAAAAGAGAATAAATTTTTGACGCATTACCTTAAAATGAAATATTATATTAAGGCTTCTGGCATTATGAGTAAATAGATGTAAAGAGATAATTACCAACTAATTTTGTTGTTGGTTGTATTTGTTGGTTCAAAGAGTTCAACATAGTACAAAACATTCCATCTTTCATTGCTCTTTTAACGTGGAAAACTTTGAAATTCTGTATCGATCCAGTTTATCAAACAATTCCTAATTAGTAAGCAAATTTTATTTACCCTTTAAATTTCAAATTAAATCAGAACACCTGTAATTCCTTTACAATCATGAAGCACAATAGTCGATCAAGTCCTGTTAGTCCACAAGTACCCAGACTAACCTTAGGTGGATAAATTTTAAACAGTTAGGAGCACTTACTGTAAATAGTCATATCTGTGATATACTATAGCACAAATGACCTGAATATAATACGTTCCGTACAATAGTACCTGTAATTGTGAAAATAATTTAATATTAACTAGTTCTTCCTTTGTTTTCACGTCGTACCATGCATTCATTTGGTTGATGTAAGAGCTAGTTCTAAAAGTAATGTTAAAAATTTAAAACTCATTAACGTCTTCATTAAAGATACATACGACGTAGTATATAGTCCTTACCTGTAATCAGTAAATTTTAATATTTCTCTCGCTAGCCTGCCGATAAAGTTTACGGAACCGTCCCCCATTGGTGGATAACGTGGAATTGGTATAGCGGTTGATTGATAAATTGACTGCCAATCTTCTATCTTCTTTCTTAAAAAACTGTTACATTCTTGTTCAATATTATAATTGATAATCCTAGTGACCTACAACATACATTAGAAAGCGATAAGAAGCCAATGCCTCAACCTAGATATAATATATTCATAGTAACCTCTTCTTGCCATATCTTTAATCCATATATATTTACATAATCCTGGATATACTCGAACGATCTCTTAAATCCATCCATAATTGCTTGTAAAGATTTGAGACAGTGTAGTAGCTCATGTGCCTGGTTGAATCAAGGCACTCAATAAGTTATACTCGTAGTTAGCTATGGGAAGGAAAATCATTCTTCATAGATATAATGACAGTACCTTTGATTTTGGATTAAACATTAAGCCTTTGTGTAACGCAAAGGCAACCCGTAGTACTAACTCTTTCCGAATTCCATCCTCAAGTAGTTGCTTAGGATCGACCTCAAATTTAATGATCGAAAAGGATAATCTAAATATCTACTATATTTTCGGTCAAATACAAAAAATGGATTACTAAAGCAAGTTTTACTACCTTGATAATACCGACTAAAGTTGTCTTCATTAACAAGATTCCTTCCGTGTAGATAGATATTGAATGTGTCAACTTAGCTACCTAAATAACCAAAGAGTGAGAAGTTCATTTTGAAGAAGTGGATAACTTTTCCATTGATGTTATAATGAACCAGCCTAAACTCGGAAATACTACAATACGGTATAAATCATGTATAGTTTTGTATTGTATGCAATACCTTCTGTCGCTGCTCTAGTTGAGCAAACTCTTTCAATTTATCCTTATCGAGACGAGTAGGAAGCTGATTGCGATAGTTAAACAAAAATGTATATTAATGCTTGCATAATATGTACGAATACAATGTTTGTTAGTTTCATCTAAAAAGACTACCGGCTTTAGGTTCATAGTTTGCAATTTCACAATCTCTCCAAGTAATGCAAACATTGTCTGAGGTATAATTTGCAACACCTGTAATATAATAATTTCTTGAGTTTTGACAGAACCAGTTGATCATAGATTAAATTTACATCTTTGACAGCATATGAATTACCTTTCTAACATAAGATACAAGCTCAGCTGAATAATATTGCGAGACACTCCTAAGATCAGGACTATTACATTGGCCAATTCTAACTAAAGGTAATTCTAAAGCTGACGCAGCCTATTTAAAGTTATAGATCATAGTTTAATAACATTAACGGTTAAGTTCAGCATACATGGTCAGTTACTGTAATCATTTCAAAGGATTATATCCTACTAACCTTCAAGAAAGTAGCCCTTAGTTTAGTTACCAAGCTAGGATCTTTTCTTATACCTTTTTGCATTAGTTCGGTAAAGCTAAAAGATTCAACAAATTCCTAATTAAAGATCTCTTGCAGCTTATTTGGATAGAATAGATAAATAACATTTAACACAATATCTACAATTAGTAAAAAAGAACAAACATACTTGTCAATTATCTCCCATGCGTATGACATATCCGCTACAATATCTAAACTGATCAGGTTCTGAAGTTTTTACGACATTCAGTTAGTAGCAAGCACATAAGGGGATAAGGGGATAAAAAACAATTTCAAAAATTTCTTACGCTAACTTGTCAGTACCTCTTCCTTAATATTTATTATTCTAAGCATCTTGCGCAGATAACCCCCAGTCTCCGCTAAGAATTGCTTGACCTGCAAATTCGTTTCTAGTTGATGAAATTCTTGGACCTATAAATTGCCAAAATTTTCGATGATACTATTTTAGACATCGAAAATATTAACAATGGAATGGTTATTAAAATATTTTAAAGTCTTTTAATCATACTTCTTCCAGGGCCTGTATTAGTTGAACGATCTTTCTACCAGCAGATGTGGAATCATCATAGTTCAGTAAATTAATCTGATTTTTCATTTCTGTAAACCAAGCCTGTAGGCTAGCTATAATTAGTTTGTACACCGCGATATATAAAAGTATGCCATTAATCAACATGACAACTGTATACGTGAAACAATGTCTAAAAATCGAAAATCATCTAACCATTTTTTTCTATCCGAGCCAAAGGTTTACTACCAGAAAAAACTTCGCCAAGCTCTTCCATTCTTTCAGAACTTTCCTTTTTACTCGATTCCCATTCACTTTCTTTCTTGGAAAGCATATTCCTAAACATCTGCAATTAATTGTATGTACGAAGAATTAACAAGAATAATGTATAGTTTCTCGTTTCTGGCTAAATGAAATACTGCATCCCATTATTCTCTGACCTCTTTAATAACAAATTCGAGCTGTGAAGTGTCAATTAACAGGTCAAACAGAGATTTAGGGCTAAATTCAGATCCAACTATAACAGCTTCACGTAACTGACGACATTTCTTAATATTATCTGCACCTGATTTGGAATAGAATGGTAAGAATGACAATCATTATGAAACATACAGCACTGGCACAAGGCGAATAAATGCAATCATATATTACATTCGCTAAGCAATTATCAAAGTAAATTAGTAACTATTATAATAATTACATACCGACATCAGTAATGTGTAACATTATCCAGCGTAGAGTAACGTTACACTCACGTATAAGGTGCATTAATTTTGGAATATTATCCAAAACATAATCTTCAGTTAATGCACCTTCTTTTAAAAGTTTAAGAACCTTAAATTAAATTAAAATACACTTTTAGATTTTACAACATAAAGTATAATTCTGGTAAATTCAGTGTAATTCTTTACAATTTACATTAGCACAATTGCATTATACCGCAGGCCAACAATAAAAGGCGCAACCTAATCTATTATAATTACGCACCGATGAATCTAAGGAACGAACACTTTTACCAAACTTTACAGCCTAGAAATATATAAATAATAATTGTAAGACTAGCTGCTTCAATTTTAAAGACTAATATTATTGATTGTGGAACTAGTAATCAAAAAATCAGCGCTAATTTTAAGGTTAGCATTTTCTTACAAATTCTCTTAGATTTGTCTGTGCTATGGTGTTGCTAAGAGCAGTTTTTGCAGCTTTATAAGGTTCCCAAGCTTCTACTAGATTTACTAAATGTCCCATATAGACATTTATTACCTAAAGGTATTGGAAAGAAGAATATACGTATAATAATAATCGGGTTAAGTAAATGGCCAAGAAAACACCGTAAAGCCATGGTATTTCATAGAAAGTATATCCAGTATTATTTTACCCAATTATCAGGAAAGTGTTTATCCACTATCTCTCTCATCTTTGCGCTTTCGTTATGTAACATTTCTGGAGCAAAATATAAGATAACGTACAACATACGCGCTTGATTTGCTAATGCAGTACTGCGATGTTCAGGTATCGGGTATGAAGTAATCTGTAATGTCATAAATGATGCATGAGCTCATAGATTATCATTTTATTGATAGGAATAACTACGTTAGATCGCTGTGCCAGATGAAATCAACATACCATCGATAAAATTGTTCACTACTAAAAAAGAGGCAACAAAAATTCTGGCTCTAATTTACCTGATTATAAATATCATCTGATCGTAATCTTCCTATTAACATTTTCGATAACTCATTCGGTACAGGTACACGCCTAAATACAGGTTGCAAAGCTGTTTGTTATGGATTACTCATCTAAATACTGTATAATGGGTACATTGATGGAAAGAAGTATTCTATCAGACCTAAAATATTCTTCTGGATACTTCGATGGTCGTTTAGCTCCAGGCGCACGTGAGTAACCAGTACTACGTAGTAACTTACAGACATCATCAATATTGGATTCAGCAGCATCTTTAGCGGCGCTATAATTGAGTAAATTACGCAAGATTTTGTTGTCAATTGCTGCATGTTCTAGCCATACAGTTTTAACGTGATTGAATAAATTAGCAAAAATGAAACATTTAACGGCCTTACCAGTATCGGTAATATGATACAAGCAACCTTTCTCGAACAGTACCGTCGAATTTCCAATCGATGGTTAGCAACATAACACCATAGAGATATAACGCTTCACACTAAGAAAGCAATCATCCAATAGATCACGTAAGGCCAATTCAGTATCTATTATAACAAGAGTTAACCTAAGAAATTAACTTACCATTAATTGTTTGCCATCGATATTTAATAAGACACTTTCTAGCGTTTGCTGAATAAATATTCCCTCATTTAGATCTTCCAAATAGCTATACAATATCAGAAACAGTATCAATTTACTAAAAATTATAAGATTACTTTATTCACAAGATCATTCATTTTCTATTGCAGTCATTTTCCGTTTATTACGATGCAACAGATAATTCAGTACTTTCTTTTCATTCACGTCATGCACAGTCAAAACCAGTAGGATGCAACATACCTTTTTAAGTCGGTAACATATTTGTGCACACTTTCAAACGCTAAATAAAATCTAGTTAAAATTTCCAAGTTATTATCCCGGAAAGCTTCATCGAAATCTTGTAGTTCCTGTAAAATTAATCATGACAGTCATTAATATCTATCTGACTAGTATAGTATTTTGGCTATTACTGTATAATTATTCTACCTGTAGACTTTAAATTACAATATTAGGACCTGTCAGCTATAAGTAAACTAGGGTTATGCCATGATAGTCGTGCATGTTTTACTGTCCTAATTACGCTATGGTAGTGTATCATATTCTACTTTCTAGAAGGATTGACCAAGTGACAACAATCTTAACGATTTAGAATTGGATAATGATAAAACAGTTCATCAGCTATCCCAAGCCCTAACTATAATATATGTATACATATATACATGTATGCTGTATACGTATACAATACTGCATCATCAATCATTTCTGCGTACTTACAGGTGAATTCTCAATTTTCTTTTCGACATATTCTGAGGTCTTAAAATAGGAAAAATCAATAATTATATCGCCATATCTCTCTCTCTCTTCTCTAGTTTCTAATTTAAATACTGCAGGTACAAAATCTGATAGTCGCAATAACTCGGCAATAATTGCATTGCCACGACTGACAAGCTTTAACAAAGTTTGACCGCAAGAATTATTTTCAGCTAGGAAGTCTGCCATGTTAGGTCATGTGATTTACTACTGGATTACCTAATGATCATGCCCTTAAAACCCGCATTCATGCGGATCCGGTACAGTCTATAGTTTCAATCACTGTACACGCTAGCGATGGCACAATGTCCTGTAGTCTTTTTCTATGGAGCTTTATACGCGTACGGGACAGCACAGTACAGTTCAGTAGTACAGTACTGTAGCTTCGTTATGGCTAGATACTGTACGACACGAATCATAAATGATATACATTGCTTTGTATAGGTTACAAGCATAAATAATGTCATATGCCTAAATTACTGACTACAGTACTGTATGTACAGTGTACAGTACTGTTTGTACAGTGTACAGTACAGTATTGTACAGTATACTGTACTGTAGTAATTGTAAGTACTGACTGTACTGTACAGTACTGTACGAATATTCCTTTCGCTCCATTTCAAAATTCTAAACGCGTTAACAGCTCGTAAATTGAACTGCAAACATGGCTGCTGATAAGAAAAGCGATTTAAAACTGACGAAAGATGTAAAATTTGACTAATTATTATATGATTATATCGAATATTGCAAAATAAGGATGTCTACGTTACACAGTGATACGATATAAATTTAGCAATGCAAAAATATCTTGTAAAAGTAATCGTTGCTATTGGAAACTACAAAACAACTTCATTGATTCTAGGAATCGGATCGATTCAAGAAAGCGTTCGAAAATGAAGAATTTCGTAAGATGTTTTTTGATTACGCAAAAGAGATATCGGATCCAGAAAATAGAAAGGTAGGACTATATACTGTATGCAGATACAATATTGCATAACTAGCAGCTCTCTTCTGTGCTATTCTTATGTTGAGCAGTACAGTCGAATACAGCATGACATAAACACCAACAAATTAAATAACCTAGGTTGTTGTGACGCAAGTCCATGTTTATACCTCCATCATCGTTACATGAGATACATTGCCTGAATAATTTTAAAGCATTTATCAATTATTACCTATAGAAATATGAAGAGGAAATTGCCATGATGGAAATGGAACGAGGAGTCGATGTTAAATTTCTCCATCCTAAAGTGCGTACTGTAAACACCCGTGTTAATTATGTTACAAATTATTATTAAATAAATGATTAATGATATCATGGTAAATGTATGAAGATTAATGTCACGCATGTATATATCAACTCATCGCTAATTAGGCAATGATAATACTAGGCTATATACTCACTAATCCTTTCGTTCATCATTATAGCCTGGATTTGTTGTCAAGACAGCTTATAAAGACACGAAGAAAAAGGTATTAATTAATATTGCTTGGTCAGATGCAGTTGCAAAAGCTACAGCAACTTCAAAAAAAGTTTCTCCAGACGGATCCAAAAGGTAGTCTATCACAAGTTATTAGCCCTGATTTAATATCTATTTCTACACTATTCTATAAATTTTATTTTATTATATAATCAATTATGCATAATTTAGACCTGGTCAACAATGGTCAATCCCATATAGTTTAGCGCCCATTCGAGAAGATTTAGATAAAGGTATAACTAAAACACTTTAAATTCAAAACAGCATCGATGTTATGTTTATTTCCACATACCAGAAAAATGAAAGTACGATAACTTTCTAATATCTTTGCTAACAGCGCACAATAGCTGTGATGTCTGTGACGCAGTCTTCCATCAGGAGATTTATGAAAAATCTCAAAATGTAAGTTCTATCATCATTTTGTGAATTAGATCTTTATGCCTGGTCTATTCACGAAAGGTTGTTACGTACTGTAGGATCAAAGACTGAAGCAGCTTCTGATCGATACGGCTCTAGATGGTATTGAGAGAGAATTCAAAAAAAAGCTAGATAGAAAAAGTAAGGCACAGGACAAATGTTAATGAAATAGCACGTGCGTGAGTCGTTATAACTAATTTCTAAAATTAAATATATTCTAGACTTAAAATTTCCAAAATTAGCTTACAAGGGAGTCCCTTCACCCACTGTCATAAGGAATAAATCAAAAGAGGCATGTATAGCAATTCTCACCAATGAAGTATTCTATACATTTCACTAATCCTGAATTCGCTTTGATAATTATAATTAATGATACAGCCTAATAATAATTTTTTGCTCAGTATGCATCTTTTTCATATCTAAATAGACACCGTACACCACCTGATGATCAAGATAGTCCAATAAAATTTCCTAATCCTTATAAAGCTGTGGACGAACTGAAGGAAAGGCAAGAACAAAGAAAACACCAAGCTAAGGATAATAGCAAATCTAAGCAAGACCCTACTGCCCCTAAATATACAATTGTTCAACGCAGTAATTTTGATTTGAAAGATTATCGTGACTCTAGGTAGAATTTACCATTTCTTTAATACAATTATCAACCATTTTAGGAATAATTTTGTAGCGACTCATTAAACCAAGTTACGAATTTTTTAGGGATTCTGCTCCAAGCACACGACCAAATGAACTTTCTGTTTCCATTGAGTTACCATTACTAGTATGTTTTACGAACTCTGTAATCATACTGCAGCAATATCCGTGGATATTAGGAATTATGATCGACAATAATATGTATCAAATTATGCATTTAATAGGATTCAGCAACTGGATTAGATCTCGATGTCTTCGAGACCTATATAACGCTGCAACATAAAGATCCAAACTATAATCTTAGTGCTGCGCTTCCTTATCCAGTTGATACTGATAATGGCAGTGCAAAGTTTGATACATTGAAAAAGTGTCTTATTGTAACCTTACCCGTCTTACCGAGCAAAGAAACAAATAATCCAGTAACGGTAAATTAATTACAACGATGACATTACCGGCTAATATACAGTATATTGCTAAAACGTTAGCATTGTCTTCCGTTGCATTACAGATTCAAGACTCATCGGAAAGTAAACCAATCAAAAGTATGCTAGTTATTCTTTCTTACTAGCTTTGAATGGACTTACTAATGAAGATTATTTTCGTTTACCAGATGAAGTTAATAGCCCACAATATACATATTCTCAAACTGACGATGAAGTTGTCTTTGTAATTCATGTGCAAGATATTGATTCATCTACAATGAAATCCAAATTTTTAGAACGACAGGTAGCTTCTTTCATCACCGTATTCACTTCTTACATGTTCATATATATGTTACTTATTAATATCGTCGCTATCTATTTAGTTCTCATTAGAATTTTCGGCTACAGAAGCAACTAATACAACTGAAAGAGAAATCAAGCATTTTTCTCTATACACTGAATTTATTGATGGGTGTTTCAACATTAATAGTTGCAATATTGATATAAAGCCCTACAATCTAGTTGTTAAGTTAATTAAGGATAGTAGTTATAAATATCAGTGGTCAAAATTTATGGCAGGGATATCACCCTGTGAATTAGAGGTAACTTATTTGCTATACATAGAGATTCAATAGATACCTTAATGGCATATATATTGAACAGTGCATTGTATAATAGTAAAATTATTCTGATCTCGCGTAGGAAAAATTTTTTATAACTCCAGAAAATATTGAAATGTTATCACAAGAGAATGAAAATGATAACTGGGTAAGTTTACGGCATATGCCGCGAATTGCTTTTCTTTCCCTAGTTCATCTTGACTAAAAAGCTGTGCGATAATATTACATCTCATATTGCGCTTGTCATTTCGATTATGGCTGAAGCTTGATATAAAAATTTCTATATTTTACTTTATCAGGCCAACGGTAGTGACTATAAAGTGGCAGCAGAAGTCGCTGAGAAAACTTCGGAACAATTGGTAGTCAATATTGATGTGGAAAAAGTTAAAAGCAGTATGACTGATTCTTACGAAAAAGACGTTACCAAATCCTCTGTTGACCACAACGGTGATCAAAAATCTTATAAAAACGAACAAGAAATTAGTAATGCAAACAAAAGTGAGGAGAAAATAACACTTGCTACTTCAGAAAACCTTATAACGAGCAGTTCTGCTGTGAAAGCCACCCCAAAAGATGACTCAATTTCATCAATAGACGATTTAAAATCTATCGAAACATCGGTAGATATCCGTAATAACGATGCAACTAAGACTAGTCCGGATACGAAAGTATTAATATCTCCTGTTGAAGATATTCCTTCGCTTACCAGTGCAGATGATAATGAAATTGTAAATAAAGTTCTAGATAATGATGACAACTCTCAAAATCAGCAAGCTAAAACAAATTTAGACTTATCTCAAGCTAAAACCAGTATTCGGATTACTAAGGATTTATCTTCAAAATTTAAGAATAATTTAATCTTTGAATTAGATGATTAATCAGAAATTGCTTAAAAGCAACACTTGTTTTTAGTGTATTAAGACTCTCTAAATTCTTATAACACGTACCGTGTAACATAGGTATCTAACCATCTTTAATAATAAAACTTTGAATTAGGACCCTCAAATAATTTATCCGATTAACGGATTCAATTGCTGTGATAAAAAAATAATCTTATAATGTCTAAAAATAAATACAGCAATTTCAATCGTAACCTTACATTCGCTCATTTAACTCCAGGAATAAAAAACATTTACACATACGCGTACGAGTATATTACCTTTCCTACAATCTTATAGTATACGCAGATCATCAAATAAATAATATTCGGATATCAGATAGCTGGTGAATATGAAGTATAAATTTAAATATTACGATTTATAAGACCTAGCTAGAGTATATAAGCTCAATCACTACAATTCTGATAATGAATTAGCCTAGATTTCTGACGGAATGTTTCAATTAATGAATTTTTGGTAGCATTTTTCACTTTCTTAAAGCAAATTCAGGCAAGAATAATCTTCACACGTAGCCTTGTAAGTAGAACTAGGTAAATTGATTATATTAGTAATGCTGTATACGAGTAAGCATTAATTTGTACAAATATGAACCCCATATTATGCTTGGGTATCAAAATATTTTACTCAAAGCTACCGCACAAGTGCAACAATTATTGTTTATGTTCATTACGGCGAAATCGAATGCCTGGTATAATTATATAATTTTTGAGGTATTTAGACCGCAAAATACACATATAGTGTAGTGTAAACATAGGAGCGCTGTATCCTGTAGTGATATTGATTAATCCCATGGCAATCGTCAAAACCACTAAATATGAATAGTGAAATTACGAGTATACTCATAATGAAACGAATCAGTTAAAGGACTAACTTTAACTCTAACATCATATTTCAATTAAAGTTATGTAAACTTTCAATTGAATTAGTGAAACATTATATTTTCTAGAGTATCACGTAACAAATTTTGAAAATATAGAATAAGACGTATTAATACTCGTAAAGAATCTGAAAGAATGGTAAAAAATTTTGCGATAGTATGTTTTATTATATGATCATTCGTTGCAATATATTGGTTATTGTATACCGATAGCAGTTCATATTGAAGATCGCAATTGATCTGGGTCAAGATCGATTAATAAAAATGAGAGTAAGACTTTACATAATTAATTACTCTCCTTGAACTAACATTCTACACTACTTTTTAAAATAATTAATTATGTGACAAGTAATCGTTTAACGTGCTTATGGTTTAAAAAATTCATTAAGTGTTCGTAAGTTATATAAAATAATGGGCGATTATTTGTATAATGATATATTAATATTATTTATGGCATTGATAATATATATATATATATATATATAACACTTTATACAACGTCCAGTGCTTGTAATGAATAGATTTATGATAAATTTTTCACAGCATTAATAGATTATCATAAATAGCTTATAGAGGATAACAACATGTAATGGCCTGCATAGGTATACCGAAAATTGATAAACCGCAAAGGATATGATCTATCAGCAAAATGATAGCTAATAAATAACATAATGCATTGGATACATAGTATGTATAGTAGTTTGGTTAAGTAGAAAATCATTAAACTACCATAAAATAATACATGATAATTGCAGGCTATTAGGATCGATTTTAAAGCATCGAGAATAATTAAATGCCAATAGATCTTTCGAATCTCCTTTCGGAGAAGTTTAAAAGTGCCGTATTCAGTTACTACACTTCTTGCCTCAGTTCGTAAAGAGTTCATTCAAATATGTTGAAAATTTCGTAAAAGATTGGCACTAACAGTGAAGTTTTCGGTTATACATCAGCTTTTCAACTGGTTGAATGCAACATTGCTATTATCAGCTTTTATGAATGCTTATATAATAATGAATTTATCAAATCAGTACATATCGATTAGATTACTTTTATAGAACTGGCGACGTACCAAATAGAATCTGGGCTTTGAAGTTTAGATTGATTAATATTCAATTTAGTAGTAATGATGTATATGTACACTTATTGACTAAATATACGATCGTATTGATTAATCATGAATTTTTATATTCCTACAATAATTACAAGGTTTACAAATTTAGAGTACATTAGATATCAACATCAGTTACAAGTAAACTTAGTTTGTATCAGAGACGTATAATGTATACTATACTGCATTTGTTCACTTTTTGTGATAGCATTTTTATATCTGATGTAATATTATTCCAACATAGATACTCTATATGTAAAAGTACTCAGGTACGTCCACCTAAATAGGGGATGTACGTAGATTTGAAAATTTATATTACTATTCATAAGTGGCTGATTAAAATAAATGCCTTAATACTAACTATAGTTTAGCATAACATGAGTAATTTTTGAATTAATTCTAATTCTAATTGATAAAAATCATTCCGTTTCTTTTCGAGCTAAGTTAGCTCTTTGAAACATTTCGATAAAATTCTTTACCAATTTTTGATATGGTAGATAATATGTTTATAGTGAAAAGAAGAAAAGAACCTATCCATCAGTGATGATTTGTATTGTTATTATCCGCCACCATAATTATTAGTTATTCAAAATCAACATGGTTTATAATACCAAGAGTATTTGACCGGAGCAGTTGATTTAAATTGTGTTAAAATATTCAATTCTGACGTTGTTCTTGGTCGAAATGGTTTAAACGATTTTTGATGACGTCGAGTAAAGTGATGTGATGCTGATGATGATGACGATTGTGGTGGTGGTTGTGGCTGTTGTTGATGATGATGATTATCGTTAGTATCATCGGCAGCGTAATCAATCTTGATAGCAGGTGGGAGAATTACTGGTAGACTATTTACTTTAATTGGATGGCGTGATAATGGCTTGGTAGAAGTTTGCGATGGTTTTTTATTCACATCAATACTACGACTGCGTGATAAAGACCGACTTAGACTAGGAGGATCACTAACTTTAATCATCATGCTTTTTCGTCGGATGTGTTCATTGCATAAGCTAACTAATTCTTTAGGAACAGCTTGCCTATTTTTTCGACCATTTAAGTAGGCTTTTTGATTTCGTTTCACTTGATCACTAAGGACCGATATCGATGAGGAGTTGTTGCCATCATGATTGTTGCTATGAATACATTGATTTCTGAGATTAGGATCTGGTATAATTTGCCACTTAAAATTAATTGGTATGGAATAGAGCTTACTATAACGATCATCATAATTATGATCAATTATTTCACGTTGTTCTTGATCTCTATCCTTTTGACTTGATAATTTATACAAACCCGATTCATGAAAGTGGCTGCTGTTGTGTTTTATCGTCGTTGTCATGTTAGAAAGGCTATAATTTTGATAGTAATGCCTTTTAACCGATAAATTTCGAGACGGTATTGGCTTAACATTGATATCCGTGTTGAATTGAACTTTGCGATTTGGATGACTTATATGTAAGCTATCCATTGGTACTAGTTATCGATTGATCAATTATTATAATTGTCACAGTAGTTAGTTGATTAATTCTAAGTAAAAAGAACTCGTTTGATTGTAATGACTATGTGATTTTCTCTTTTCCCTCTTTGCTTATCTCTACTTACACAGTCCGGCGTTACACCAATTCTTTTTGTCCAATAAATATTAGGCTTGTAAGTCTCACTTGCTGTCCATATTTTCTCTTTAATATAGGGGACAAAATACGGTCATGATATTAATAATTAAAGCAATCGAATCGTACTCTAGCTAATAAACTTCTGTCGTAGGTTTAGAAAGGTAGACAACTTGCTTAGCGACAATGAGACGATTTTTGTATTGACTTCAAAATTTTTTCAATGCATTGTTATTGTCTAAATTGAATAATAAGAACTTCTTGTATTATAATTACTGAAATTTGTTGATTTGTCTACGTAGTAAAATGTTGGTGCGTTAAAAAGATTTAATATGATAGTTGCGCCTTATATCCTACACAGAACGATAGAGTAGACAAATAAATCAGGCAAAAAAATAGACTATTGTTCAATACTTTTTTGGACAAAACAATAAATAAAATGTGGTGTATAGTATTATGATGGTTATGAATGCTTGAATGAAATTCAAGATTATACTGGAATGGGTCTATCTCTACCTAGCAACTCCAAGTTTGAGTAACTGATATAACTCGATGGAGATACTGTATAATTAATCAATATTTTACTATTTAGCACATTGTCGCTATTAGTACAATGATAGTTTAAGAATGATTAACATAATAATAGCATTCTTCATATTATGAAAAATGCTAGCTATTATTGGTTCATGGTCATAGCGTTTAACTAGTACCAGTAGTAAAATAATCGATAAATTAATATACAGTATACAGTAAGATGCTGTTGATAGGACAATTTACTTATTCATTTTTTATGGAATATCATTTATAAATGTTGACTAATCACGATTGGCAAAATAGTTTCGGTTAACATTGCTAAGTTGATGCTTTGTATTTGTTCGCCTTGAAATTCGCTGTAATAAGTGGATCGATCCCTAAACTGGCACCTGTTATACAGTAATTACGAATAAATAAATAGAAATCGATTGTTATTTTACTTACATACTCTATATGATTAATTAATTTAAAACTAGGGGTGTATAATCAGTAGAAGTTCCATCTCTCTCTCTCTTCTTACCGCTATTACTATACACTATCTATGAAGGAATGAGGGCTGCAATCATTTCTATGGTCGTCTCAATCTATATACATGGCGAGCAAATTTACTCGGTTATAATATAGCCGCCGGGTCTGTTTTGCCTAAATTGACTGACGTGTATTGTATCTATCTACAGTATCTGCCTACAATTGCATCAGTTATCGATTTACCCTACCAATAAATGCAGTTAACTACATTTTGCATCTATTAGCAAACGGCTAACAGAGTTGTTATATTGTAATACGCGAAGCTCATCTTATAGCATGAATGAATTGTATTGAATTTTGGCTCCATGATAATCAAATAATTGTCAGCTAACTATTTACTGGAGATTTTACTATATCATTAGCGTATCTAAGACAATTTGACGCGGACAATTTACCGCTGTCCAATGTAATAGTATAAAATGAAAACAATATCAATCTCGATTTGATATTACGAGAATGAATTGAATACTTTACAGCGTTCAATCCTATACTCCTTAAAATTAATCGAATGCAGTAAAGTATATCTGTTTTGATATTACGAGGGTGGATTGAATATTTTACAGCATTCAATCCTGTACGGCGTAAAATTAATTGAACGCGGTAAATTATCCGCTTTCGATCATTAAAAGCGTTATACTAATAGAATGACCTACATTGCCTAATATTAGCCTATGCCTAGCATGAAGTTCAAAATGATAAATCGATTACTATAGAACCAAAATGCATCAAGTATTAGTTGATGGTGTTCTATACTTCTATTTATTTATTTTTTTTTTATATATTGATATGAACTATTGCAGTCTGCAGTTCTTCTGTCACGTGAATTGAAAATAATCGACACATCTTCCAGTACTAGTAATGTATGTGTCATATGTACATTAATATACTGAAGGTGTTCGATTAATTACTATACTGTACTTGTATGAAAGACGTTTCTCCGTTTGCGTAATACTCGTGGTAGAGAAATTTTGAGCACCTCGAGACTGTAGTAAATTCTACAATTGTCAATCGAACGGGCTAGTAATACTAGGGATAGCTAGATTTTGGATCACCAGAAAATCAACCTTGCTCAAGGTATTTCTTATTACATACGCATGGCACATGGCATTACCATGGCTACGTAGACTAAAACGAAGTGTTGGAAGTTGGAGCCAACTTGGAACTCACTGCACCGTACCCATGCCCAGTTGGAAGCTTGCCCTCAAAAATCTCGCGCATGCCTGCTACTATAGAGACCTCTCTACTACTAGTTATACTGTTCTGTACCATACTGTAGACTAGTCTAGATCCTGTTATTGTGCCATCCTGTACTGAGCACAGTTTTTGTATCACGCGTACTGTGCCTGATTATGTACTGTACACTCAGTGTACAGTACTGTATTTAGCACATGACGTAATGTCGTGGCCTGAAGCCGTAAATAAATATCTGCGGCTCCAACAGTACAGTACAGTACAGTACAGTGTACAGTACTAGAATAAAGCCGTCTACCGTAGGTACTGTACAGTCTGTACTGTACGGTAGTGTACAGTACAGTGTACAGTGTACAGTACTATGCTCTATAGTCTTAAGTATTGTACACTGTAGCTGCAGATCTGATGATAATCAAGAAATCTTGATAGCTTCCATCTTGATACTGTTATTTATCTACGTATCTATCCAAAGCTGTCAAATTTTAATTTCTATTTCTGTACCAGGTATTTCATCGGTAACGCCAAACTGCTTGGAAAGTAGTTGAAGATCACTACGATCTTGATAAAGTGTAGCAGGAAGCAACCCTTTCATGTGTATTATCGAATGACACTGTTGATCGATACTTTAGAACCTGTGGCAAAAATAATAGTGTGATCATTATTCTTCAACAGTAAATAGTTATCATTATTATTTCTACAAGCAGCACTGTTCTACGCAATCATAATAATGTCAAGGGGTGATTTTGCAGCCAATTCAACATTTGCTAATCAACCGCCAGGTTATGGAACGTTAGGTGGACAAGGATACCTTCCCGGTTCGTATGAGCAGTTGTTTTAGTAAAACAAGTGGATAGATTATAATGATAGCGGATAGGTGATAAAGCGACCGTAGTTTTTGAAACTTATCCTTCAGCAATACTCTGCAATAATGTTTCATTTATACGCTGGTGGATTGAATCCTCGCAATAGAATTATACCAAACAATAGGCTACAGTAATAGCGGACAGAACTCTGTTGCAGTCTAATTATATCAAGAGTTACCGGATTGTTGAAAAGATGAAATACTTACCAGTACATTACTGTACACTATCCAGTATACCGTGGTGTAATAATTAATGATGTTACGATTTCTACGTTTCATATCTGCAACTTATACACATACTGTCTCTTTATTTCCAAGAGTACTGTATGCTGTTTTATGGTGAAGTAACTTAAAATTAAGATTAAGATGTAATACTTACTGTATAAGTATATCGCAATTTACAGGTTGATACTATAGTTTTGATGCGGAGAATATATATTGAAAAGCGAATTACAGTATATTGCAAATCCTAGGATGGCTGCGTATCACAATACAGTAGTACCTACAGTTAATAATCTTTCCCTAAGTAAGACTTATAATACTGAGAGATCTTGCTGCATTTACATCATCATACTTGTATTTGTAGGTACTATAAAAAAAATTGACTTTGTAATATCGCAATTGTCAATTACACCCTGACATCCTTTCAAAATTTTATTTTATTTATATATTTCCAATATCAGGAAGAGGAAGAAGTACATTTAATACCATTTCTCAAAACATTTCATCTGCTATTGCTGAAATAAATAGAAATGGTAAGTATTATCTTATCAGATGTTGATCATCTACAATTCTCGTTCCTTATTTACTAATATTATACCTTTTAATTTTCTGATACGTGATATCTTAATATTACAGTATAAATTACTGTGAATTACAAAGAAATTTGAGCTACTAATTAACCGCAATAGCGTACAGTTTTCGCTGCAGTTCTATACTATCTACAAATATCGTTCAGACTATAGCAAAACTAATATCTTACAGTAACAGTCTACAATCTCCTTTAATGAACAGCAATGCAACTGAGAGAATACAACTATAATTAGATATTAGATACCTAAAGTCCTTATATCAATGATGATTTGCACTTAATAAGACTACTGTATAGGAGAATAAATACAGAATCTACTTGCAACGTTTGACCACTTTTATGTCAGTTGTAAGAGTATAATAAATTACAAAATTTTTAAAACAGACTATTGAAATACCATACCATTAATATTGCAACCTTTTATCTCTACAGTGCAAAAGTCTAATACTTTGTCATACACGTGCAGTATATCGTCAATTTTGGAATATTAGGAAGGGCTTTCGTTAATATATAATTATTCCTTTATGAATCTTTGTGCTATAGTTACTTCTCTCAACCGGCTCTCTAAGCAACTTGGAACTACTAGAGATGGAACCGATTTGCGTGTAAAATTGTAAGTTGGTCGGATATTGCGGCAAAGTACTTTCACTCATTTCAGCTATACTGTCAACGTACATTTTATAACTATTAAAAATAATTGTAAAAACAACTGACAAAATCTTCCCAACTACTTTTAAAATTACCTCATGTAGGCGTGATATGCAACAATCGACTAATGCTACCATTAATGAGACAACAAGATTAGTTAGGGAATCATCCTCAAGTTTGGACGGTTTTGAAGTTGGTCAATCGCTCTGATTTAGACCAATATTTGCTATTCTACAGTATGAAATTATCAGTAAAGTAATAATATAAATTTATCACTACATATGTCGACTAGAAAGCGGAAAAATTAAGATTCGATAAACTGAAGAGCGATTTTATGACGGCCGTTAAATCCTACAGCACTTCGCAAACGGTAATACTACCAAGTACCAATAAGTTAACTATCAAGGATCGAGTAATTCAGCAAAAAGAACACTATAGTTTTAAGTATTAACACACATGTACTTTTTCTAATCTAGAAAATTGCCGAAAAGGAAAGAGCTACTCCTCTATCCTCAAAGCGCAATTATGAAGTCACTCATAGAGGCGAGGTTTGTTCAAAATTTAATGACACAATGACTGAATAGCATTTTACGCCAATGACATGGGAATGATGGATAAATATGAAACTACTGCACGTAGTAGTAAATGCAACTGTCTTGGCATTTTATGTTAGGATCCCTACTTGGCAGAAGAGAAACAAAGACTCGTCGAGGAAGAAGACAGAAGGTAATATTTGAATTTACATTAATACGTATAGTAAAATGGTGAGATTGATTATAAAAATTATTGTCATAGACAAAAATTAGATAATTTAAAAATGCAGCAGCAACAGTTAGATGAAGATACTGAACTCATTGAAGAGAGAAGTAGGCAAATTCATGCGATTGAGGTACTATACAACTTAATTGACGAATTGCGTAATTAGTTGCAATTTCCAATTGTATTCTCCATTTACTGAAATTGCTTTTGTCCGGTATTTCTCAAGGCTGATATCATAAACGTGAATGAAATTTTCAAAGACTTGGCTGTAATAGTGCAAGAACAGGGAGAAGTAATCGGTACATTTTCAAGACATTTACTATTAAAAAAGTAGAAATAAAAAAAGTACCTCGTCGTGGACTATTAATTAACTTATATCGCGATATATCAATACTTTTAGACTCTATTGAAGCCAATGTAGATAGAGCGTCCAACAACGTCGTCGGCGCTAACGTACAACTACGCAAAGCGAGCCAATATCAGGTAGGGAGCTAGTGATACTAAATTGATAACTATAATCATAGCATAATATGGGTGCTTCTCTAATATGCGTACTTTTGTTTAAATTATAGAAAAAAGCAAGGACCAAAATGTGTTGTATAATCGGTATTCTTTTAGTTGTGGTCGTGGTCGTAGTCGTTATCGTAGTTGTTTCAGTAAAAAAGTGAACTCAACTTGGTAACTAACCATTTAATGTAAATCTTTCAACTAATTCATAGCTATTGTGATTGATAAATGTTCTGATTAGAATTTAGAAGGATAAAAGTTAAAATTATTACATGCCAGAAAGGAAATTTACTTTAGCCATTCTACGTATAAACACTGTAATTTTAAGAAAGAACCTTGCGGTACACCTATATTGCAGTCTTATGACAATCCACGATTGTGCAGTACTGCTGCTATATTTCGTACCACATTGATTACTAAAGTGGAAAGTTCAAACTTTCAACGATTTTCAATATCCTTGATTTGTATTGTCTATACTAATTGATACTCCGTGATTAACCGAAAGTGTACAATTAAACTAAGATATATATATATTACAAGAAAAGCAAATTGTACGCATACAAATGTAGTCGGTTGAATTAAATTTATTTTCAATTAATTTTTGTTTCTTTACACATAATCGTCAAATTCAAATATCCCTGAAAAAATAAGAGTCGATGTTATCCAAAGATGCATGATAAATAAAGTACGAAACCAACACTATCAGAATCATCGATAATATATACTATACACTACGTATTAACCTTTTGGCAATTCCATCTTCTCTACACAATCTCGTCAGAGCATCATCAGCTTCTCCCTATATCATTAAAAATATTACACGTAAATTTTAGGCAATTTAAACTCTCGTATAACAAGATAAAGCTGTAATATGACAAGCGTCACTATCGATATTAATTTCATTTAAGCAAACAAGCGAAAATAAATGTAGTAAAAGATTTAGTACAACCCTTACCATAGCTCGTGTACTGCCACATACAGCGTAAGTTTTAAATTTACCATTTCTGATTATGCCAGTTTCTTCATCAACCTAAGTAATACCAAAGATACATCAAATATAAATTATTGGCCTATTTTGATTCAAATATAACTGAATTGTGCTCAAGTAAAAATGTAAACTATTTGCAGCATAAAACTGCACATGAGAAAGAAATGTCTATACCTCTGCTATGTTAATCTGTACGGCAGCATGATCATTCGCAGGAATAATACGGTTGGTGACGGAACTGTCAAGCACATAGAATGCCAATATGAATTAATTAGATATTACATGATACCAACATGGTTCGTACGTACAGCAGTGTTGCAATCCCACTAATAATTTTAAAATCAATTTTATACTGACGACGATGAATATTATATAGTACTGTATTTGATTATACCATAGAGAATGTTTTTACAATTTTCAAAACAGAGACTACGAATAGGTCAACGGATGAACATACTGTATTATTACAGAATACGAATATAGCCTTATCGGTTTCGATTGTAAGTGTTAATACGCTATTAAACTAATTGAAGTCCGATTATCAATATATTCTTCATGATATGGGTATTTTCTACATGAATAAGTTCAGGCTTACCATTTACGGGGTAAGTATAAATCAACGTAATCGCCGGCTTCGTTTTGCATTGTCGTTCAATCGATAGGTTATCTTTTGAAGGGTAGTACAGAAAAAAGTAGTGAGATTCGGTATCTAAAATAATGGAATATACTCGTACAGATCTATCTGTAAAGATTTCCATGTAAACTAATGGTTAACGGGGTACTTTAGTTTACTGTACAATCCTATGTACAACACTACATGTACAGGTTGGTAGTTGCTATGAAACCTCCACTAAGATTAAGCCTATTTCATTGATATTTAAAGTCATAATCAAAGGGCACCATCTCTATTTTTCTTTTAGTAATGCATCTATCCTAGAAATAGTACACAGTCCTGTGATATACTTTTACTTCAGTAAAATAATACGCATAAAGTGTCTATCGACAATTCTAATCAAATAACTTCTGACAACACTACGCTTGTAGATCGGAGAAACGCCATCAATACAGAAAGTTGGAAATGAAGATGGTCGAATATCATCAGAATAACGGTAAATAACATCCATTCAAAAAAGCCTAAAGCAACATCAAGCACTCTAATGGTGTTATAACTTATTCAAGATCGCCTACAGCATAGATCTGTCTATTTGAGAGGTTAAAATCAATTTTTACAAGATACCTTAACGCAGAGATGCAACCTTCCAATTCGGTGGGACGAAAAGAACTGTACAGAAAAACGTGGCTTTGATTCAGGACAATTTGCGCCTGCGTGCACTGTCCGAAATAGCGTGAAGTTGATCGTACTGTACCGTCCAATGTAGTTTGCTGTTTATTTTATTATGGACTGGAAGACTGGAATCGTACACCGTACTGTACTATATACCACTTAGTGGCTATACTCGCTACTTTTACAGCCCACTTTGTACAGTACACTGACAGTTTTGAATAAATAATTACTATCGTTAGAGACGGAGATGTACGGTGTAGTTAAATCTTGCATGATCAACAGTATCATCGACGCTGGCATTTTTACCAGTTGCAAGCTACTCCAAGGTCCTTCTCCCCTTTAGTTTTAGTAGTCCCTAGCTCCCAGCATCTCCTGTAAATTAGTGTACAGTACACTATGTACAGTACAGTCCTGTATGCAACGTCCAATGACATCCCTGGTCCAGTGCCCATGGAACGAATAGAACCCATACAGTTAATTAATTAATTAATGTGTGAAACGGCAAGACGGCTTTTTACATCATCTGTCTGTCTGAAGCTACCCCTTCTGTACAGTGTACAGTGTACAGTACAGTACAGTACTCCAGTGTATTGTACGGTACCATTGCCGTACGGTATCGATACCTTACCGGTATAGGATCGATATACTGTACTGTACACAGTGGAGGCCTTTGACACCCAACCTTCTCGTTTGTACGTCAAGGAGCTGCCAACTGGAGCGAAATTTCTACGGCTATGGCTAAGAATAAGAAGAAAGGTAACCTGTTTGACATAATATTAAGCTAGATTATGACCAGAATTCATAAGTATATGCATCAGTCAACTTATGAATCTCCTGCCCTATGTCTTTTCGTTGTTCCCTTTGAATAAGCAGGACAGTTATGTGATAAAGTTCATCAATTTCGGTACTGCTGTACCAGAGCTATGCTGTAATGCAGAGGTCTGCTGTATAGTAGAATTAATTAATAGAGTGGACAAGACTAAATTATATCATTTTATATAGTATTCACGGTCCTGGGATCATCATCATGATCAATGGACTATGCATCCATTCCATGGTACTGTATATAGATTTATTTCTTAATATGCATAAGATACGCATGGAATCCCTGCCTGTGCACCACTACTGTACATTGTACAATCGATAGAATTCGACGTTTATTAAACACTGCCTTTTACTTAAGTACAACCTACGTAAAACTGAATGCTATTGTAACAGTTCTGACTGAAAATGATACTATTGTTACTTGCTAATGGTTGACATACTGTAGATAGGTAATAGTACATGGCCGGGCAATTCTTAGTACTACAGTACCTCGATATATAGCCATATCGAGCATATAAAGTTGAGCAATGCTCTGTAGAGAGAATATAAAATTCCATAACGTAATGAAACTATTACATCCAGCAGCAACCACTTCCTACAACGTAAACATACTACTGTAATTAGAAAAGCTAAATAATACGCTTTGATTTCCTACATGTTGCTGGATAAGAATATTGACGGATGTTTGCTAATTTCCGACAGTCACAGCTGCATCAAAAGCTGAGTTGATGGTCTTAACAATACAAGATATAATCAAACAATTAATTCAAGCTCATGACGAAGGTCGAGATGTTAACCTCAATAAGTAAGACATCGTATTTCGTATCTGTAAGCAGATTTATTACAAAAGTGTACTACTGCATCCAACAGTCTTATAAGCCGTAATGTTAAGATCGATTGAATTCAAGTTACTGTTGTAGCAAATCAATATAAAAAAATTAATAATATACCTTGTCTTTTAGAATTAAAAGTATAACTTCAAGTAAATATGGACTACCATCTCAACCACGTTTGGTAGATATCGTAGCTGGTGTACCACGAAATTATAGAAAGGTAGTGTATTTGATATTACACTATTGCCAAAACTGACTTCGGCTCTTACCAAAACTTAGGTTAAGTAAATGAGTACGGGCCATATCTGTTACTTAGTCACATCAGATAACTTTATTCATTCCTAATAATGTCAAGGTTCTTGTTCCGAAATTGAAAGCAAAGCCTGTCCGAACTGCATCTGGAGTAAGATATTTGATTTGATACTATTAATGGTGTGATTATAGTTATGTATTATTAACTTGTGGGCAATTTATGAATCCTTCGTTTTTAAATTGTTACATTTTACAGATAGCTGTTGTAGCTGTAATGTGCAAGCCTCATCGCTGTCCTCACATTTCAATGACTGGTAACATTTGTGTGTAAGTTATACCGACTATCTATTCTACTTTAATTCAGTTATCTCGTATTATGCAGAATTTTATAGCAATGATTTTTTTTAGATTCGCTACTTTTATCTTAAGACAGAATATTGTATAATATTATTATAGTTATTGCCCTGGTGGACCCGATTCTGACTTTGAATACTCAACTCAGTCTTATACTGGTTATGAGGTATACAAAATCTTAGGTGACATGATTACTATTAAGACAGGTGATTAGTTCTAGTTAGTATTTTAACATTTTTATTTCGTATTATAATTAATATTACATATAGCCAACTTCCATGAGAGCAATTAGAGCACGGTATAATCCTTACTTGCAAGTTAAACATCGAACAGAACAGGTAAAGATTTGTAGTTTCGCTAGTAAGTTATACGAAATGATTTTATGACGTGATCGATTCATTATGGCAATATCAATTTACGAAATACTTCTTTTTCTCTTCATAAAGTTACGGCAGCTTGGTCACAATGTCGATAAGGTTATCTGTTAGGCTCGTATAATCTCTTTCAGTATACGATTATTGTAAAACTAAATTTTTATTACTTTCGTTAAATTTGACAAGGTTGAATTCATAGTGATGGGTGGAACATTTATGGCTTTGGATGAAGAATATCGGGATTACTTTATTCGCAACTTACACGACGCTCTTTCTGGTCATACAAGTAATAATGTAGAAGAAGCAGTAAAGTAAGTCAAAAGTTACGTATTCCAAAAACTTTATCTTTGTCCATTATTAATACCGCATATGTACGAGTACTGACGAAGTGATTCACTATCAGATACTCGGAACATAGTAAAACAAAATGTATCGGTATTACTATCGAGACCCGCCCTGATTACTGCCTAAAGAAGCACTTAAGGTAAAGCCATACAGTTTACAAATAATTAAAGGATGGCGTTTTTATTATACGCATTAAATATTTTAATTCGGTTGTCTTTGTTAGTTCTATGCTCAATTATGGATGTACCAGATTAGAAATTGGAGTTCAAAGCGTATATGAAGACGTGGCAAGGGACACAAATAGGTAATTGCGTCATGTCTTCTTTCATATCACCATTTTTGTCAAATTAGTTATAAGCTAAATAATACACGTTACCCGTGATACATCATTGTCGTAGAGGGCATACCGTCAGGGCAGTCTGTGAATCTTTTCAACAAGCTAAAGACGCTGGTTTTAAGGTTTTATCTTTTTCCTTACGTAAATTAATTCGGGAATTATATATTTTATTACTTTTAATAACACTTTATGAAAAAATTTAATTTAGGTTGTTGCTCATATGATGCCAGATTTGCCGAATGTCGATATAGAACGTGATATACAAGGTTTCACGGTAATCTGATGAACAGACGCGTATAGTATAAGAAATGATCATTTCTTATCTTATCAGTAATGGTGTTATTTGTATGACTATGTATACCTTGAACAGTTAATGGCGTGAGATACTCTTATCCAGGTTATACAGTATTTTAGTTGTATAGAATCATTAATCTTGGATTTATGACATTTCATAATCACTTTTTAAGATACTGAACAGCTATATTTTGAATGTGCTATAAGCACATAGTTCGAGTAAGTTAGCATACAAGTAGCTTGTTACAATATCACGATGAAAACAGGTGTATCTTTCATATAATTTAGTAGATTGACCATTAGATAATATCTGTTTCTATGATAACTTATTCAATATATGAAAGCATATGTATAATATTTTGTACAATGCCATGTCTAGGAATTTTTCGAGAATCCTGCATTTCGAGCAGATGGGCTAAAGATTTATCCAACACTAGTCATAAGAGGAACAGGTATCGGGTAGCCTTTCTTTGGTAATATTTTGAATTAATAAGCTAATCTCCTATAAATTTGGCCACGTAAATCCAGGACTATATGAACTATGGAAGACTGGAAGATATAGAAGCTATCCCCCTGATGTATTAATAGATCTTGTGGCTAGAATCTTAGCTCTAGTACCGCCTTGGACGCGAGTGTACAGAGTTCAAAGGTTGCAATAGAGTAACACTATAAATAGCATATTAAAATTTTATGACGGATTTCGTATGAGACTTATCAATTGTACGAAAGTTCAGACTAATTGCTTTTTTGTTTGAATAGGGATATTCCTATGCCATTAGTAAGCTCTGGTGTCGAGCACGGAAACTTGAGAGAGTTAGCACTAGCTAGGATGAAAGACCTTGGTACTGAGGTTAGCGATTTTATTTTTTCTCAAATATGGTACGCTAATCGAAACGTTTCAAATTAAACATAAATTATGTTATCCTTGTGTTGTTACTTTAGTGCCGCGATGTACGTACGAGGGAAGTCGGAATTCAAGAATTACATCAAAAAGTCAAGCCTTATGAGGTTAGCGCATCCATTATAACTTTAAAGAAAGGTGGTATAGCTAGCATGAGCTAATCAGATATTATCTATAACGTCTACTTCTTAAAATTTTACAATGATATAATGGCCTTGAATTCGGTAGGTGGAACTCATTCGTCGTGATTACTACGCCAACGGAGGCTGGGAAACTTTCTTATCTTACGAAGATGTCGAACAAGATATCCATTCTAATTGAAATGATACGATATTGTTATTGTAAAAATGTGATCTTTTAGTTAGAACTTCTTAACTTGATGAAAATATTCTTATAGGATTGTTAAGGTTAAGAAAATGCTCTGAAGAGACCTTCAGGAGTGAACTGAAAGGGGGATGTTCTATAGTTAGAGAACTACATGTGTATCCTCATCAACAGTATTACAATAAATTACGGAAATTTAATTTTTGAGGCCATCAACTTATTGTAAAGATGTCAAGTGAACTACCATTTAATCTTTACAGATAACCTCACCTACATATTTTTTTAGTTGTACAGCTATTTTAGTAGTCACTACTGTATCTCCTTAACACAGTTACACATAAAACAGATATGGAAGTGTAGTGCCTGTCAGTGCACGGGACCCAACGAAATTTCAACACCAAGTAAGTCAAATATTAAACTATTTAATATGATGTAGACTACTACATAGTCAAGCAATCGCTAACAACAACAAATATTTAACAGGGTTTTGGAATGCTACTAATGGAGGAAGCAGAACGGATAGCATTGGAGGAACACGGATCCAATAAAATGTCTGTTATATCTGGAGTTGGCACTAGAAATTATTATAGAAAACTTGGCTACGAATTAGATGGTCCATACATGTCAAAAAGCCTAAGATAGTGTTACTGTTAATTATTCTACTAAAATGCAGTTAAAAGCAATATTTGAATATGATAATAACTCTGGCAAGGAACATGTGTTTATTCTATGTACGCAAAGTATTTTACTATACATCCATTACAGATTTACGACCATTCGTTTATCAAAAGACCTGTTTTAATTGCATTCTTTTCGTAATGCACATTGCTGGAAATCTTCTATCTCTAAAAGGTAGTATATTACAAATTATTGTTGATATTTGCTTACAGTATTATGGCAATGTATATATAATATATACACGTATACTATGAAATTTTGAAATGATTTTCCTCACAATTGGACAGGGCTGTTTTGTCTTAATTAACTTATACGAGTGTATATTTTCAGTCTGATATTACGGTATTGTTAAAAATGAACAACTTGTTCATCATCTACACACCTCAAATAAAAGTAAACCTTTATAGCCCCATACCTGATCTATACTTACAGCAAGTGATTGAAGCACGAGTTATGCCATCAAATAATGCAGAGCTAAACGTTACTCGCGTCCCCATTAAGAACTTGTTTTGAATTTATTTAAGGACCAATACAACATTTTACGACAATCACATCTAATGCTATATGACGTCAACTAAACATTTTTTTAAAACATCAAATATGTTGTTTGTTGTCATAACATTACAGACATGCATTGCCAAATACGTAAATAGGTACAAAGTTTCAAATTTATAGTTACAAGTTGATAATTTGTACCTCCTGATAAACAACTTTATCTAGTTGTACAACCAGTATGAATAATGGCTTAAAGTGCTAATTAGGATAATTATCTTCGTGTTTGTTGCAAGTTAGTAAATTGCTATACTGTACATACGTACTATAATATTGTAAATAGAAAGTTACCTAAAGAAAGATAGAATTTGCTAATCGATTTTTACTGCACCATATATGCGCCTGATGAACCAATAAGTTGAAAAAAATCCAATTGTGCCAGTTAACAGATAAAATGTAAGAATCATTAGCATTGTGTATCCAAAGTACAGCAAAGTGGGGACAAAATCGATGATATCCAGCTAAGATTAAGAAAATAGATATTTCATTTAATTACTTTAGAGAATAGATGTGATAGATAATTCTTAGCTTTGCACATAGTCATATGTTAATAACAAACCTTGGCCACATAGTAAAATATGCAATATGCAAAAACGTATATCGAACAACCGCCGGACATAAAAAAACTTCTCCACCACCAGTGATAATTCTACAATAGGAATTTACAAATTAACGCAATTTTAAACAAGTGGTAAGCCATCGAACGTAACTACCAATAGAACACTCTACCTCTGCACAAAGCTGAAAATAAGTTAATGCAATAGTAATTTCTGAACAAGAAACCACCAATATCAGGAAAACGAGAAAAAGGAAGCCGAATAGATAATAAAATTGGTTTTCCCAAATTGCCTGTAAAATTAAAGACAATTGGATCGTTATGAGTAAAAAAGGTGCCAAAAATAATTATTTAGAATAGGTTCTTACAGTAAGAATAAAGAAGAGCTCGATGAAGAAGGCACCAAAAGGCAGAACACCTGCTATTAACGTGCTGAAAGGATTAAACAAAATAAAAGATTTCGAAATTAAATCTACGCAATTAATTTGCTTGGAAATTTAAAAAATGCTGATATACCAGATGATCGGATGCATGTACCAAACTTGTTCAGGAACCTGTCTTGGAATTTGGTTTGTGCGTACAGGATGTTCGTAAGGCTATTAAAAGATGTTAAACCAAAAAGATAAAGGATTCAAAGCTGAATATGGCATGACATCATGATAGAAAGAAATTATTGTTTACGTGTATCTATCTTACCTGCTTACGATAACCAAAATAGCTACCTAAGTAAACTAGGGGAGTAGAGATGCCAAACCAAAGTAATAAAAGCGCTAACATAGTGGTAAATGGCACCTAAAATTAATATTAAAAGTACAAATTGAATCAATGAATAATACATTCAACATTGGGCAATGCAAATTATAGAAATTGATGCATTAAACACTACGATCCTAAGTATATCTGCATATACTAACAGCTCCAGTTGATTGTTGTCCCCATAAGAAAAAATTTAGAATGAAGCAGGTGCCAAATATAATACCTGGATATAAGGTAGCAGTCTTACGAAGGAGATAAAGAAGTTGAAATAATTATATATCAAGACATTTGTTTCTTCGTAATATCAAATAATGAAGAACCTACCAGGAATGCTGATTTCTTCCATTCTTGGCCTTTTATTGTTTTAAACAATCTACCTGAGCTGTATCCGGCTATCGTACTGTATATTCAATATAAAAATTATGTTAGATTGTTCGATATCAACATTTGACAGTATACATAGTTAGATATGTACAAACTGAGCATAAAATTTAACATTTGAATGTTTGGCGTTACTTATCAATTACCCCATTAAGACAAACATAACAATCCCGGCATTCATTAGTGCACCACGACGAGCTGGAGAAAGCATACCAAACATAGCAAATACTACAAAACAGAATCAAGTTACATCTTCAAATAACAAGAGGTACGATTTTAAATTGTTCACTTACTGATAGTAACCAAAAACATGTAGAAGATTTGTACTCCAGCTCCAACGCAGGATGCTAATAGTCTTGGATGAGGTGGGGGACGAAAGACATCACCATGAACAAGTTTCCAACCAGTTTCTTCCATCGTCTCTTCCTATAATATTATAATTAATCCGGAATGGTAGATTTATATGGATGTCTGCATATTAATTGATCGTACGTGTAATATATTACCACATCATCTTTATTATAGTTGGCAATATCTCGGCGAAGTGTTCGAATAAGGATCATAGCCAGTGCACCTGATAAGAAATAACGGAAGTAATGAATATCGAACGCATACATCAAATGATTGGTAAATACGGGTACATACCAGACAAAACTAATACAATAACCAAAGAATTGACTATGGAAAACCAATGTATCTAAACGTAGTAATATTTATAAAAAAAGAAACACAGTAAATTAGTATATTAATTATTGTAGTAAAATACTAAGAACAATTAAACTACTTCAGCATGTATATACTGTACATACCTGTACATCCGACATACGCAGATACGTATCCCAACGAGACGCCCATTCAATGGATTCTTCCTGTTAGAGAATATAGGATAGTGAAAGATAATTGAATTATAGCAGAATACTCTAAGAATACAAATAATTTCATAAATTAATTAATACATTAACTACCTCCTCCCATGTTACTGAGTATGTGTACATTAACTTGGTTGTACCGTCTAGATTTATGTTAAGAAACAAGTGTTCGTTAGGATATAATTTAAAATTGAAAGTTATGAAGAATGAATGAATGCCTGTAAATTAATTATCGCGATTCTATAGTATGTCGAAGTGTAGTGAAATTAACATGTGCATCAGTGACCTATAAAAACATACCAGCTTTTACGGCTTGACCAGGAACAGAAGTTCCCTTTTGCGGTAATTTGCAACCCTTTCCACTCTTAATTTGATCTAACGCATAACTAGTTGTGGCATAAATCGAAAAGTTCTCAGTTAACAATACTTCATTCGAGTTAACTATTTAAGTGCTGCCTTACCTGCGAGGTGCAGCTTCAAATCCTACTATACGGAAAGTTTTTCTAATTATCAAAAAAATTGTTACGCTTAGTATACATTCATAAAAGGAGTAAACAATACACGGATTATGTTTTTAAATAGAAAAATTAAGGCGATGGCTATAAGGGTAAATAATGCTTCAAATGACATTAACATTCTTACTTCTCCTTATTTTGATGGACTTTGATGTTAAATTGTATATGATTGTATAGATACGCCTATAATGTATAGACAAGGTATTCGTTACGTCCTCATTTAATTATAATGATCCTCTCAAAATTGATGGCAATGATAGCAAATTAGTTTGTAACATTTATCGGTAATAAAATAATCTTTATTCTACACTGAAGTCATTACGATGGAATAGATAAAGAATACATTTTCGAATCTATTTATGGCTTTTCAATACGTGACTTAGCAAGGCTCTAAGATCATCGTCACGAGGCATTAACTTACCACATTGTTGGACATCACACCAAGTTTGAAACCATGTTCATATTGAATCTTTATAAGTCACACATATTATAACACAAAGCATTAACAATTGGCATTTATACATTACAATAATTACCATTTGTTAAAATATTGTTGAAATATTAACTTAACGCCTGCAATAGACGGTATTAAGGCCTCTATCCATCCGTTGACTTACTCTATTGTCTTGAGTGACCAATTTGGTAGCTACTGGTAGATTATCTACAATCCTATAAAAGGGAATGATATCAATACAAATAGGTTAACAGTAGCTTGTAAGTTATTTTAGCTTAGCCACATTGATCATTAACTTAGAGTAATACTTACATGTGTACACTGTAAGATTGTTTAATTAATTTAATAAATTTTTTGCCATCATCTTTACTGATCGTTATAGGCTTGTCCGCTGATCCGCATAAAATTTCACATGGTTTGTCTTTATTCATATTCAACTATAGTTTAATGATGGATAGTAATGAATTGAATAGCGAATATCAACTTTCAATAGACGAACTATCTCAATATCGTAGACAGCATAACGCTTAAAGTCAATTATTCATTGATATCAGTAGGTCATTCTTTATCAGAGTGTACTAACTTTGTAAGCGGTATTGACAATTCGGTCACCTCGTAATACCTCACCTGTATAGTAGAAAGGACTGAGTTAAAATTAAAATCATCTACACGAGTTTATATTACTCTGATATAAAAATGAGCTAGTTATAGAGAAATGATGATTCAATACAAAAGCAAGTAATAGGCAAGTGTTCTACATAATCATCGATGCGCTACTGAACTATCTACTGTACTGTATATTACTGACTCATATTTTTAATTTGATAATGAGACAGTGGAAATATGTTTACAAATAAAATATTGAATTGGAAAGAATGAATAAACATGAAATGGGAAGAAAAATGAAAAATAATTTTTGCAGATAAAATGTTCACAAAGTTAGTTATGGCATGAATTCGATCATAATTTACTGGCTCATAATCAATTACAAGTCATTAAAGTATTACTGGCTGGAGTTACAGAGTGTTTACATGTCTAAGGTGTTGCTTAATTTAATTGAACGCTATGTTGTGGTGGTAGCGTAGTTGTACTATGGCATTATTTTATTGATGGCACTATCATCATTGTACAAGTATTGCGTATGGATGCAACATGATTACGAGCAATTGATGCAAGCATGTCAACCAACTATATAGAGATACACATCATTGAAACTTACCAAGATTTTCAGGTTTATATTCCTTTTTTCCTTCAGGAGGACAAAATGGTAAATAGTAGTAATCATAAGGCAAGTGAGCGGTCTTAATACTGGTCATTTTGACAGCCTATAAAGAAGCAAATGAAGAATTGACAATTGATTACTGATCTATTTACCGTCAGACGAAAAGGCAACTTAAAATTTATCTCAATGACTATTGTCATCTATTCGGTGGGTTTATCCTTTAACGATACCATTACCAGGGGCTGTATTCTGTCTTAAATTACATTTTTCAAAGTCCCTGAGAGAGAAGTAATACTTGAATACTAGTGTCTATTTCAATCAAGATCTAACTTGGAGTATAGAAACATCACTGCCGGTAAACTCCTATCGAGTTTTATCGGATCAAATCGTCATGTGCACGACGATCATGAAGAACAATAGCACTACGACAAGCAAACGACACAATTCTTATTAGACTAATTTGCAATTTTATCATCCATTTGCAAGGGATAAGGCCAATGTACTGACTGGTTAAATCAGCATCTATGAACGGTTGCATGAAAATTGAATTCAAGAAAATTCCACCGACTACTGTACTCTACAAAAGTAGACTTGATGATTGCAACTTGATCGTCAAGGCTATACAACTAGGTAATCGGTCATGGTGCATTATTGCTCGAAAAATGGATACAAAATAGACGCGATTACTCTTGACCTATTGACAGTGGGTGGAATTCCGTGGTGATGAAATGAACAAACGGATCGCGATTGAAAATTGATACTAACCTTAATGATTACTTTGTCTCGATCTTGATATTCATGTGGTGCAACACCAGGTAGGTAAAATCCATCAGAAAATTGGACATTAAGGGTGAAGAAATAAATCAACCCTAATGCCATGTAACCAATCTAAAGAAGGCAAAGCAATGGTACAAGTTGAATCTCTTGCCATGATATAAGAACTGGATACTGCAAATGAACTTACTTTCAATTTATCCATGGCACAAATTCAATTATAATAATAACTATTAGAGTAGAGTAAAATGTCGATGGCCACGGGCTATCGTCGATTCCTTTTCAGCTGTAGCACTACGGCGTTCTTACTGAACTCGAAGGGAACAGCGATGGCGTACTACACTAGTACAGTATGAGTGCATAATAGACGACCAGTACGCGTCTACAGACTACTAGACTACACGCTACTGTACACAGAGTACGTCTTGCTGTGTCGGCGTAATGCGAAATGCGTCACATACAGACGCATGGTAGCCCGGACGTTGTTAACGTGTCATGCCAATGTATTGTAGCTTTTACGCTTTCCCGTACAGTGTACAGTACAGTGTATACAGTACAATATACTGTGTGTATACTGTACAGTACAATTTAGTGTACAGTACTGTACACTGTACAGTACGTACTCATGGACTACTAGAAAAAGACTGGGACTGATCACTCCCTCAGACGGACGGATTTTTCAGACTTCAATAATGAGGCGTAAATGTCGAAAAAATGACTATTTAATATACAATTATACATCTTCCATGCCTATTTGTAAATTGCTGGTACCAATTTAAATAGCATCTGTGATCTTAAAAAACTCTTTTTTCAAGCAGAATTTGTAACAGGCAATAAGATTCAATGTAGTATTGCTTCATTGAGAAAATATCAGTCGATTCAAAATCGACTGTTAGCATGCTAAAGGAGTGCCATAACGAAGTATTTGGCACACTCTATTTCGATGAGATGAGGCCCAAAAGGTCTGTCCGTCCAAGGAGCGATCAGTCCAGGTCTCTTCTAACCGTCTTCAGTACTGTACACTGTACAGTACTACTTATGGTAGTGAACAGTACTGTACGTCTAGTGTACTGTACAGTACTGTACTGTATAATAGGATGCAATAAGAACGCATCCGTCTGTACAAAAAGTCCGTGCCCATCTCATACTTTACTGAGAGGATACTGGTGAAGGAACTCTGGTAAGAGTTCCACTGCAAAGCGCAATGGAAGATTTCTGTAACCAATGGAATTTCTTTCTGCTATTCTACACATTTGGCTGTGACCATCAGCATTTGGCAATCATAAATTGATCGTTTATAATAGTACTAAATGTACACTACTGTAGGATCTATGGTAAGAGTTACACTGCAGAGTAGGATAGAGTACCTAACCGCAATGGAAGATTTCTGGAACGAATGCAATGGTCACTGCCACTACCCTTTCTTTCTGCTGTTCTACACATTTGACCATCAGTATTTCGCAATCATAAATTGATCACAATAAATCAAATAGTATACGAGTATATTGGCTAAAATGTATAATAAGGTATACAGCCAGAGTTTCACAATCTAAGGATTATACAAGTCATCAGACGCGTCAAATTGTCCACCTAGTAGTGCCTGAACTATTCCTAATAAAGTAATCATAGTAGGTAATCATATTAGGTCACGGTAGAGGTAAAAGAAAATACCCAAGAAAATCTTACCTCTACGTATGTTGATTCTTTACGAATGGATTACAACCAAATAGTTTAGAATACAAAGATAACAGTAAAAAGAGACTAATATACACTATAAGCCAAAGTATAAACTACTAAAAGGAAACCACATTTTCTCTTAGTAGCCCATGCCTAAAGCCAAACTGATACTGACAGTGAATAACTTTTGTCATCTTTTTCTACCTCTAAATACAGTATATCATCGACATCGTAGACTAGAATGCAAAGTGGTGAAGAGCACTAGGTAGCATTCACACAGACCCATGCAGAAAATTATAAGATATACTAAACGATTAATTCATGCATTAGCCGCTCAATTTTATCCAATAGATTAAATCACCAGAGAAGAGAATTCACCAATAGCGTATGCGTTCGTTATTAGCAAAGAGTTTTGGGTAGCCTTCGCTCTATTGCACTGCCATGATCAACATGTTACAGTTACAATAGCCTAGACATGTTTAGGATACTCTGTATATTTAGATGGACGATTGCATTAATTGATTTATTCACAGATGTAAACTTGCATACAAGTATAAGCAAAAATGAGATGTAAAATACTTCCTATTAGATACGTACGCGTAGAATTGCACAACATACAGGACTTGATAGCTAGGTAAAATAGATGAGATATACTATACTCTACACAGTTATACGGTACTACGTGTATGTTATATACTACAAAACTACAATATGGAAATTTTGCATGATCAAATACAACACACTATTATAGAGCTTACCCTATATAAGAAAATTATAAATTTTGCTTTAATTACAACTATTAAATTTGATCAAATCAGTAAAAGATAAAAGCTAGTCGAAGCTGTAGGCTATATGGAGACGAAATAAACGGGAGTGATGATAACTCTAATGAATAAAAACTATTTTGCATATTCGGATAAAGAGAAAAAAATTACAGTAATATACAAGTCCTAGAAACGTTTCTTGTTCTAGTCGGATTAGACGGAGCAGGAGGATTCAATGGTGGACTAGGAGTTGTGGGCGCATCATTGAGGCTGAGCTTTCCCGTAGATTGAATTAATTCTTCGGGTAAGTTTTCAGGTAGCGATTTTTTCTTGCCGGTTGAGATAGAATCATCACTTCCATCTTTCTTCTCTACTGGCGACGAATTATCAATTTTATCTTTCTTCTCTATTGGCGATGAATGATCATTTTCGCCTTTCTCCTCTACTGGCGATGAATTATCAATTTCATCTTTCTCAGTCTGTGGTGATGCATCCTCGCGATTTCTCATATTCTCTTGTGATGGTTGATTATCATCACCGAATGCAGTATCCATTGCCGGTGATACATCATCATCTTCTTTCGCCACAGTTGATTTTTCTACTTCATTTTGCTGCCCCTTGATATATTCTTCCTGGGTCACTAAAGGTTCACTATCTCTCTTTTCATTACTATTTTCAAAAGGACTAACTGTGGTTATTTCTTTCGCTGAATCGTTAACCGCCTCATCGACAGAGTGAGAACCTTCTTCGTTCTCTTGTTTATCGACGCTACTGATATCATCATCTTCTTCATACACTCGCTTATCATCGTTGCTATCCCTTCGTGTTTCAATTTCGGACGATTCATGAATTTCCAAAGGCAATGAGCCAAGACCTGGATCTGCAATAATATAGGCACTAGAATCATCCATGACCGTCGCTCCTGTACTCTGTAAATGCTCTCGGCAAAGCCATGATACCTTCCCGTTCGGTAATTGACACCTATTGAAAATAATTTTATATAGCTTTGGATATAAATATAAAGGAGAGTATAATATTATATACTCTACAGTAACACAAATAAGAGCAATAAAATTTTCATCGTAATAATGCTACTCCTTCTATGAAAAAAAAATACGTTGGTAGTACCCTCTAACCATTTCCTAGACACAAAAACGGTAACTATCAAGTACATTATGTATCATCTCTGAGTACCTCAAAAGTCCACTATTAGCAACTGGCCAGCTAATCTCATTTAGAAATTCCGATAACTCTTGATATGATTCCATTATACCAGCATCAGATGATTCAGCAAGCTATCAAATAGCAAATATATATATATGTATTTATAAAATTATGAGTTCACTGTTAGTAAACGTATATACGCTTATATGAATATTAAATTGCTATTATCAATTAAATACCCAACATTTTAATTCCGCTTTGCATATCAGTATGTTATAATATACAAGCATAGAATCTATTTAACTTTAGCTGTAGTATTGAAAGAATCTAAACTTATAAACCGAGATTCATTCGAAGATAGTAATAAATTCACTCGTACAAATCAAATCAATATAATGTTGAAAACACAATACTCTATCTCACGTCTACTCAAAGCTGCTAAATCAGTTCAATCACAGTACAGTAATCCATACGGCACCTTTACAAGGAAATCAATAAAAGCCTCTCCCTCGATGCCAGCAACACTTTTAATTTCCAACTCCTTATGTTGTATCAATGACATAACACGCGCGATATAACCAGAAATAGCTTTTGCTGCTTCTTTCACATCGGTAATATTTCCAAAACTGAAATATTCGAAATTTCCTGCTGGCAAATGCCATCCCTAAATTATATTAACATCGCATTTTTAGAATTTTCAATTTGAACACATGTGTTTGTCTATTTGCTTTTTACAAGTCATTACCAGCAGTATCTAGTAAACACCTAACCAAAAATATTTATTATCATCTAACCTCCTCATGCTCACACAAAAATTTGACAAAAAATACTTTGTTGTCTACGTAAAATCCCAAATCAGGATCCTAAAAGATGAGATCACAAATAGCAAATATTATTGTAATTAACTAATTGTAGGAATTATTCGTTTCCTAGTGAAATAAAATAATTTTAATGCTTTATGATATTCTAATTTTATTGAAACCTTTAGTCCTTCTTGCTCTTCCTGACTTAAAGTCGTTTCTTCCACTTTCCAATCAAGAATTAATAATCGAGGTTTTGGAGTAGATAAAATACTATCAGCGATATTGGTTATCTGCCTTAAAAGATTTCTTTGAGCCAGTTCCAAGAGTTCCTATAGGTTATGGATAGAATAAAAAATGTTGTGATACATATTACATGACTCGACTGAAATGGTTATAGTAAGATTGATTTCACCTAAGAGAATATTGGCTATTAACTTAATTTGGTACTGTTCATATTATTTTTTATTCATCCATACCAGAAATTGTAAATGCTTCATTTCTAGCGTATCTTCTGTAGTATTTGCTTCCGCGGTATCTTTAGATTTATCAGATATTCTAATTTCTTCTTGTATGTATTTGGTTATTTGATTGACTTTATCCTCGCTTGCATCATCCTGTAAATTAATCTAAAAATTGAGAAATACCAAAAGTTAAATTAGATAGCCCCAATTTAAGTAATGTATTTACAGCATAAGTATATAAACAATCAAGAAGTAAAATACCTTTGGCAAGCTTATACTAAGCATTCCGACCTAAAGTGAAAAAAAGTGAAAGAATTTTTTAATTCCTCGAAAATGTAAAATCTTAGATAATCTAGGATATTTCAAGAATACTTGCTGGCATAAAATGTTACTGAATATCATAGCAATTTTATATCTAATATTCTGGTAGTTCCTTTAACAGGGTATTCTGCCATTTTTTTTTACCTCTGTCGACAACCATTGGTAACCGGTGCCAACAACTGCTAAAATAACTGGTAATTTTAAACTATTTAGAGCAAAGCGGAATTCCATGAGACAATTTCTGGATTTTACATACTATATTTCAAGAGTAAACGCAATAAAACAAAGTAAGTATGCAATTCTTAAACATTCTGTAAGACTATCATAAGTTTACTGTAGTATCATGCTAGATTACTATTGATCTTAACAGGGTATTTTGAGGAATTGGAAGTAGTCCTTACTGAACACTACGCCTTTATTGTACATAGCTATTCAATTCTATCTATCAGTAGTCAATGGTAATAATTAAAAATTGTAAGCCTTTTAACATCCCCTCAATCAGTACCTCAACAGTTACAATAATAGCAATATAAGTTGAAATTAATTAGCTGTATTTGAAGTAAGCAATGACGAAGTACTAACTTCATCTGAAACGCAGGCTACCATAACCTTGGCTTGTTGTAATCCAGCAGCAATATCTTCGAATAGACCGGTCTAGCAAAAAAGATATTGGGGGCTTTTATCGCAATTTTTATTCTTGCATAATACCATTAGCTATAGCATTACTCCATCCACAGGTTAATATACCTTCCCGACATTATTAACATCAATCCAACATGAAATGCCCCTTTCTTCAATCTGTTCCTTTAACTGCCTTGGATCTCCTATAATAAAGAATTGATATCAAACACAAAAGAATGTATAAGGATTTAATATACAGTGTAAGGATAACTAACTAAGATCTTATTTAAGGCAATACCAGTGGCTGTGAGTTCAATAAAAAAATAGATATAGAGAAAGATTTATAACCTCTTCCAATAGCTCCAGGTAATGGAACCGTCCCTAATTTGCACGCTAGCTCTGAATTTGACCATGAATAACTAATGAAACAATCACCATAGTTCACCTAATTGTACCAATAGTAATAAACTCTATTTAATGTAAATAATTTAACTTTGGCATTAACATCGATGGCTTTTACTATAAATATGATCATCAAAGAGAATGATACGGTATGCTAATGAACACTGCGGCAGTTATTGGTCTACCTGGCGATTACGTTTGTCGTGTAATTTAATTCGATTATCAAGTTCATCAAATTTGATATCATACTTATCAAGGTCTGACATGTCGATGTATACCTTTAATTTTATAGTCAGAGAATTTATAAATAAGGAAAATGATATCAAAAAGTGAAAACACGATCAGAAAGCTCGATAAGTAAGATCAATTTCAAATTATAACTTACTTCGTCAGCCATCAACATGCCTATACTATCTGTTTTCCATTCCCAGCTATTATTGATAATAACGAGTGCAATAGGTTTCCGCAAGAATGCTGTGATGTGGCTCAATTCCAAGCGACATTTTTCATCTTTAATGTATTCATCCGTCATACAGATTATGACAATCTTTGGTTGAGCAGAGTCATTAGTAGGAGTATTAGTAACGTAGTTAATTAAAGTTTTCCAACGTATCAGTTTTTCTATTTATACTAATTTATTATATGATAATTAATAAGCATTGTTTACTGGAATTTACGTCTCATAGGGATTTGTAAAGTTACTCTTGCCAATTATTTATATTTCCAGAATATTGTAACTGATCTTAAAATGAATCATTAACACGTACATTAGACTGTTTAATAGCCAAAAAATCTGCATCTTGACTGCCGCTTTCAGATTGCTTTCGATAACTGTGAAAAAAAGATAAGAAACATATCCGGAAATTTAATATACATATTTTCTTGCGAAGATGCCTTTAGCATAAATATTCCTATAGGCGATAGTAATTCCACGGAAATCCTACTGACCAAGAATATCCTTTTGAACATAAATCATTGTAAATCCTTGCTGGTACACCAGTATCACTATCTAAAGTACTTATATAAGCATCTAATTCGTAACTAGCGGAAAGATTCGTCAAAGTTCGCATTGAATTCCTTAAATGTAAGTCAAATTCATTTGGGGATTCCGGTGGAATAACAGCTAGGCAGATCAGAAGGAAAATAATTGTAATGTAATTGCTATAAATATCACTAAGATGTCGTAATCAATTTTATGTCGTACTATGTTAAAATTATTATTGTAGACTAATACAGCAGCTAAATCGCTACTGATATTATAGCATAAGATGATCATAAATTGCAAGTAATTTAATATTAGATTTGTACTTACATTGCAGTTCATGTATTGATACACTATGAAAGTTGTGTTCGCATTGCAAAAACGCAGCTTTTAGTTCGGAAGCTCGTCGTATTCTTGTTGATCTGAACATGGAAGGATCTCGTGAACCCTAAGCGATGACCCCATAACAATTTTATGTCAATTTTTTCAACAGAGACACAATACATATATTTATAACACACTCTATTTAAAACAATTTAAAGTCTTTATCTGGTACCTGATTCAAGCAATCTATACATGGCACCTCATATTCATATGAGATACCATGAAAAGCTTCTGCTATTAGCGATTCCAAGATTTCATGTATCAGGAAGAGAAGATTATTAGGTGATATACCGCGAACTTCTATCAATAGGTTATCGGTATTCCTAAAAATATACGATATACATAACTTTACAACTGCATACATCATGAAATTAAATATATACAGTAATTCTGAATAAAATATTGTACAGCCGAATGCATCATATACGAGTACTTAGTTACTCGGTCATAAGTTTCAATTATGACGTTTCGTTTGAATACAATTAAGAAAATTTTTATTTTAAGGACTTAGATAACTAAAATATCAACTCCATTTTTTACCGTAACTGCTTCATTACGGCCTTGTTTTCATTCTTCACTAATAAAGATCCAGTTTTCCATATAACTTGATTGTCAGTAAATTTACATAGCCTGACCTGCAGAATATAATTGTAGAGGATGATTTTAGAAACGAATATTTATCAAAATTATATTACATTTTCGTTAATATCTTGACCTGTACACGATTAAAAAGTCCTGCTGGTAAATATTCGAATATGTATTTCATCTTCGTCGCTTTGATATTACTATTATCAATGTCTTCAATCCAATCAAACTGAAATAGACGATGTTACTTGAGATATTCTTGGATAAGCAAGATATAATTTAATGGTAAGAATAGAAAGATCTTTATACCTTAGGTTCAGTTCCTGGTAACAAGCATGGAACAAGATTAACATCTTGTTTGGGTAAAGCATAACTTAAATCAAATTGTTCTGTCAATTTCAATAACCATTGGTGATGCTGTTTATCATACTGTTTCCATATTTTGGCCATGTCGGAATGTTTAAACTTTCCTTCCTGTGGACCAATAAAAATCATATTGGTGAGGAGATTTAGTTATAGTTTCTTTTACAGCAGGCTGATATTATGATAATATATCCTGCTTACTTAATAATTTATGGCATCTGTAACTGTATAGTATAAGTATATACCAATTACCTTAATAGGTGTTTCGTGAACTGAGACTACACAAGCCATTGCATCAACAATCCACTGTGGATCGATGACAACTCTATCTCTTAGCGCTATATTATTAAAATGTTGTACAGAGCCAAGATCATGGAGAAATCCGATAGCCTGTCTTAACTATCAATCATAAAGATGCAAAACCAGATATATTTTTAAGGCGAATTAGATACCTTATTTGCTAGCTTTATTACGGTAGACATGATGTAATAATGAGAATAATATCATAATTATTTTATATAAATAAAATGTGGAAGGGTTTATTTATGGGAATAAAATACCTCCGTATTGTCAAATATTCCTATTGAACTGGCAATTTCAGTAACTTCATTCCAGGTAAGCACTTTGACTGTATTTCCTTTCCTAATTTCAAGCATAATTAGGATTAGTTAAGATTATTCAAGCCTAAACTAAGGAAGATAGTAATTACCTAAGCGATAGTGATTAGGTAAATTAATCTAGAATACGCGTATAACTGTATAGTATTATGGAACCAGTCCAATTTTCATATATTTGAAAATTACTATTTTGGCATAAATGCTCTATAATTATAAAACTATAGACAGCCGTAATAATACAATTATAAAGGTATTATATATTTGTATAATATTAATTAATAAAGCTATCCAGCTTTGATAATGAACAGTAAACATAACTTTATGTTAAAGCTATCTAGTATCTCATAATAAAAGATAAAAGGTAGCCAAAAAGTAAAACAATTACTAGCATATAATTTAATTTACATACTCTAATATTGCTTTCTCTAAATTTAGCCAAACTTGAGGAATTTTTTCTCCCATATACTTTTGTTGTAGCGTTTCTTTTATTAAACAATCTTTCAATTTGGGTATGCCCTAGAGATTCATTTATAAACAGGTCTTAAGTATCATTTGATGGGAAATTAGATTGATTTCTGATTGCAAGTTGCATTCAAAGGAAAGCAAAATCGTGTTCTTTACCGTGCCAACAAATGAGCTAACGTAATGAAATCCTACAATTTGCTGATATCGATTTTTCATGACCTCTTCAGGTAATTCAGTGACAGAAACCTGCGGGATAAGATATAATTAATCTTAATTACAGGATCATTTAGGGAAATATTTCACTACGGCAAGGTTAACTGATCTTTAAATCTAATAGAAATTACGCCTATTTATAACTCCTCAATGACGAGGAACAAAGCTTATGTATAACTGTAATTTATTTTGACTCTCAGAAAAAGACCAATAAAATCAATTCAACACGATATGAAATCATGTTAAGCTTATAAGCAATCTACCATATCGCAATGAGTTCCAATGACAAAAACTGGTGCTTTAGGAGCGTGACAAGCTATCGAACTTAGCCAGAAATCTAAACCAGCATGTTCATGACCTAAGCGCGTATTCCATACCAAGAAATAGACAGCACGATCGGAAAGGAAAAACTACACGAGAAATGTGGATACTTCGGGTGTTAATAATAGTTTAAGTACTTAATTTTTATTCTAGCGAAAGTTTTGATAAATTTACAGAATTAAAACTTAAATCTTAGGACATAAAGTAGGCAAAGATATCAATTTTACCTGGTGAGTGTTGTAGTACAATGTTTGACCAGCAAAGTCCCATATACTGTATTCAATTCTGCCTTCATCAGTTTTAACTGTCCAAGTATCAATATCAATTCCATCTGTGATTTCTCTTTCTGCTTCAGACTCATATATTTGGCCATATGGTGATAACAAAGCTTCTACCAAGCTTAAAGTAGCGTAAAAAATTTCATCATTAAACCGATGATCAATTACAGTTAAACTAAATTTCAGCAATAAGTTATACATAATAGCCCAAGCCATCTTCAAAAATTGGTTGATGGCAATAAATTGATGTCAATTTTTAATAACTACTCTAAAAGATACTAAAGGACATTTGATACTCTTTAATTAATAATCATTGCCTGCTAACCTTGTCTTTCCAGCGCCTCCTAAGCCAACCATCATTAACTTTGTTCTTTTACACTCAACGGAGCCAGTCAGTAAACGTTTTAGATATCCCATAATGGCTTGAAACCCACGATTTTTGATTTCTGGTGGCGGTGTCTTTAGACTGTGTGTTCCCCGTAACGATAATTCTTTTAGCGGTAACATGGATATAACACCAGGCAATGAAGTTAGTTTAGGATTATCAGATAAATTAAGATTGATTAAACTGGTTAAATTGCTTATAGCTTCTTCTGAGATGGTGGAGAGCGCTAAGTGCGTCAGGTGTAACTCTTTTAACTTCGTAAAGTTTTGAAGATTCTTCAGAAAACTCCCTTCATTTTCTTCATTTTCTTTCCTGCCTTGTAATCGAGGAAAGCTAAGATATAACTTTGCATTTAGATTAATCATTTCTTGTGTATCCAAGATACCGTTGGCATTGGTATCACATTCATCGAATAAACTTTCAATTTGCTAAATAATACAACAAACAGTTTAGTGTATAACTAAAAATTAATCTTAAAAAGAATTATAATTAGACCTAATCTACGTCTCGAATTTTCGTTAACCGAAAATATCCTACCTCTTTCGTGTAAGCATTAACCTTTACGTGTTCTGATGGATGCATCAACAGATCTACAATAGTCTCTTTAGTAATTATTTTATTATGCAAATAATCTTGCGATGTTACTTGAATCCATGGCACTCCATTAAGAGACAGTTTTGACAAATTTTGCAAGGAGGAAAATGTATCAGGCAAGTAAGTTAAAGTGTGACCAGTAAGATTTAAAGCCTCCAATGATTTCAATTGGCCAATATTATTGCTTAACTGATCAATGGGGTTGTAAGCTAAATTAAGCATTTTTAAGTTGGTTAATGTTCCGATATCATCCGGTAATCGACGAATGAAATTTGAGGATAAGTCGAGAGATATCAGGCTATCAGAAAAAGCGCTAAGCAACCCTTCTGGAATATTGGTAATTTCGTTATACCCTATAAATATCTGTTGAATATTCTTTAGACATTTCATTCCCAGTGGCAGTTCCTTTAATTTATTACCACTGAAATTAATATTAGTTAAGGTTGTCGAGAATTGCTGAAAGACCTGCTCTGGTATTTCGGCGATTTTATTATTATACATTTTCATATTGCATAATTTATTCAGTGACAATATTGTATCCGAAGGGAATTCTTCCAAATTTTGATCATTTCCAGCAATAGCCAAAGTATGGGCTGGACAAATATAATGAATCTTATTGGAAGCATATCTATCTTTAATTTCTACAGCATTGCAGGTAGCACACTTTTCTATCGCCTCAGCTGTTAGCTTTTCTATCTCCTACAGTCAATATAATTAATTTTGATTACTAGAGAAATGAAAACTGATCAAAGTGGTTTGTGATGATTAGGGCTAGTATAAGATGAAAGAATAGGATACCATAATTTCGTACGTAATCGTTGAGAAAATAAAGTATTAATTGTCTTTGTATTAATCCGTCAGCAATTCAAGTTAATAATTATTTTGATTGAATGATTCCATAAATTATTAAATCTTATATTTCGAGACATTATACATACAGGAATAGCTTTCATTATCGAATTTCGATCCAGACGTTGACAAATCTTGAGTGCAGGTACATCCAACATTGTCGTTATCATATTCAAAATTACTTCTGCCTGCTTTACAAACTATAATATAGGAACAGGAGAAATATGTAGAAAATATTAGATGATCGTAATCAAATACTTTACCTTTTACTCTCCGATCGAGTAAAAGCTGTATCCATAGCTTAGATATATGCAATAAAATAACTATTGTGCAATTGCAAATATCATACTAGATTCTTCCGTACGTACTTTGTCATCTTCGATTTTATCCTCTTGTAAACCAAATAATCTGAGCGCTTTACTAGATATTTTATAGACGTTCTTTATACAAGAAAACGCAATATAGTAAATAATTTACATTAAGTTTGCTATCAACTAACAGGATTTTAATATCATAGATTTTAAGTAAATGAAAGCTTGTAATTATAGTTAAATAATTTAATTGAGGAAGTAAATTACAGTTTAATTTATATTTTGATACCTGTAATTTAATTAAATCTAAAATAATATGGCTAATTAACCATATAATGACAATGGATTGTTGGCTCCATTGCGAATAGCAGTCAGCTCCTGCAATTGGATGGCCAGTCTCTTCAAAACCATGTATATCGATTTCCTTTGCATCAAAGCATCCTATGCAATAGTAACAGAAGGAAGCAATAAAGACAAATTAACTGGTTGTAAGTGAGAATTGCAAATTTACGACTTATGGGTTTTATATGAGAGCGAAAATACTTGCCTGAACCAGTACATAGTAGACTAATATATTTTTTATAATTGTTTCGCCAAAATCTCCAGCTCAATAGATTTAGATCCTCAAAAGAGTCTAACTTCGGAAAGTAGAGCATGAATGGACATGCTGTATCACGGGTAATGGTATCAAGGAATATTTTTATGGAATTTTCAGTTTTTTCATTCATTAAACGATGTACACGTGATACTTTAACCAAGATTATTTAAAAAAATTAGAGTGTTGATGAGATTGAGTCACTTTTATTCCTAAATAGGCGTGAAATCAATGTATAAATTACAATAACGTCCTAGCAGCTGCCCATGTATTGTAAATATATTTAAACCGCCAACTGTCCTAATATAATACTATAAATGTAATCTAACTTATACAATATACTTTCATTTTCTTTTATCTGTTCATTGCATAGATTAGTACTTCTCTAGAAAGTATGCAACTGACGTTCTTAGATCTTCAATTGGACTGTACAATATATTTGTGTATTTGTTATAATTACCTCCAAAATCTCCTTGGAGTTTAGTACAGCTTTGAAGAGTACTGGCATAAAAAGAAATCTTCGCGGGATCTTTTTCGCCAAGTTGTTCCTGATTAAAGAATCAGAAATGTTATCATGTAATCCATAAGAAGTATTATTTTTATATTACTGATGAGTGAAATCGCTTATTAAAAACATCTCAAGTACATATTCTCTATGTATAAATGTTGGTTTTAAACTCTTATGACCAGGATTGAACCTATTATTCAGTAAAAGTAAAGATACTTAAGCATACCCGTTAACCCGTATGTATTATTTTATTAATTTATGGTTTAATAAAATATTATTTAATGTCAGCACATAATAACATAAAATAATTTTTACGATTTGCAGACATATATCTTACTGGTGTAAAAAGCTCTACAGGGGCAGCGACAGCTTGAATACTTTCTAGATATTGAGCCCATTTAAAGTCAGGCTTATTGTCACCTAATTATTGGATTTTAAAGCAATTTTTAGAAATAATTCATAGAAATTATAGGTTAAATTCATTAGAACTAGCCGAGATTGCAATACGTATGTCATCGTAGATGTTAACGTAAATATTTAGGTACCTTTGGGGGGTTCCAATTGCCGATGATAATTATTCTCACACCAACCAATTGGATGAATATCTGTTGAAGTGCTCTTGCAAGTGTAATCATATTTTCTGGTCCAACCATCAAAATGGATTAAAAGTTCATTATCATTGACATCATCGACCGTCGCAACACACATCAAGCTGGGATTCAAGCGATCTTTAGCCTCTAGTCTCATGCCTTTCTCCCAAGTGACAAATTTTGCTCCTTGAGTTATCTATAGCAAAAAATATTAATATGTATTTATCAAAGAGCTTTAGAAAGTTAAGTAATGGTGATTTTATTCCCGTCTTTCTGAATAACTACCAGAACCTAAATATTATCATTATTACTATATTCAAATAATCCCTTTTAAATCTTAATTTAGTAGAGAAGCTAAAAGTTCTACTAAATATGTAACTCAGGCACCATGTTTCGAGTATACTGTATTAATTACTAAATTCTTAAATAGTCAATATATGATTTGACAATATACGAAAATTATACAGGGTAATTGCTTAATCATTTTCGGCTTTAAATAGAATATAATGAATTAATGAGATATAGCTTACCGGAATTGTATTGCCTTCAAATTGTAGGATAATGCGGCTATCATCTGCGGTGGTATCAACGCAATGGATTATCGGATAATAATCTTTATTGTCAGGTTCATTGACGACAAGCAGTACTAATCCATTTCTGCTAAATACAATTTCCTTCTATGATCATACAGTGTAAATAAAAATAAGATACTATTAATGGTTAAAGAAATGATTGAACTAAAGGTGTATGTTGTATTGTTTGACTTTTGGAAACTAATCTGAGCGCTACTTCATTAATTTTGTTCGAAAATACAACTATTGCAATTGCAGTTGGTTTAGAAACCGGATTCTTAGAATCGATTAAATTTACATTTTCAAAATATTGACCGTCATCACCAATATCAAATCAGGTGACTATGATATTGTACAGTGTACTAGACTATATTCAACCCAGCTTTTAAGATTAGAATTAGAAGCAAACTCGTTGCCTTACCTTTTTATCAGCTGAATATCTACCAATAATGCTGAGTTGGTCACCGGGACAAAGATGATCAATATCAAAAGCCAAACTTCCCATATTTTGGTTATTAGCATAGAAAGCGGATTCTGTAAACACGATGCTATAAGATGAATCTGTTAAACCAGGGCGGGATGTTTTATCATAGGATGATGTAACTAATCCTAAGATAAAATCAACATTGGCGATATCCAAGATAGTAAACTGAAAAATCCGGCCAGTTACAAAATTCAAGGGATATTTGTTAACGGCAATACTATAATTGAGATCAGATACAACAACCTGTCTTTCATCAATAATCTCCTTATCAGACGGATGTTTTAAGATATTTCCAATTTGTTGAAAATTAAAAGCTCTGGACCAGTCATTAACAAATGCAGGAGTAGCACTTTCTTTACGTACATCCTATTTACATGAAAATCTGTATTAGTTTATTCACGGATGAACCAATTAGAGATAATTTTCCCTCGATTTTGAAATATAAAGAATGCTATCCTCTAATAAATCAGACCTACTTTATCATATACGTGTACTTTTAAAGTCTTAATATTATGCTGTCTTACCGACATAAACTGTATACAATAATTGCATCGACCGCAATTAGTACAAGATGATCTATCGATCAATCGAAAAAAAGGGAACTTATGATTATACATAATCACGATTTGGTTTTAATTGATTATCTACGCGTATTTAAAATAAGATACTGATTAACTCATCTAATATTTACAAAGATATACAAAATTAGGTTTCTATATATCATATCTAACGAGAAAAGCGATTAGATTTACATCTTCTCTTTTTGATATTTGTTAATATTTTGCTGGTTATTTTCGGATGAATATGGTTGACATTGCACGCAGACTATCTCTGAAGCTGATTTTTCCAGTTCGTGACCACATATTGCAGGAATATCAACTTTATGTTTAGAATGAAATAACAAGAAAGATTCAACGATTGATATTAACGATTTATGATATTTAAGCAAACCATATAAAGCTTTTCATCAATTCCTACAACATTTGTCACAGATAGAGCGTAGACTGTTTCATTAAACAGTAAACTATTAAGATATTAATTACCCAAATGCACCTATTAGATTTTAGAAAAGCGAATTATATTGATCTAAAGCTTAAGAGTTAGTGCCTAAATTATTACCTTCATCAAATTTAGGCCGATTTAATTGTCCCTCAATGTCATTTTCTTTGGCTACATTAGATTTTAACGTTGTCTATCCAAATTTAATAATTTTTAATAGAAAAATCTTATCGATAAAAATCTGAGAATAAGTGATGTATTGGTATATCTGCTAAATTTTGCTAACCTTAGTTGCGATACCTGGCAAAGGCTCAAAAGCTGCTTCAATGATGTAGCAACACATAATAAACGTCTGACGTAGTCCACTTTGTATTTCCTCTGCTGCATCCGCATCAGGTATTGCATTACATCTCGCTGAAATTTTTAAGCTGACTAAGCCGTCATCTGTTGGAGTTGATTCAGATTCAATGAGTAATAGTAGACATTCTACGTAGCCCAAACTGAATAACAATCCATCATTCCATAAATGGTGAACGTTTTGTGTTAGCCGAATGAGATTAGATTGAATTTGCTTTAAAACCGACAACGATGCAGGACTGTAACTGATTATTTCATAAGTTTGTTCATAAAAATATTCATTAGGGTGATAATCTTCCCACAACAATGTCTAAAATTATTCAGAAAAGTAATATATTGAGCACTGTATTTAGATAATATGTTAGGTACAGATTGTAAAAGTATCGAATATTAACTGCTTTACTATTTTGGGTAATATTAGTAGCCAAATTATACACAAAAAATTTTAACGTATAGTTACCAACGGTTTGGCAGGACTGTTTGGTAAACATGTCAGATCAGTTAATGAGCGAGTTAAATTGATAACGTTTGACATTACAGCTGATATTCCAGCATTTTTTGCTAGATTAATAATGATTTGATCCTACAGAGATATTTGATTAGAAATCGATATGAAATTAAATGAAAAAATTGTTTCATTCCTATTTATGTCTTAATTTCTAAATAAGGTATTGAGAAATTAATTTTAATTATATAATATAAAGTGAGTGGCATTACTCCTTCGGGAATAGCAACATTGGGCACTATTCCTTGCCCTATTTCAGTTAGTCTCTCATATAACCATGTTAAATCCGGTATAAAATACCATTGGTCGTTATATTTTGTCATAAAGAGCTCTCCCTATATTATGAATATCAAAAAGTACTATAATAGACGGCACACACAATGAATGAAATTAGAAAAAAGAGGCAAGATCATTATATTGCTTACTGAATTATGAAGCATCTCACAGGCAAATAGAAATTTATCCATTCTCTTATGTACATCCTCGCGTAAATCAGATATGAGATCATTTAAAAAGTAGATATGCTTGTTATTATTGTGATTTTTTTTGGCTTGATATTTAAACTTGCTATATTCGTCACGAAACCTTGACCAGTATAGATGTTTAGCTACTCCATTTATATTCAGATCGCAGTCTTTTCGCTGGAAAATTGCATTAATGCACTGAATTATTTCTTGTCTGACACCCTCAATTCCCTAATTACACGTCAGAAAGTTCCAGAAATATAATTTAGAAATTACTTAAAAGAATTAGTACATCGTAAATTTTTATCCTATCGGTTAGCTTAGCGATCTTATTTATTGTAATCATAGTTCTATTTATACTAGTTTATTTAAATTTATAGAAATATTTACTATGACAAGAAATAGCACGATCAAGGATAATTTTTAATTAGGTTAGGAAACAATAATAATACTTGATTGTTAGCTAAAGCCAATAAGCAATTAATTATTATGATTTTTAGGTGATGCGGTAATATTTAGATCATTAATTTTTATTGAAGTTATCTATGATGTCATCTTAATAACATAATCTGATTACCTTTCCATTATTGCTATCAACCATGACGTAATTATGAATTTGAGGCATGCCATACCAAAGCAAATGGTTAACTGTAGAGATTTTTTGCTGTTGAAAAAAGGTCTTACATGTCTCTTGGTCCCACTGATCTCCTCTTTAAAAAATGGTGGAAGGCAACAACATAAGAAAGGCAAACATTTATATCTGTTTTTAATAAATACTACCATATTACTAGTATTTATAATTATATATAAGTCGTTATTATTAGCAAATCTGTTACAGATTCGGTAAAAATTTTCTCGTAAAATTTTAAATGAACATAATAAATTCATATTTTACTTATGTAATTTGCTCAATTACATCATTTTGCATGAAATTTTCAATACTTTATAAGATAAATTATAAGAATTGTACCGTAATTGTTTATTTTTTAACATTGATTAATTGTGTAAATGCAGTACTTGGAGTAATCATTATTGAGAAAGAAGAAAGCACAGCTGTAATGCAGTAATTAGACAAAAAATTATGAAAAGCCTATCGAAATCCTGATGTTTAAGAGTTTAATTTTTGTTTTGTTTATATTTTTTATTATCTCCTTTGTGCTAAAAGTTCACGTTATAAATTTTTCCTAAATTATTTTTGAATCCTAAACTTTTATTTGTTTTGATAGCGCTGTCTATTAAATCTCTGTAATACGAATATGAACTGATTTATATGGGAAATAATCGTGACTTACTCAGACATAGAATTATTGACTAGTGCTTCTAGTCTTTGTATAAATAAATCTTTTTGATCTTGTAATTTATCTTTAATTATATTCATCCTTTCTTCCGCAGTTCTAGATGATCTTGCATATGTGAGGACAATAATAAAGCAGCTGCTTGGATACTAAAAAAAAATGTTTTATCTATTAAAATTATAAGATAATTTTATTGATTCGTTCTAGAGTGACATGCACTGAAGAAATAATATAAAATTTTTCTTTACATTATTGAGAAATGGATATTCACATTAATATGATATCAATTCGATAGCGTCAATATCTATTACACCCTATAGATGGGTTTACGCATATATATATACAAATCTAAATCAATTAAATTTTCGATGATATCATTTAGCGTAGTATTGATAATGTAATTTTTCATTAGCTAACATAACTGTTAATTTATTGTTACCTTAGTTTCCACTAATTGAATCCATTTCAGAAACGAAGGCTTGTCAACATTGATTACGATGACATTGATCGCACCTTCGGTGACAAAAATATGGTTGTGTTGCTGAAAAATATTCAATTTCATATTCTTAGTAATGGTACTAAATTTGTACGTGTAGAAGCACAATAAAATTTGATAGTAGATCATCCTTTCAAGTACTTTCTACAAACAATGTATAAGTTACCTCAAGTCCGAAATTGACTACAGTTGTTACAATCTTTCGCTGTTTATTATCTTTTAGTTGCCAATCGTGAACGGTAAATTCATTAGCATTGGGTACATTTTTAAGATTCAACAGTTTACTAATGACAAAATTTTTATGGGAATCTTCGGATCCAAAAACATTAATCCTAACGTGCAAGATTAATACATTAGAAAAGCTACAGTTACACTCAATTCTACTTAGTAACTAATAGCAAGATGCAGTAAAATTGACATCTATGTGTTATTTTTATTTACTTCTCCATTATGGTACTAAAAACTTGTACAAAATGATAATTGCTATTCTAGTTCTAACCTGTAGTGATAAGTCAAGGACTTCTCAACTCTAGTTAAATATCTTATTATGGATAAAGCATCGTCAGCTTTGAAAACGTCTTCATGACATTCTGCCATTGGGTTACCATTTAAATTTAATTTTGGCTGGTCAGAGTCGTCTGTCTGTTCAGTTAATGGCGATAAAGATCTGACATGACTTTTTTTGCTCGGGTATCTTGATTTTTTTTGGATTTGCCGCTTTGCTTTAACTTCCCATGCTCTTAGTTTTTGAACTAATTGATGTGGTAAGCGTTTTAAATTGCAATTTTTCATTGATACATCGTTTAATTTTTCACATTGAGATATAAGTACATCCAAAGCTTTAGATGTCAGGTTTTTGCAGCCATCTAAGTTTATAATTTTAAGATTTCGACAATACTTTGCAATTAAAAGTGCACATGCATCAGTCAAATGTACACATCCTATGGCACTAAGTTTGTGAACATGAAGGGCACTATTTGAGTGTTCTAAGATAGATGCAAGGGCTATATCAGTTAACTTTTCATATCCATCTAGTATCATGTTTCTTTTGTGGCTGATTTCAAAGGCAATATCATCCTGTTGTATATATTAATTTTATAAAATGGGTGATTACTATAAGATAGTTACAGGTCTTCTAGAATTGATAAAATTTTTATACAATTTAGCTATTTGTTAGTTATTCAGTTATCCATTCTAATTGCTTACTACACCGTAATACCTTCAAAATTATAATATTAAACCATTTCTTACCCTTTTATTTTGTATTTGAGTTAACTGAAGTGCATTTTTGCCATTTAAATCTTCCAACACTTTAAGAGTTTCAATGAGATTGAATTCTGTGCTGTCATCATCGCTCCATTCGGTGGCATCATCGCCGAAATCGGAACCATCATCAATACTTAATTTACGAATATTCTCCATTTGCATAATATTGGATTCGACGAAATTCTGTTGTTCTTGTTCCTGCAAATAGTCATCTTCATCTTGAGCGTAATTGAAGTTGGGATCATCAAAACTCATTTGTGATTGTTGGTAGTCTTCTATGTTTTCGTCATAACCGATGTTAGATTGTTGTTGATAAAGCATCTCTTGTTGCTCTGTTGGAATAAAGTCATCAATATCGGCAGTGGGGGTTTTAATCGCTTTTGCTTTCTTTTTGGCTTTCGCTTTTTTGGCCTTAAACATGATTATTTTTTATCTAAAGATAAAATTTTTGTTAAAATCGTCATAAAAAATGTATAATTTCATACTAATGCTATTTATAAAACATACGAGTATTGGAGTCTTAATCCCAACATCATATGTTGTTGCTAAGTAAGATACTTGTTATGCAGATTAGTACCAGCATCAATTATTATATTAAAGGCTAAGATCTTATGGGTACAGAATTTAAAAATTGTTAAATAACATGTGCGAAAGTTTCTGTTTAATTTTAGTCGTGTTGATCTTGAAGGTATATCAAAGGAGAAGTAGGCAAATCAAAATGGATAATCTGATAATGTCGATTATTAGTTAATTTAGTGAAAATATTGTAAGACGAGTGAACTAATATAGTTAAGGGATTAATGTTAGCATCCTTGTAATAAAAGCTAATCTAGAGTTATTTATTATGAGGTTATAACATAAAGTGCAATCTGTTTATTATCTTAGCTATTCATTTTATATGAATTTGATACGAGGTAAACTTGTAATTTTTAAATTGCTATCTCCCGACAATGCCTTGATTATATTATTGCATTTTAACTGGAATTCCTTTATAATAAAGTATGCTTCATATGACAATTACGTGCTAGATCTATGCTGTTTCTACTACTACTATGCTTGCGAGTTGTGGCTTCTAAGAAACTCTGATAACATATGGAACTGTTTCGCTACGTAATGAGGATAAAATTTTACCTGCATATACACGCCATGAATAAAGTGTTATGCATACAACTTTATTGGTAACTTATAAGCAATTTTAATGGAAATTGCATCCAAACTTACTTTGTAAGAAAGTGAGAGATTCAGTTATACTTGTGTCTATTCTTAATTCTGGAAGTAGCGTGATTGCAAATGGCAAATAATTTTTTTTGTCTGTATGTTATAATTCATGTATCTATGTTAGCATGATTATTACCTTGAAAATAAGATTGTAACAATGTTATTGATGCATGAGTAATGGCTTTAAATTTAAAATGAGCTAATTCTATAATTACAATAGATTGCTATTTAATAAATTCTTTAATAATACGTGACCTCTTTGGTAGGGGTGGAAAAGTAATAGCTATAAGTTATACTATAACGATTAGAATAGTATCTTCGTTGTTTTAAATGATATCTTTGCTTAAGTAATACATCTACATACAAAAAGAAAGGTTAAAGATCCAAGATGAGAGCTGTTGTAGGTATTTTAAGAGTCTACCCTCTTGGAATGTGCTGTGTCATGCCGATGCTTAAATAATGACACGTTTAGTTTATTTTCTATGAATGAGAAAAGAAATGCAATCGCCGTGATATTGTTGTCATTGCCGATACAAAGAAAAGCATAGAGTAATCGCTAAGAATTTATAATCGTTATTAATTACTTAATGTTATACTTTTACCTAGTATTGGATTAATTGGCTACTCTATATAAACAATCATGACACGACCAAAATATCATTGTAAAAGATGTAACCTTATCTGAGGATTGCGCGTACTATATTATTTGTTATTTTCTATAAGCTACGCATTTTGAGCCATGTGATATCAACACAGTGAACGATATGGTATTAATCGGTTACTGCACCAAGATTAAACTATCTTCATGCTAGATACTGTGTCTAATGACATCCACGACAAGAATACTTTGTTCTTTTCTGCATGTCAAGGCGATTTGATTTCGATTGAAAGTTTGTAATTCATTTTTAGGGGGAGATATGGTCCTACATTGACATGCTTGTAAGTTGAAGTTTTGTTGATATTAATTTGGGCCAGCTACTGCATTGAGTCATCATGATCCATACATATGTATTGGACCAATTGACTCGATTTAAGTGATAACCCTTTGAGCTTAACAAAGCAGTTCGGACTGAAAGTGACTTACCTAGACGGCGTTGATTTGATAATTTGCCAATTTTGCGATTATTTATATAGTCAGCTTGAACGAAGAAATATCAAGAGGACAGAATATGGCAGTATTCAATCAGTTTAGGGTATTTCTACCAGAAATATCGGTAGCTTTCTCAATGATAGAGAATAGCTTTTGGCTGCTGCACATACTTTACTAGGTCAACGTTGACGAAATGTTCACCAACGATTGACGTGCAATCACCATAGAAACTGCATAGTAATTTTATTCATGGCTGATCGCTCTTGGACGGACAGACCTTTCGGGCCCGTATTTCGTCCAAAATATTGTTTCAAAAGCTTCGTTAAGACAGTACTTTAGTAAAAACGTTCAATTTTATTATCTGTTACTAAGTTCTGCTTAGAAAGAGTTATATAAGATCGCTAATGTTATTTAAATTAGTGCCACAGATTTAGAAAACAGACGGGGAAGATCTATACTAAGTAGGCATTTTTGGATATTTACGACCTCATTTAGTAAGAGATGTCCGTCCACCCGAAGGAGTGATCAGTCTAGGTCTTCTACTATTTTCTTGATAGAGATCTCTATGGTAATACCGATAGAGCAGAGTACAAATTGTTCACTTTCTGTTGATTAATTAAGTTTACAAGTCCCGGCATTTTGATGTTAGCCTTGCCTATGTTACGCATAATATAGTAGCAGATGCGATAATAACACAGATGCGTACATCACCGATATGCGTAATCGTTACTGACGTGAATCACCGTGTATACCGCCATTAAGACTACTCAATGGATGAATGATATATCATATATGATATATGAGATATATGATAGTACTGTACACTCATGCACTGGAACTACAGTGTTCAAACAGCTGAAGAGTCGTCTAGGGGCTTCATTTTTTATTTTATGGAATCCTTCTTGCACACTCGATGATCAGCAATGCCTCAGTCGACTGTGTCCGGGACTTCTGTACCTTGCTACAGTACACTGAGTACAGTGCACAGTGTACCGTACTATACAGTACTGTACACTGTAAAGTACTTTGTACAGTAGATGAGTCTAATGCACCAGTGAATAGTTTAGACTGCCATACTGTATGTATCAGTGTGCAGTATTGTGAGCAACATGATATCAATCAAGTTAATCACTGCATAGTCCCTCACTGCCATACGGACGGTCCGTCCGTAGATGAGCACAGAAAGACATCTGACAGACAAATGTGCGAAAGATCGGTGGCTGAAAGGCGCGGATATACTGTACAGTACCGAGGAACAACGTACTAGACTCTGGATGTAGAGTACAGCACCAGCAGGCAGCTCGAGTTGATTTCCAAATCTTCCATTCTTTCATTTTACTGAAAGATCAACTGAACAGGCGTCCATCAAGTATTCTTAATATCAAATTCAACATGTTCTCTCAAACCTCTACTAATAACTTTTGGCCAAAGAATCAAAACCAGACTTCCAATAATCCAAATAAGGACGTTGAAGTGGTTTCACCACCAAGTGATTCTGTCAGTTCGCTAGCTTTCAGCCCACCATCCAACAATGCCATCTTTTTAGTTGCAACCTCGTGGGATAATAATGTTAGTAGAATATCTGATGAATGATCATCTGATTTATTACTGTCTACTAGCTTAATAATGACACTATCTCAGCCATATTTTATGACATAAGTTGAATAAGATGACAACGATGGGTTTCCATCTTTTAGGTTAGTTGTTGGCAAATTAATGGTGATGGCACCTCACAACCAAAAGCTCAACAGTCTCATTCTGGCCCTGTCTTGGATTCAAGTTGGCAGCATGTAAGGATGGTGATAGTCATTAACTTGAATTGGTTTGTAATTGTTGCAGACAATATTGATCGTCATAGTGTTTCAGTAGAAACAATATTAATGGCAGTGAATTGATCAATGGTATCCAGTACTGCTTGACAATGCATTTGTCAAAGATGACCGTAGTCGATCAAAGTTGAAATTGGACACTAAATTGCACACGACATAGGATCTTACTATGTAGGATGGATCCTTATTCAATGTCCCTTACTGAAATGACAACTCTTCTATGATAGGATGGCACAAAAATCTATACCGGCTCTTGTGATAAAACTTGCAAGATGTGGGACCTGCAAAGTAATCAATTTGTCACTGTAGGCCAGGTATAAATCTAGGAATTCTCTACACTATCCAATAATTTGTAAAATTTATTGATTGTAATCCTTACGATTTTGACAACAATTGTTCCTTAAGAAATATCTCCCAATGCTGCACAACTACTATTTAAAATATGTATATATAGGATGAGTCAATTCTATTTGTTGATCTTAAAAAATAATTTGTATCCAGCAATTAATTAGTAATCTGTCTGATTATAATAAGCATGATGCTCCTATTAAGACCGTTAACTGGATCAATACTCCCAAGTATTCTTGTGTTCTAACTGGTAGCTGGGATAAAACATTAAAGGTACGAATTTTAGTTGTGCGAACTCTACTTGTATACTAGGGATACTTTTTAAAATTTACTTTGCCTAAAATGACTAGTCCTACAGGACAATATTAGTAATGGTTTCTCATAATGATGTTAAAATTCTAATACACTGCAGACGATTCGTATCGCTTTGATTTGTAGGATTTTGTATCCATGATTGTATTACGTTTTGTTCTAGTTTTGGGATACACGAAGTCCTCAACCCATGTTGGTTATACAATTGTCGGAACGTTGCTACTGTGCCGACGTGGTAAGCAAACATAATAAAGTAATTTTGCTAATACAAGTGTATGGCGTTGCTGTATTAATTATAACTGGATCTGTTGCAGTAGCAGTACGTCAATATTGAAATTAGAAATCTCTTACAGTAATGCTATTCTTTATTTTTCCTAGCTGTACCCGATGGCAATGGTTGGAACTGCTGAGAGGACTCTCATCTGCTACAATCTCGAAGGAACGCCAACGGAATATAAGGTATACAAATGATGATCATTATTGATCAAATTTTCTCAAAAGTTAAAGAAGGGCATAGTAATAACGAGATAGTTAGCATTCTCACAAAATATCTGGATTATGTCTTATGCATTGCAATAATATTGATAGCAACTTGAGTTTTATTCATTCTTGTATCCATAGAAAATGGAATCGCCTTTGAAATATCAGGCAAGTAATTGATACTCTGATACAAATAAGTATCAGGCTTTCACGTCTAACATAAGTTTTAATTACTTACTCGCTAAACGATATCTACAGTGTACTTACATATATTGTAGTCGGTAAAGATGATCGCTTTATTCTATTTGATAATAGAGTCGATGTATCAGTATATTTAAGGATAAAAAGGAAGCTCCGACTGGGTTCTGTGTGGGTTCGATAGAAGGTCGTGTGGCAGTACAGTATATTCAAGCTAGTAATTCGTAAGTACTTATTTAAGCCGCAGAGTATAATCATATTTTTCTAATTTTTGTATGAAAAGGATTCGTCAGTATTACTATAAAGTCAATGTAACATTCTGTAATGTATTAATTTTGGTGATTTATAAATATTGATAATTTTTTTAATTTAGGAAAGACAACTTCACGTTTAAATGCCATCGGGATAATAAAGCTAGTGGAGGTCTTGATATATATCCGGTAATTTGTCATAGTTGGTTACTTAAACTAATGTGTGTTGTAAAAAACATCTATAACACTATTATTTGTACATTATGTGTATTCTCAATTTATTCACACTTGTTACTAGATCAGTTTTAACTGGTATAATCCGATTTAGATGTATCAAAATTTGTTTCATTATTACAAAGATACAATGGCAGTAACATTTTCAATCAACTAGGTTAACGCTATTGCACGGCATCCGATTCACGGCACAATTGCTACGTGTGGTTCTGATGGTAGATTCAGTTTATGGGATACTTTATCTAGAACGAAACTTAAGGTATTTTGCAAATACTCAAAGCCATTATTTCGTTGTATTTTGGGTATACTGTATGATATTTTAACCAAACTTAATCAGTCATGCTGAATACCGTATTAGGGTTCTGAGCAGATGGATCAACCTGTAACGACTTGTACTTTTGATCCGCAAGGAAATTTATTTGCATACGCTACTGGTTACGACTGGTCCCGGGTAATATATTGCAAACGTTTCTACAGTTTCAGTACTGCTAGAGTGTTTAGCTGTAATTTAGACCTTACTTATATATAGGTAGTCAATGACAATGAGTAACGTGCTAGTGATATAAATAACTTTTATGTGAAAATGATTTAAATGATTACACGATTTAATTATTCTACATTTCATAGAGTGATTCGTACTTTACGTTATTACATAGTAGCTTTAAAATTCATTTTTTAACGATTGTATAACTACTTATAGGGTCATGAGTTTGCTAATTCTCAAAAAGGCTCGAAAATATACCTGCGTTATGTTGCAGAAGAAGCAAAACCTCGCAAGAAGCGGTAATCATTGCTTTTTAATTACAGTATTATGTAAATTTCTTTCGAATTTTCATATTACTATCTTATATACAGTTCCTTTAGCAACACGGTAATTGTTAATATTAAGTACTGTTTATACTAGCGGTTAGAATAACAAGTGGCAGTCATAATACTGGATGTCGATGACAACAATTGTATTATATTCGCTTATTTATGATAGTTATGTAACATGATCATAATCAGCATTGGATCGATAGACAATTGTATTTCAATTATTAAAATGTATATTTTGAAAAGATCAGTGTAATGTATTGGTGATGGTAGCCTAATTTTTGGATGATACTGTTAATGATTAGAAAGCAGCAATGTAATTCATGATTGAATGATATAAAATTACATAGTAATGTGTTATGAAATGTCATTATAATGAGCTATATTATAATTAAACACGAACTTCTATTGATAAATGAATGTTGCATTGCTTCCTCGTACAGTAGGCGTAGGAGTGTCTTCAATATGCTAAATTTAATAACGCTATAAACAATGCTATCTGCAGTTCTATAGTAAGAGAAAATAGCTGATTCAGATAGCATTAATGCATTTGTGATTATGCAGCTTTCGCTCTATGTGTAAACGCATTATTTGCCCACCTTTGTTAATAGAATACTTAGCAGACATACATTTGCATTAATTTATCGCATTGAATTGGATAGTTCATATGTACAAATCAAGAAGCTCTACGACTTTGCTATTGTCTTTGCAACTGTATTAAGTAAATCCTGTATATGAAAGTGGATAAGTGATTTTTATTTCTATTTACTGAGAATTACTCGTACGTATACATTTTGAATACGAATCTGCAGTAGCTTAATCATGGAGTTGGTACACCTTCATTATAGTAATTAACATCAGAGTTACTTTAATCAATATTGCTATCTCATTTAACCTTCGATTCAGTTATGATTAAAACATAGCGCAAGCTTTTACTTATGTTATGACCTCTAAAGTAATTATGGATCAAGTTATTTTATCAGTTGAACGTAATCCTCCTTTTACTGATTAGAGGAGCGATCCTTCTCGATTTGTTGGAACTACACTATCGGCGGAGGTGCTGTATCAATTTTAGAATATTCTTGATACACAATATAGTAATAGATATGAAACTGAACCAATTAGTTGTACATGCAACTATTCTTTTTCGAAAGACTACATTTACATTGTACAAGTATACTATGTAATCTATAGTAACACATCACTGGGGAATATTTTTGTTTTAACATTGCGTATCAAATATAAATGGATCCTGTTTTACGATGTAAGGCATCAAAAAACTTTATTCGATATGGATAATTCTATCTCAAGTAAGAGTATATATATATTACCCAGACATAGCTCCTGACGATACAATTGCGTTGGATCCGTGCGGCAAGACCTAATAATTTAGGTGCTAAACTAACGGCAAATATAGTGGCCACATTTATTATAGACTACGATACTACAAAGTGAGAGAATATGATCTGAAAATTCTAAGTCTGCGTAAGTGTGCATATCAGGATACAATTTATGTAGAACAACAAAATAAAGATAAAGGATACTTTCTGTTAATAAAACATAGAACTTTTATATCAATCGATGTAGAAGGAACTTACTTTTCTAAAAGTAACTACATGCAAAGCTGAGCGGAAATTATGTTGGTGCTTACGGTAGACATACCATGCATAAAGAGAGTTTGGTTTGCTATACTGTATTACGAGGACATGAGTTATGTTTTTTCTATAATCATTTTTCAAGAACATAAACAATTATCCGCTATACCTAACAATATAATTCGCCTAGTAAAAGCAAAAAACAAGCATCACCACCTGTAGTATTAAATTTTCATTCCAACGATCATATTGTTTTAGGCATTTACGACAAAATTTTGCACCGTACTTGATATATTGACGTAATGGTATAAAACGTTACCTACTGTATTGTTTCTCATACAAATGCATACGACCTAAATATGCCTTATACAAATTACAGAATATAATAATTAATTTAGTAGCAACTTTAGGATGCATTTACATTAAGCTTAATTTCAACTAAATCAGCCAAAACGCCGAAGTGCTATCAAAACTATTCCTGCAGATTCTACTGTAATATGAGAGTTAAATTCGGACAGATTACATTCCAATCGTTTTTATCGACATGGATCGCACCAAGTTATATAATGCTTTCTAATTAATTACAGGCTAAAAAGTGATCAAATTAAAAATTTTTTTAGCACTAACAATTATCACGCGTATCTTGATCAATTCGTATATGAAATTAATAGTGTAATTTAAGAATATTAATATGATTATCGGTTACATTCGCAATAGCAAAAGACATTATGTGAAGCTAAAAAGATTACTTGTTTCGAATTGACTAGTAGTACAGCGCTAACTATAGAATTAGATTGATGACTTCAAAATACTTTAATGGTTTACGTAATAAGTAATGCGAATATAACAAGAATTTATTAATGAAAGGTCAGAAAATGATCGTAAAATATTGCAACTCTTTAATTATACTGTAGTTATCATTATTTAGTTTGTCGGTACTATAATGTACTTTATATTGGCAGTGAAAGTTATCTAAATTTATCTGTGATTTTTTTATCATTTTAAAATGAGCTTTACAAAGCAACATTACGTATAGTAACACCATATTACAATGTACTCTTTTAACACAGGATTTGAAGTTGCTCGAGGCAATAACCTTACTTATCTACTAGCTATAATTCGTAACTACGAGGATCTCGGATAAACTGTTTAAAAAAATGACTTTATTTTATCGCAAGTGCATGGCTCATTGTTTTTTTACGTAAATCTACAGCGAATACTACAGTGAATAAAATTATACACGTATACCGTAGTTGACATAGGGGCTAGCCAATTACATAACTTGTCCGACGCCACTAGGGTCGCATTGTAATAATCGAACGATAGACGGATCGCTTTTGGCGCCCTCTATAAATTCAGCAAGAGATAGCTTACCATCAGAATTTTTATCCATTTGCCTAAAAATTTTATCTGTACGTTTTTCTGGTGTACTCTCGTCCTCAGGCATTTTCATAACGTTACCAACCATTTTATAAATTGCTCGGACAATTTCCAACATCTCTTGTCGAGAGATGTAGCCATTGCCATCTAGGTCATACATGCTAAACGCCCATTTTAATTTCTCTTCTAATTTACCACGCGAAGTCACCGACAGAGCGATGATAAATTCGCGAAAGTCTATACTATTATCACTATTAGTATCGAAAGTACGGAAGACGTGTTCGGCAAACTTGGATGCATCACCATATGGGAAAAAGTTGCCATAGATCTTTTTAAATTCTTCTACTGTCAAAGTGCCACTTGGACAGTCCTTTAGAAATCCTTTATACCATTCTTGTAGTTCATGTTCGGTAAATTCAGTATGTTGACGTAAATCTTCCAAAATTTCCGGCTTCAATTTACTATTTTGCTTTCCCATGTCCGATTACACTAATTTATTCCTTTAAGCACGCGATAAGGAAGCCTTTATCTATATCCAATCAATGAATATAATAGATTATTTATTATTAGCAGAAGAATTAGTGTATGCTTGCAATCGGATTTAATGGTATCTAAGACTGCCCTAAAGTTGAGTTTAGACTGGAAGACGATGCACCAAGTATAATTTGTATTGTACTTCAGTGGCAAACTAGTAATAACAATGTTATTGTTCCAGGCTGGTCCTATACAATTATACTGTAGCTTTATGACGAATAGTGAGTCACACTAGTTATCGAAAAGCTTGACACAGTTTAAGTCGGAACCACTAACTGTACCATGTGTACATACTGTACTCTACAGCCGATAGAGGCAAATGAGGCTATACTGTACACGTACAGTACAGTACAGTACAGTACATCGCAGAGTGTGAAGATTACACTCTGTACTGTATGTTATTTTAGTAAGTGCCAGTTTGAGCAAGCGTCGTTTATTTTCTGATAAGGTGTTATAAAAATTCAAGAGCCGATGCTAACTATTTTGAGATATCTCTGTTGGGAATATCAGCAACATAGCCCCTAAAAAAGGTGGATTAGTTTCTAGAAACTGATTTCATCGACTCTTATTAATTAATTAATTAATTATTAATGTGCAGCACTGTATTTAAGATTGTGATCAAAAGGGTAGATTGGAAATGGAATAAAGTGATGTTATTGGGTTAGCTAAGGCAATTTTAAAGTTATACTGCACTTATAACACTATCTAGTACGTAGTGCATGAACGTGTAAATTGTGTACTGTAGAACCTGTAGAGTTGTAGAGATTAATTAGCCATGAAGACCGCTGTTTACTGAACTAATTTCTAATTTCTATCCAATCGTTCAAGATCTTCATTGAACTACAGTACAGTACTGTCGTCTGTCGACGTGAATCTTGGCGCTTACTGCATACAGTACAGTGTACTGTAATGAAAAGTCTTTTTCAACTCTGTAACTGTACACTATACACTGTACAGTGCACTACAGTACACAGTAATGTCATGGTCAGAGGACTCGGGCGTACAGTACAGTACAGTACCGTACTGTACGGTATGGCAAAATACAGTACTGTAGAGAAAGGATGAGTGTTAGCACTCGTGTTCCTAGTTCGCACGCTACTGACGCTAGCCATTATTCTTAATATTCTTAATAAACTGTAGACTGTATAGTACAGTATATAGCATATACTGTATACTGTACATGTATGTCTATTAGCAGTGTCATGGTGAAGGTAAAGGCGGGTCCGTCAGTCGGTACCGTGCCACACAGCACTGCGTTAATGTCTGTAGTCTGTGCCATAAACACAATGTACAGTACAGTACAGTACTGTACCAAAAGTCATACCAGACCATACTATATTGTACTGCACTGTACTGTACACTCAGTGTACAGTACAATAAATTTATATAACGGTCCCACGCTGATACGTTTATAGAGGTAGATTAGAATCTAGATTTACAATAATTAGAACTTGTAGAGATTGATGTTTATACAAACTCTAATTTTCGCTCATGACACTTCTTTGCTTACACAATACGGTACTACAGTAATAGTACATTTACCCAAAATATCACTAGAGGGATACTTTATTTTATAGTATAATTTTATAATACTGTAATTAGTAATTATCATAACCCTTCCTACAGCACGAGAGATTTTTCAAATGTGCTGATGCTACAACGATTAATATTTACGAGCAATATTTGATGATTACGCCACACATACACTGCCGCTGTATTCCTATAAGTATAATGAAATGTACTAATAAACTTTGCACACTGAAATAATTCAAACTCTTTAAGGCTAGGGCGATTGTTAAAAATCAGCATCTATGTAGACCAAACATCGTATACTCTTTTAGTAGAAATTTCTAGAGTGCCGATAATACCTTGATCGTCATTGCAGTGGCTTTTGAATGTCTATTAAAAGATTACTTAATGATATAGCACAAAGTAGAAGTCCGCGGTAAAATACTGTATTTCTCTGCACGTACAGTAAGAGAGTTTTTTCGTATACTTTTTACGTTTTCATTTCACATCTTCAAAAGACTTTCACTGTTACAGCTCATTATGCTGTGCTAGATACGAACATAATATTGTATATCTAGAAATTAAAAGTATTCGTTTTTATATTATTTTTTGAAGACTTTTACTCAGCCCGCTTTCCTTATCCCTATTTTAATCGATTTTGCTGGTAACGTGTTTAGTATTATTAGTCATTATAACGGGAAATTACTCACAATATTATTACATATCAGAGTATTTTAGTCGTTCACTAAAAGTCTTATAGATCGATTTACATTTGATGTAAGTAAATAGAATAGTAGTGTACTGTACTAATGCTCAGCCTAGGTACTGTATATTGTACACTGTACAGTACAGTATAGTAAAAGATACTCATAGCGGAAGGAAGGGATGAGTCCGAGAAATAAGTGCGAAATTTCATAGAATGTATTCTATCTATTTTACGGTATGATTAAATTAGGCATTCAATGTATAATAAGAACGAATTGATTAAATTAATCGACAGAATCTTCAAAATGGATTCTTGGCTTAAGATACAGTAACAAACAGATAATGCATTTAAACTGTAAAATACGTGCTTCGATATCACAGTAATTATCAGCGCAGATATAACCTCTAGTGTACACTGTACAATGATGTGTAGTCGTATGTCTCTTCTTATATTACGAGCCCGCCTTTCGTGAATATTTTGGGGTTAGACAAAGAAAACTTTTAAATTGATACATTTCCATTTGCGAGTGATGCTATCATTGCACAACAAATAACTTTACATACCTTTATAATATGTATACCAAAATGTCAACTCGGTGAGCACGACTATAGGAATATATAGGCAAAGAAATTGAAATTGAAATGGTGAACGATCGTGTATGAGTGTCACGTCAACAATACACGTCCAACTGCGAGCGAATCCAGTAGGTTCTTCGCTGTTGAAATGTTTTCTTGTTTAAAAATGTTCTTTATACTGTACAGTAGAGACCGTAGGGAGTGATAGCAGATGCACGCGAGCACTGCATGGAAGCAGGATACGATTTTCGAGTTAACGCTTTTTACCGTAACTGCGCTTCTGTACAGTCACTGTACTGTACAATACAGTACAAACCATGCAGTATAGCACAATACATTGTATTGTAATGTATAGTTCGTAGCAAACTAAATGTACATGTACTGTACTGTACACGGTACAGTACTGCACTGAACGTTCGATTTTCACTATTTGAAATTAATGAACTATTTTAACTGACCATACACTCATACAGTAATGAGGACTGTACTGGAGATCTTGGCCTGCACTCACTCTGCATAGCTTGTTTTATAGTCATAACTAGTCGTAATCGTGCCAGCTACTGTAGACTGTACACAAAAAAGATCCTGCAGACTTTTAACTTTTTTATCCTTCACCGTAACTCAGTGGTAAATATCTTGACATGACGTCGCGTAGCAGCAGAAGCCTGTCGTACAGTACAGTAGAAAGCCTCTTAAGGGCCTCTATCGTGCAGTATCCGGGTATCAGATAGAAGTGAAAACTCCGGTTAATAACAGTTAAATAGGGTGTCTTCTGTCTACTGTAGTCTCGACTAATGTACAGTACTGTCCACATAATAACACGCGACCCATCATAAAGATCGTTATGTTCAATTCTAATTATGGTACACATAAAGCCATTGACAGCCCCTTAAAAAAACACCGGATGCTGTTTTGTACTATTGACATTAAGTGTATAGAACCATACAGTACTATTTGTACTGCGCAGTTAAGTGCATATCCGCATACTATATTGACACGATATCAGACTCCCGGAATTTAAGATTATAAATATATAATATATACTGTATATTCTGTACGTGGTTGTAGTTTTTACTATGACACTACTATTACAATTATAGCAAGTAGTCAAATGCGTGGATCTCCATATTTCAGAGATTCTCCAAGTCAATAGAATGAGTAGGACATTACTTACTCGTATATGTCAAATTACTCATCACAGCGAACGATATCGGAAATAAAATTTATTCACTAGAATGACTTTATTTATAGCGCAAATAAGATCGTAATTCAAGAGGATGGAAATTAAGTTAAGGAATGTACAGTACATCATGCATAGATTGTTATACAAGAATAGGTTTTTGATAAGAACAGCATTACCTTGACGTAAAAAGATTTACAGTGCGGTTAAGCCAATTACATTACATCCAAAAAGACTTAAAGTAGCAAGCAACAAACTTTGAGCGTCAATCTACGATATACGCGTACAGAAATTACCGCAATACTACGTGTTAGTAGTTGTGCAGTCTAGTTCACATAAATGTCGAAAGAATAAAAAAGCCGACAAGATTAGATTTTGTACATAACACGCAAAATTTGCATAACTAATTTAGATTTTCGCGCAATAAAAATGATAGTCTCAGATATGACAATGATGCTATAGAACTGGTGATTGATGGATAATTTAACAAAACGTAAACAATAAAGGAAATAAAACTAGAACAGTATCTAATAAGGATTAATCAACTATCTAATTGATTGCAATCATTCATTTTTATCGCACGATTGTTGGTTCGATAAGCTCGAAGTCGCTTCTTTGACATCGGATAGCTTTCGCTTTCTTTGCTGGTTTTCTAACACGTTGTCTAAAGCAACAACGATACAGGTCATATTATCACAACCAGTTCCATCACCAATACATTCACCCGCCAAGCAATTATCTAATAACTGGAAAGAAGGTAAAAAACCTTTATCGCACTTGTTAGGTGAACTATCAGTTGTATTTACAGAGCAATAGACAGTACTGTAAATGGATTATTTTTAATAAAACTACATCATTATTTATGAACGATGTTGTAAGATTATAGTAAACTCCGTTAAATTACAAATTGATCTGAAGTTAGATTAGTACTGTATTATTTATACGGTACGTGATACCAATTAATTACAAAACAGAAAAAGAATCTAGATAGGATACTTGACGATAGGTACAAAATTACAATGCTTACCTCCTCGATAAAAATCTTCTCAGGAACCATTTTCGATTGCTGTTTTCCAGATTTTCGTAGTGGTAGACGAACCCTGATAAAATCTACAACTTCTTGGTTCGACATGCAGTCCCTAACATAGGTTCGGTAATTAACGGTAACAATAAACAAAAATTAATAATTGTATTAGCCTGCATACATTGTCTTTATAAAAATGGATTGCACAGTGCATCGTAGGATAATGATATGGTAAGGTTAAGACTTGGAAGAAAATCACAGATAGTATGGGATAACACAATTAATTTCTAAAATAAACAACAACATTCGACTATCATTATTTACCAAATTCCGTCGCAAGCAAGGACAACAAATTCATCGGACCTGCAAATTCAGATAGTTTCACCGTATTGATGTTAAATTCAAAAACATTCATAATATTAGATTTATCTAGCTGCTATAGGTAATGTATATTGTTTATGTAGAATTATTAATGTTGAATAATGCTAAACTTCTGTTGTCACGTATGAAATGACAGTAGCTGCAAGAATATTGCGAAAGTGTTAATATATTATGGTGTGATATCTGTATTGCTAACGTTGTAACATAATTACAGAAATTGTAAATGTAGGTAAATACGAAATTACTGTAGACATTTATAGGTTTATAATGTAGTACATACGGCTCTAGCTTTAACGATACGATGTCTGGCTTAGCAATAACCATCTGCTCTATTGACGATTTTTCCGGATTACCTTTGTACATATGATCGCCTATAAAGGTAATAGAGTTCTGAATGAGTACAGTACCGGTAAAGCAACACTGGAGCATATGACATTAATTTGGTAAATATAAATCATGCGAAAATCTAGGATAAAATCAATTTAAAAAATCTTTTAAAGACTACATTTGTAATAGATATTAAATAAAAAAATAGGCACAATTCTACCTATTGCACGTGATAAATTCAACCCTTGATTAATTCTTCCGTCAATGATTTTGCCTCCAGCTCCTAAAATTCGTTCCTTTTCCGGCGAATCAGTAGGTTTATGATCAAGTGACATTGGTAGAGCAACACCATTGCGGCATAATATGCAACGGGAATCACCAGCATTCGCAACAATCAGTTCATCCTTGTGAATGACAGCAACAACTGCTGTTGTCCCACTACTAACAGCAACATCCTCTAAATTAATTGAATGTAAATGTTGATTACTTATTATCAGCAGATAATCGATATTTTTCTGTTAAGAAAAGGAATGGCAATCGAAACAACATTATCCTGTAATTAAGCGGAGTGAATACTGCACAAGGGGAGATAATTGATTGACGAATGACACAATAATTCATAGCTACATGCAGACGTCTAAATGAGCCTAACATGATAAAGACTATATTCGATAACCAGCAATGAAATATACTGTACCTTTATATTCGAATGTATCATTTACGTCACTGAATTCACCAGCACATTCATCGGTATCCTCGGAACTCTCAGAACTAGTATCCTCATCGTCCTCATCATCCTCATCATTATCATCATCGCTATCGCACTCTTGGTCGTTCGCAATAGCGTCATCACCAGTAGTATCCGCAAGTCCATTTCCATCGCTTTTCTCACCTTGTAGATGCAAGTTGCGATGTAAATGCATAACAATTTTTTTTGCTGCACCATCAAGCTTGTATCCTAGAAATGAAGTGAAAAGTCTTTTTCAAGTAATTTACAATACGTTATTACTATCAACAAGAAAGACCGGTAGATACTAATTTAAATCATTCATTTAAATTGTGAGCTTATCAATCATAGCGAAGAGCAGCACGATAAGAAATGTATAAAAATTGATTGTGCGCGTATATCACAGTATTGTTTAATCTCCTACTAAATTCCACAGTAACTTTAGCATAACAACTACGATCACTGTATCCATATAGTACATTCTTATTGATACAGGTAGTTGTTTAAGTATACGCATGCTACGATTGAAACAACTGATTAAGTGTATACCGTTGTTTTCATATTTCTTTAGTATATCTTGCAAAGGAGTTGCAGCATCTTCATTCAAGGCTTCAACATCATCTACTTCGTCGTCGTCGTTAGGTTCAACTTCTTCATTACTTCCTTGATTGTCAGTCTGCGTTGAGGCTGCTAAACGTTCCAATTCTATCTTGGTATCTGGTGATATAACAATGTCATCAATTTTCAAGAAAGCATCCGATAGTGCAGAGCTGATATTGCCTTCCTTATATGTCGGTAAATTTTTAAGGATGGTCGGTAAGTATTCCGCACAATATAAAGCCACCTCGGCGCCTATTATCAGTAGTATTAAATATATTTGTTGTAAAACTGTTAAACGGAGATTATAAATTATTATTCACAAATGGAAACTAATGATTAGCAACTATTGTTGCTATGGTACCATGTTGAATCAGCATTAACAAAAGTATAAGCAGTATTACTGTAATTACAAAACTGCTGTATAGTTTTAATAAGCTTAAATTTAGTGTACTGTACCTCCGTGTCCATCATAAACGGCGAAATATGACGTATTATCATCAAAGTCAGGAGAGCAATTATGAGCATCCTAAAATATAATTAGAAGAATACATTGAGACATTTTTTATATAATACCTGAAATACCAGTATAAGGATAAGTATTACTGTAGCTCAAGGACATGGAATAATTAGTCGATGAAATAAATGTAATGATCATTAGCACATTAATTATCGCAGCTTGGGCATACACGATATACACGATATACACGATATATACATTTAGATTTATGTACGTATGTAGCTGCATCTTTTCGATCGAAGAATTATATCGTGTTAGCGTAAATGTCGATCGATATTTTTGTTTATCATTCAATTTAATTGTAATCATATATTCGACTAAACTGAAGTCATTCTCAGCCTAAAATGAAACTTTTCCTTTTCAGTCAAGTTGCACGTTTAAATACTAAATACTATTTGATAGAGTATAGTGACAACAACGTAGTTTATAGTACACGGATTTTATCGCGAAAGCGTGCCAAGAGTGAATAAATGTAAACAGCGTGCGTTGCGAAAATCTTTCTATTTCTCAATGCACCCATCGCCAAATTATAGCAATGAGAGCTAAGCTATGCAAAATAAATTGAAACGCAAAACGCGTTTGACTGTATCCTAAGAACCATGCACCTATGGACTATGGCGCAAATCTCGAATTTGGCCATATTCAACTACTTAATGCTCAATACAGTATTAAATTTGTTCGAGTGCAATTTTTAGTAATTTTAGTCGTAAAACAAGGCGGAACTACTTATCAATTACTCGAAGCAGTGAAGTGAAGTTGTTAAGACTTGAGAGCACTGATACTTTCATCACATGAGTACGAATGAGTAGGTAGGGTCATGATTGATTACAGCAGGAGCATGTATGACATGATAAATCTCTATACAGCAGTGTGATCTTTGCAAGTGCTAAAATGAAGCTGACTTCATTGCTACCACAGTAGTCAAAGTTTGTAGCACTAGTATCGCTGTTAATCAATAAGGACTAATAATATAATAATTGCAGTTATTAATTCCAAAGGTAAATCAATGTTGACTTGCATGTTAATCGTTTAATACGTTAATAAATACGTTGTAGTTGTGTACTTGCACTCCAAAACACATAGACTACAAATTTCTAAATGTTTCCACAAGGTCAATATCTGAACGTATAATACATACATTAATTATAATGTACTGTACTGCCTATAAAGAAATAAAAGCTCAAAAATTGGGACAGGGCAGTACTGAACAGTCTAGTCGTCTGGAGTATCTGTAAACCAGGCGAGAAGGAACTGTGAAGTACTGTACTGTATTGTACGTGAGCATTATGCTACTTGATTGCGTGTGGCGCGATAAAACTTTGCTGTAGACCTATAGTAGAATTAATGTGACTCTTTTAGTTTTATTTCTTCTAAATACGAAGTACTGCAATAACCTCCATCGATAGTCTCCATCCTTGCATACAAGAAGCGTAGCATCTAAGTTTTGCTGTTTCAATGATTTCGGTTGTCTTCTCCAATTTTGGACGAGATAGATAGGCACCCATCTTACTATTATCGTTCGATTTTCAACACAGGTCCAGCACAAAGATATTCTCTGCGGATTGCAAAAGCTTCCAGAACTAAATTACAGTAACTTGACTTCAATTAATGTAATACTTATATCAAGCACATAAACGTTTTACTGACTATAAGCAGCAGCAATAATGATAAAATTACTAAACTACGTGTAGGTATATTCAATGAGGATCCTTGCCGGTTCTCGGATGGACCACGCTACAGTACTACTCACACACTAGGCACTTGGCACAAGCAACACGTTTTATATCAAGGGTCTTCAATATCACCAAGTTGTTAAGCCAAGTCTCGTTTGCGTTTTCGTAAAAAAAAAGTACCCGCCACGCAGTCCATCCATCCATCCTATGTACTAGAACAATAAAGCTTTATCACATGTGGTACTTCCCTCTCTGGGTACTTCATGATGCAGCGCAGTAGTGTACAATACAGTACAGTACTGCTAATACGCACTGTACTGTACGTTACCGTACTAGAAATTCTACAGTACTGTACTGTACAGTACACTGAATTGTCCAGTACAGTACTGCTATAGGAATAGTGTACAGGACGGATGGACACCCAGCCTTTACACAATGAATCAATCTATCGTACTAAATATGGAATACTCGTATTGTCAAATCGTTAATCCGAATCTGAAACTTCAGACCTCGAACATATAGGGGAGTATACATAGAGTTCAGTGTTAGCATGTTGTTAAGAAGGAATTAAACGGGCGATTACCTTTTTTTAGACTACGGGTAAGAAGAAAAGTTTGTCATTCTTCCGGGTCCGAATGATATGCAGTATATTGTACATTTGTATATATATGCGTAGTACATTAAATCACAGTACTGCACTGAGCAACAAGTCATGATTCAGCTTTGAATTTGAATTAAAAGCTATAATATAATCAGTAAATGAGCTTTATTTACTGTACTGATACGTATACGTAAAGATGATTGCGCAATTAATAACAAAACCTGGACAGGATTGCTGTAATTAAATTAAATTCATTCATTCATTAATTCATTACACGGATAATACCATTGCACGGCAGAGTCACTGATTGCGACCCGAATTCCGAGATAAAATTTCCTCAAATCGGGAACTATGCCTTACAGGGAATTAATTAATTGTGACAGTCAGTATTTACGTATACAATGCTGAGCGTTAGTATTTACATTAGTCTTATTAACTTTTGTAAACTGTATAAATAACTGATGACTTTAATCGTCAAAGCTTGTGCAAGGTAAAATTATTTTTTTAGAACACCTTAATAAACTGCTTTAATGAATTACATTATCGAAAGATATTACTGCAATTGGTATGGTAATTAATTTAATTTAACCAACACTGATTAGGCTGATAACACTTCAATACGTGTTATATACTGTAGTTGTAACTGTTATTTTGAAAACTTTAGCATCAATAAGCTTAGAATCAAATTAGACAGTTAAATGACGTATACTCGCAAATTTAAAAGTTCTTTCTTTTCGACGAGCTTCTTCTGATTTATCAGAAACTGATTTAAGTACAAAGTACATGAGTGAAAAGTAATCTGCTGCTTTCTGCATGGATTGCAATTTACTTAGTATGCGCTTCTTCTGTAGATATAGCTAGTAATTGTGATAGTAACAGAAGTTATTTAAAGGCTTACATAAATATTCTAAAATTACTATAGTTAATGTTCAATTTTGCATATTGCTACTACAGTAGTAAATTTTGATCATTTTGGGTGTTATACATACACATATGACATACTGTACTTGTATACCTTTTTATTTTCTTTCATTGTTTTTATCAAAGCACTTCGTCTTTTCTCAGCAAGACTCTTCCAGTATTGCTCCGGGGGAGATTCTAAGATAGGATTATTTAAATTACCACGCTGCGGCTATTACGTTCTCGCGTAAAATAAAAGCGCAAATAGCGACTAAGATAATGTTAATTACTATTAGGCGAGTACGCGTATTTGCAAAATGTTAAACTGACATATAGCATAATATAGTGTTAAGTGGTGCAATCTCCGCACATTACCACTCTTAAGCATCCGTTCAGTTTCTTCAAAGCATTCCGTCCAACTTGTCTAATGTGTAAAAGATTGCTGTCAGCTCTATTATCATAAATACTTCACAAAGAAATAGCCAAGTTTCTTATATTAATGTAATGACTGTGATATCATCATGCTTGAAACCTACCACTTCAGGATGCTCTGCTGTCTCATAGTGATCTTTAGCACTGCTGTATTCACCGTCGTTGTCTTCCGTCGAAGACCGTTTCTAACATACCGTTAAATCATATAAAAAAGTCGGTTCAGTAGTATACGGGTATAAACGATTTACATAATGCTCAAACCAGTGTCGATATTTACTTCGCCAAAAGATTTACTCATTTCCAAAGAAATATTTTTCTGTGAAATTATCCCTTCTTATTAGTCTACTGCTATCGTGAAATGGCTGGTCCTATTTATTTCTCTTCAGCTAGATCACTCTGTTGTGTATTAATTCAATACCGCTTGTCTACCTTGCTTTATATGGCATATCCTTAAATAGATAGACGTGTAAAAGAGATTGAAACTTGCAAGGAAATTGGTAGTTGTCACGCTCACTCATGTAATAATGGTACGTTGACTCGAGTGTCGAATCAAGTTCTTTGGGTCAAAGCTCTTTCAAATACTCGACACTAGCCGTCTGACGCCTTAAAAACACACAGTAATCTTCCTCACTCAAATCGAACCTACTCTGTATATGTTCACTTTTACCAAAACAAGCTGACGACAGCATTTCAAAAGTGTTGCAATAGTTGAACTATTTGAATGGCTGAACTTTTTAGATTGTGATTCAAAATTTCGGTTGGCGACATTGAAACTTTGAATTTTTTATCCGGGGCAAACAAGCATGCTTTGTTATAGCAACATAGCCTATATTGATAATAAAGTTTAAACTATTTTACAGTATTTCATTGTATTGTATGACACAATTTCTGCAAATTTTGTACGCTACAACAGAGTAGGAATATTTCTTTCTTTACATGATCGCGCCTGTACAGTGGTACTGAGCAGCGATAGAGTACATCATGGGTGCAATATTGCGATCTTGCTGACATAATTTATATGTAAATTATGCTGGTTTGTAATGAGCTATATCAGATGATAGACGGATACGGCGTTTACGTCACATCAGGAAAGCATTGTCGCTTACTAGAAACGTATAAGTACTGTACGTGCTCGCATAATTTAATTGTGAACAGTATAAACCGATCCTATACGCACATACTGTATCGTATAAATCTAGAATTTTTTGAAGTACTATAATAATACACAAAGTAGTTCATTTCTGAGAGCTTCCTATGCGATGTGAGCGTTTTATTTCCAATTTATGATGATAGTGAATTTCACTTTTACTAATATTCTTCACTTGTTATGGATATTGATTGTGATGGTCCCTCGATATTGAAACGACTGAGCATTACCGTAATCATCAGTTGATTGTATTATTATAATCAACCGTCGCGGTAATGGCTTGCAATTAGATTCAGATGAGTAAAACACCTTTTCTATGGTTATCTGAAAGATTGAACTCTGCTTGCTAGTTTACCACCTTCGCATTGCGTAGGCTGGTTTACTGATGAGAAATGTAACTTTTCAGTTAGTACATTTGCTATAACACGTAAATAAGCTGTAATTGAGGATTTTATAAATATACTCGTATATCGGATGACGTGCACTGTAGTATTGCCGCAATATATTGCAGTCTTCAAGAATTTATTTGCTTATTTTCGTAACATTATTTAATAGATTAACTTTTAAAACACAACAATGCGCATGTAGAGGAATTGTTCTTATGGACAGTTACAGTTGATGGCAAAATTTGAAAAGTTTTTATCTACAACAATTTTAAAACAGGCTCCTATTTTGTTTTATTTGTCATCATACAAAGGCACAGCCATTCTTATAAGGATCGATAGTTTACATTGTAATCGGTGCTAATGAAAATTGCTAATAGGATCATTATTATCAATCTAGGTGAGAGAAACTCCATCATAATATCAAAATACTAATGGCCTGGTAGGCTTATTAATGATGTAGTAAACATACTAGCTAAGAAAATAAGCTAAGGTTGTTATAAATTGAACGTAACCGAAGAAGCAGATATACCGTTAAAAATAAAGGTATTATTAAACGGAACAAATTGATGAGTAATGATTTTAACGGCTTCTTGAGCGGCTGCACCTATGAGTTAATTCAAGAAGTTATATTGATAGCCTTAGTAGTAGTTTAAAGTTAAGTAAAATAGATACCGTAATTCATGAAACTACTATCAATACCTCCAAGAAATGCAGCCATTGTGTGTAATTCTGAAGCACCATAACGACACCTACGGAAGTACGTCAATTCAAAAGTCAGTAACTTGATTACGCTACACTAGTTAAAGATAGCAGATACTGGTAAATTATAATTAATACATTTCATGTATGTAATCATCCGAAATTGTATTTGGGAGCGACCAATCATGTAGTAATCCATTGACACAATTCTACAAAATAAAATAGTAATGATATATAAACAATTTAAATCAATGGAAAAAAAAAGTTGAACATTAAGCCAGTTATCAACACTTAATAGTAAAACAAATTCACCGTACCCTCAAAGACCATATGTCCGTTTCTACCTGATCATCAAACATCCCTGAAATAGCGAACGTTCAATCAAGTTATAATATTCTGACAGAAATTCTTGATAATTAAAAAATTGTATACAGACCAGGATATCGATTGTATTGTTCGAAAAATTTATCTACAGCTCGCAAAAGTACGTAAAAGTTAGCTTCATGGGAACCACTTTCCAAATACCCGCCTATTACATATAATTCAATAAATTAAGCTATATTGTAGGATTGTACGGTTAATAATTACAATTGACGGTTACATTATTAAAGCTCTTATATTACTAACGTATTTCAGATACATCTATCGTAGAAGGGTTATACTCATCGGCTAACGAATGAGTTCTTATGACTTTCAAAAAGAATGCATTCTTACCTAAAGTTAAGAATGAAAATTTATGACTACTGTATAGAAATTAAATTCAATTTTATTATGTCCCATGTCGATCGTATGTAGATGAAAAAGGAAGACAAGATCTTCGCTTAAACTTACAAAAATTTGATATCTCCTGTACGCTAATAGAATTAACACCCTAATGTAAATTCGTTACAAGAGCGTAGGTTATACGGGTATTAGCAAGGAGACAAAACTCATGCTAGGGTTTAACGTAATATTTTAGCCTACTTTTCCCAAGGATTCGAGTATATTCTTAACATATTCAGTCATTTTACTTGCATCTTCATTTGCTTTGGCTTGATAGCTGTATAATTATGTTACAAATTATATAATTATAAGGCAGCAGCATTATATTCATAGCTCAGTTACTGGTGCATTTATACGTACATTCTTTGAAGGTTGATATAACGAGTAGAATCTGCAGTCATATCGGGAATAGATCCACGAACTGGAAGCGTACCTACAGTTATATTATAAAAGCATTTTATGTTAATAACACACCTATAGAAGAAAATCAGTTAATTTCTTCGTGATTTATAATATCTAACCAGTTTTATCCACGAATTCCTTTAGAGCTCGAACTAAAATCCAAAAGTTAGAACTCTGGAAATAAAGAAAGTATGCATAAATGTATGCATACAATCATTCTGTGTACGCATATATGTGTTATTGCTAGTTGATTAGTAGACTTAATCTATTTACATCTGGTGACATGTTCAAACATTTTTCGTCTTTCAGTAACGCTTCAACTGAGCTGGGAATCTAAGAATAAACAGGTGATGATATTGACGAGGTAGTTACCAGATGTAATTTTGCAATAGAATGAACTCGTGTATCTCCATATGAAAATTTTAGGTCTACAAAGAAATTTTGTGAGTCACCGTCTTTCTGAGAATTTGTCTTACTTTAGTAGGAACAAGAGTTATTAATGCATTTTTTATTGCTTCTTGAAAATTATCTTCCTCCTCAGACCTGCCTTCACTGTCTTGCATAATGCCTATAATATTAACAGTACACTCAATATAAGTTACAATTGGATTGCTGAGCATATACGCCTATATCATTAATAATTAGTTTTGCTATCTTAATGATACAGATTATATATAGGCAAAATAGACTGACTTACCGTTAGCAATCATTTGTTTGAACTGGTCTTTTTCTTTGTACGTTTTAGGTAGAGCACCATCATGCTATTCGAAAATTTTGATTAATATAACTTATATGTAAACAGATTTAACAGCCTAATTAACATCTCTTACTAAATTTCGCCATTGGTCCATATATTTCAATAAGATAACAATAAACGGAGTTTGGGAATGTTCCTAGTAAAGTGTTAGTTAAAAATGCATTAGATTCAACTATAATATTTGTTTTACTTTTTGATAGCGTGACTAAAATATATAATGTTAAATACCTTTTTATCCATAGCTGATAAGTTTATTGGGTCAATATATGCTCTTAACTCTGGAAATGGGTTGTCCAGTCTTAAATCGTGGTGACTATTATCAGGATGCGTCTCAATAGCTGAGTCAGAACATCGTATTATATTATATAAGCGATTTTACGTCATATCGGAAATGATATTGTATTTTATAAGATTTCCTTGTAGTATTAAAAGTAAGTCAATACTGTACCAGCGTGCTCGTTAACAACAAGTCGAATGTAACCAACCATTCCATACGAACGACAAATTATAAAGGGGATATCTTGCTTCCATAAGGTTTCTCCTAGCTTTAATAACACTCTAGTAAAAATTTGATAGTTTAAAGAGAATAAGGATTTGTATAATCAGTGTGTCACAGGTTATAATAAACGTAAATTTCATTACACTAGTAGAGGAATACAGTAAGTATGAAAAATAACCATAAAGGTACCTTTCCGGCAAGCTGGTAGCAATGACAATGGAAAAGGTCATAAAGAATTCAGAATCATTCTGTAATAAGTTCTCTACATGCTAAAAATATTGTAAAAGAATTACAGCAATGATCTCAACATATATTTACAGTCTGAGACAATAAAAAAATCAGTCTGCTGCTATATTGAGCTGTGGATCAGCGAAGTTTGATACGGTATGTTTTTACGAATAACCGTGATGCAATCCTGATTCTTAAGCTTGTTGATTTTTACCGAACATTATCCACTAAGTACAGTGTCTATATCTATGTGATGGGATTCATGCAAAGAGGGTTATAAATCACACGTCCAACCTCTTCGATTGCATCTCCTCTGACATCGGAATTTAAGTCTTGCAATAGTTGTGTTACATATTTTGCGCGGCTCTATAATTTTATAGTTTATAGAGAAAATACGCGTAATTATAATATATGGGTATGTGATTGCTAAATAATAACTATAAGTTAGAGGTAATTTTTACTAACCTTGCCAATCGAATTCTTGTCTAAGAAAAAGCTGTTGGTAGGATAAATGACAGTTAGTAAAGAAATGCAAGATAATTACGCATATCATAGTCTAAGCTATTAAGCGGTAGGTCCAATTGCAGTAGTAAATATTGAAGCAACATATTTACGCATAAACGCGTATACGAAGACGTTTTTTAGTACCGTGTAATGCGAATAACTGGCAGATCTTAATTATTCGCATTTGAAGTACTCGAGATCAGCGCGCAATTTTCAGAATTATCAAGCGTATCAGATATATTTGGTAATTTCTGTAAGTCAAGATATGTCTACAAATGTACATATCGTTAAAGTATGTCATGGCGTAAGAACAGACATCGGCTGCTAAAGAAATACCTACGAAAGGTGTTTCTTTAGTATCCATGGAACAGATTAGACGATAATTACTGTACTAATACTAAATGCATCGGCTTCTGTTTCACGTTGCTATACGAAAGTATGTCTTCGGGCTTAAGCTTTATTGTTGGTTATAGGTAGTCTTGCTGTTAGATTGTTGAGTACAATTTACTGTATCGATAAATGATGTACATGCTTTTAGGTTAGCAAGATTTTTATAGCTTTATGGCGTATATACCGGGACTGCATTTGTGGTACTGAACTTTCCGTGGAAGTTAATAGTAGATTTGGAGTTTTAACATTGTCGTCTCGAACTGAATTCTTAATTTGTGCTTGTTCAAGATTAAAGGTACAGTAATTAGTTTGAAGGTTACGGCAGACTACGTAAAGCAGCAATCATAGAAGAGCAATAATAGCAATAATTAATTAAGAAATGATAGTATCGAGGATTGGGAAGTGTGTACTGTGTTGATATGATATTCACACGAGTTATCTCGCTGACGGAAGACATCTGATCAGTTTACGAGTGCTATACATATACAGTACTGTACAGTATAGTAAATCGTGATGCTAGTTGCTTACTTGTTACCGACGTCTTCTGAAGTAACTTGGTGCCCATCAATGACAGTAAAGGAGCCAATGCCTAATGGATTAATCGGTAATTTATATTAAATACAGTATCCAATATAAGATTGAACCTGCATTATAATGAGTTAAGCAGGATAGATTGCATTATCAACAGTAAACTATGTTGCTTATTCTAATTACACAGCGCAAGTAGCTACTGCAGTACCTGGTAAAATTAAATTTTTGAGAATTTCTGTTCCAGTTGCAGTGGCATTAATTAGACAAACTTTGGCTCGCTGCAATTTATCTTGTCCGTGGTCTCCCCATAGTCTGTAATATAAAATAGTTCAAAAAGTGCCAGAGTTCATTCTATATTAGTGCAAGTATTCAAATCTTTCCTACTCACCTTAGTTGTCTATCATACTTCTTGTTTCTATCCAATTTAGTATCAGCAGCCATTTAGCTCAAGTGCAGTTTCAGGCTTCTCGGATCTGGGAATGACTGGGATGTTAAGTTGTTGAAGCGTTCATGCGCAGTAATTCCGAATTTATCACAGTGCAATACTGTCTCATCACTGTGGTGCACTACTGTATACTGTACTGTACACTGTGCACTGTACAGTACAGTACTGTATAAGGCTTATTGGTGATTGCTGGTGGTTGACTTGGGTTATAACCCTTTATTGCAGCTTAGGTAGTACTTTTGTACTGAATTCTTGGGTTATTTGACCGGGGGTTAGAATCGGCTACCAGTCAACACTGGTACTACAGTATATGACATACTGTATGCATCTCTACCTCTAATCCAAATGATTGTTAATAGAAGTGCAAAAAATTGTAACGGCCGGGTCAAGAGCGAGAAGCTTAAATCGTTAACCTGGAAAAAATGATTTCAGCTTTTATTGCATGTCTGCTAGAAACTTGGTGATGTTATTTGACACAAAGCACTAACGATAAATCCAATCCATAAATGGATCCATTCAATCACTCAGGTCTAATTCAATGGCAGTTTATGAGTGGCAGGGCTGGCGAGGGGATGAATGAGGCAACATTACAGCATTAGGCGTACAGTACAGTACAGTATACTGTACAATACTGTACAGTACCGTACAGTGCTGTACTGTACACTGTACACTGTACTGTACTGTACATTCACCGTGACATACTGGATAGTTAACAGTACTGCACAATCCGATTGTTGATTGAGTTCAACCTTGGTCATTGGCTCTTTCTGTACTGTACGTACACTACAATAAAACGTGTAGCACCGGTACGGATCGGACCCCCGAGGGATTGCATGTGTCGTTTATGTCCTACGCGGCTAGTGGGTGACGCATGATTACGTGAAGTGCCCTTACTGTACACTGTAAGTAGAGTATACATAAGGAACCGGCGAGCTGCATGTGCATTATTGTGAAGCTTTCAAACAAGAAGCAACGAAGGCAAACGAGCCCGAGAGGGTTGAAACGGGTTGGTTAGCAGCCTCAACACGACGATATTGAATCGAACATGGCGGTGTCGATACATCACTTTGTTATTTCTTGTCGCAGTCCTAGCGAGACATGTGAACTGTTTTGCCAGAAATTTTCTTTTCGAAAATTTGCTATTTGCAAGCAACTAGGTCAAGGTGTTAAAATTGCTGCAAAGATTTCCGATGATATTGTAGCAGTTTTTGAGGAAAGACCGAAAAATGCATCGCATGATAGTGTCTATGATGTCGCCTTAGTGGTGGAGGATTTTGTTGAAAAACATGCAACAGCGGTTAAAAATGGAGCACACTTTATTCAATCGCCAACTCGGATTGAAGATCAATATGGTTATATCGATTATGCTATAGTTAAAGTGCCTGCCGGAAACATCCAACATACACTTTTAGATGTTAGCCATTATGGTGGACAATTTTTACCTGGCTATCAGCCTATCAATGACGTGGAGAATGTCAATTCACCTACGACTGAATCCAACCATCAACTGGTAACGCATATCGATCACGTTACTTGTATCTGTCATCAAAATACGACCGTTCCGCTGTTAAATTGGTATCAGAAATGTTTCAATTTTAGTCGATTCACTATTAATGCCGATGAAGAAGAAGATGGGTATACATTAAATGATTTACATATCAAAATGATTGCAGCTCAATATTGGCTATGTACCGAACAAGGTATTCAATCGTCTAATGGTCGTTTTAAGTTCCTTCTTGCAGAACCATTAGATATATCAGGTAAAACAACAAATGATTCCTTTGCACTTTCAATCTTAACCTCGTCATCAATCTAGTCGTAGTATAGAAAGCCTCGTAATGGAGCACTTCCTTAGTGCATTAATGTATACCAGTATACTGACGTGAATACTCGTATGTATATTTTTACAAGCATCATCGGTTGATTTGCAACTAATGATGTTTGTAATCATGGAAGAGTACAGTAATTATAGATTTATTAAATGTACGGTAAACTTGACTTATAAGCTAGAGTATTAAATAAATAAAAAGACTTGTGTCAAACTTAGCTTTTGCTGTATCAATCAAGAATGTAATGGACTGCGCTGGTATCATTTTGATAATATGGCAGATATAATGTTACAAACAATTACAGGATGGAGAACATTGCAAAATAGAAGCTCGTTACATCGATTAATGACGTTTCTAATATAGTAATTATATAATTGACTAATTTATAGTTAACAACCATGTCAATGGATTCCTTAAGGAACAAGAAGGCTCAGGAATACAACATATAGCTCTCCATACGGAAAATATCACTAATACTGTCGGCCAAATGAAAGCTGCCGGTACAGCATTTGTTACACCACCTGATACATACTACAATAACGTAAGTTTACTAGTCAACGTCTAGTAAAAAAAATTAGCTCATTAAGACTTTAAAATGAATATAGATATTATGATTAATATGACCATTTGAGAAGTAGCGAGTTGTAAATCAATTTGCTAAAATGATGTACTTTTCTCAATATTTTAACCTACGGTGTGGTGTAAAAGATATTGAAATGATACACGTATAATCTAACACCCTTACCGAAATGATAAATTATTACTATTTAGCTTAAACAAGCTGATATCCATGAAACTGTCAAGTTATCTGCAGAAGATCTTAAAGAGAATAACGTCTTACTTGATTTTGAGCTTGATAAATGCGAGAATGAGGGTCATAATAGTAATGGCCAAAGAAGACCAGATGCAAAGTAAAAATACAAGTTCTATTCCTAAAACAAAGTAACAGTATGGAATGGCTGACAGATCTTTGATAACGTTGGCTTGATTTTATATTTTATATCAGGTATTTATTGCAAGCGTTTACTCGACCTCTTCTTGATAAGAAAAGATCGTTTTTTATGGAAGTTATTCAACGGTTTGGTGCTCGTGGCTTCGGTGGAAGTAATATTAGGAAATCATTTACTGCAATGGAAGATAATAATGGAATAGTGAACGATACGTAGTATTAACTTTATTGTAGTTTAAAATATTTAATAGAAATTATATGACATTGTAATATTAATGAAATGGACCTTGATACGTATTGTGATATTTACTGATATTGCAATTTCATAAAGTAAGTGTTTATATAGCAAGAAATTGGTACATTTCACCTTGCAATCCTGAATTTACTCTCTCATTCCGTGAGCGCTTACGTAGTATTTATTCTTAATCATTTATTTACTACAATTAATAATTGTATTAGTACGTTCATTTGAACAAATCTTGAGAGTTATTTTAATTACAAGTTTCGTATAGATTAGCATTTAGGGGAAATAAGTTAATCTAAGCATTGCCTAGAGAACTATATTATGCCAATACTAGGACAGTTATTAACAATTATTTTAGTGTAAACCTTTATTTATTAGGTGCAATTTCGTGTGTGCAATGCTTATATTTATCTTCGAAGTAATTTACAGTTCCTAACGCATAATTAATTAGCTTCAATTTAACTGTGATCTATTTTATTTTGCATTTTGTTTTACCGCTAAGGCTATATATTTTGGGCATAGAAATTATAGCAGATTAGTCAGACTCTATTATTAACAATTTTCCTTACAAAATGAAATCAAATTTGAAAACTACCTCCTATATGCGATATTGCATACGTACTAATGTTTGCATTAAAATGAGTACATGGTACTATAATTCATTTAATTGCAATTGTAAAATTTTAATTTTAATGACCGTACGTTGCGGTAATATGATGCTATTAGACATAAGTTTGCTACGTATGAAACTTATATACAATAATTATTAGCAATGTTTTCTGGCTTATTCTTGTAGTTGGTGACAGAGTATTGCTGTACTAGTTGGAAATGTTTTAATTTGATGATGTGACGCTACTCCACAATAATGATCATCGTGAAGATTTAAATGGAACCCTAAGTATCCAAATTTATTACCAGACTTGATAATTTCAGGCAAACCAATTGTAATCGCCTCTTCTAAGACATTCTCATAGATAATAATCATTTAATTGACATAGTTATCACCCAATGGGTATACGTACCGTGTTAAGATAAACTGCTCTTTTAAAGCTACATCTACTTGATATCATTGCCTATCAATTATTAACGTTAGCAATATTTAGAAGATCGTATTGTCTATGCTTTTTAAGTATAAGAAATTTATATTACAATCTTGATGCTATTAATTGCTATATGTATAATAATTTGAACAAAATGTGATATGTTAATAAATTAATTATCGATGATATTGAAATTATAGCTTTTTACTGTCTAAATAGACAAGTAAATTCTTTCAGTTCAAATGTAATTAATAATTTTGAACTGCAAATTACATAACAAGATAGAAAATTCAGCGTAAATGCACGCTAAGTTCGTACACCAAACTTCATGTCCTAAATGCGTTGAAAATTTAATGACTTCATTAAATTCTAGACAGTGTATATTAACTTTTTTATAATACTGTACTGCACACATATACCGCTCTACAAATGCTCGCTTTTAAAGCCATGAAGTGGTCCCACCTGTAGTGAGCGTAATAGTAGTTTCTTACCCATATACGATCCAATCCTGAGTAAATCAGCATTAATATGAAACTGGGGAAGTGTGACGCCAATCCCATACTCTTCGACGAAGTAAAATACAAAAGGATCGAAAAGTTATCAGATTCGAGCGTAATACAGTAATAGCTACCGTCAAAAATTTGAAAGCTTATTCTGTTAATAAATCTATCGATTATAATATGGTATACGCTATATCTTTAACCATTATTATGTCTTTATTAATTGCTTTTACATACTGTATATTGTAAGATCAAGGCTAGCTTGTACTGTACAGAATATAGGTCCCCACGTTTATTAGACTGAAGAGCCACTTCCAATCCATCTTTTCTCTCTTAGTAATCCCTGGTTAGATAGTACAGAAATACACATTTTGAATAAGATATCAGTCTTATCCTCTTGTACTACCATGATCAGTCGATGAAAAGTTAAAAAACTTTTAGTAAAGTCAGTAAAGGATCAAATACTGTAGATAAGAACTACATTAGGTATACGGTGCATACAGTTTGTAATCGTGCTTACATTAATTACTTGCATTAGTTACATTAATGTAAGCTGCAATAGGTTAAAATTTTTTCACTATCTTAAATATTAATGTATGCATCGTGACGGAAATATAGAAACTGAAACGTCTAGGCATGATATTGAAAGATATTAATTTCTGCAAGGATGTTTCCTCACCGTCTTGTGATGTATGCTGAATGGCTATAGAGAAGAATGTACAAAAAATTACCTACTAGTTATCAACTGCTGTATATGAAATTCCTAATTTCTAAGTAGCTGATTTATAGTATACGATCTTCGGTTAGTTAATATTCTCATTTAAATATCATGGATTAAGCAGTGAGGTTAACCAACATTATATACGAGTATGTGCTTACAACAATGCATTAAAATAAAAATGATGATGATGGCACGATAATAGGGATACCAATTTGGAGGCAATTTTATTCCAGGAAATTAAATATTTGAAGAAATATAATTTTATTCCTGTAATTAGCAATTCTATTTGAATCTAACATTCAAAATAGGAGATTATCTATTCGCATACAATAACTGATTTAGGATAAAAAGATTTATGTAGCAAACTTATTCATATCACAACTTTTCACTGGTTGAAAAATTTTCTGTAGATATATTATATTTTATGATAATTTAAATCCGTTGTAAACGTAATTGATTACCATAATTCACTAATCAATAAAGAATTAAGTGAATAATAGATTGTAATTGACATTAAGTAGTATATTAATTGTATTCTTTTATCTGAATTTTCGACTAAATAATTCAAGTGATCGAATGTAAATGGTTTAAACGTTACGGAAACATTTTCTTATTTATTTGCTACAAATTTGAAACCATGGCAAATCTTTGTTGCTTGACAAATATATCTTATGCTTGTTTATCAGAGAATGGAATCAATAGCTGGCTATTTTTTGAGCTAAATAAGGAAAACACTTTTTTAAGTACCATTGCATGATACGGTAATTAATATAATATTTTATTATACAATAAACATTCCAATATCACGACGTGTTATCGGTATTACACAACGAAGAAAAAATCTATCAAATTTTGCATGACTTTATTGAAAGTATATAGTATACGGTAGCTTTTAAATTTATAATTATTTAACTATAGTTTATGCATGCTATCATCTCATGAACTCATGTACGAACAGTAACGCTATATGATATAACTTGGATATTATAACTCTTTTTATGTCTAAACTAACTCCTTACTCCGCGAGGGTAGAGTCTATACAGTTAGTTTATTTACATAGTTAAATTCATTAAGCGAATAGTAAACTCTTGTCATTTACAGGATATGAATCATTCATGAACTCTCTTTGATTAACAATATTGCTATCATGAATATATGCGATTTGTTATTTGACAATTCTCGTGTCAATAAATTAGTTAAGCAAACAGTTATAAGGTCATCACAGTCAAGAAATGTATAAAAAGAGCTGAAGTTATCAGTTGATACCTTTTTTCATCTGCGGTGGACCTAGTCTCTTGGATATATCGCTATGGCAATGAAATTAGTATTCTGCATCCTTGCTCTTATTGCTACTCCAGCTTTAGCGTAAGAAAGGCGAACGTAACATACTTATTACGATATTGTCTTCCTAATTTGAACTGTTTATGATGAGTATCATTAGATATTGTGTGTGAATATCGGTTTCATGAAGTGAAAACTCGAAATCGTAAAATTATTAATGGCATAATAAATTATTTTTGATATGTATGTTCATATAACCACTTTTTTTCTGCTGATATAACAGTGTGAGCAGTAGCCAAATTAAAGCGGCATTAGATGGCTTTTGGAATGTCGATTACAATCGTGCCTATGCTGGATCTGATTTCCACATCTCTAAGCAATCTACAACTACTAGCTCCAGCACAAGTGACAAATCTTCTCAACCACTTTTCCAATACGTAAACGAAAATAAAATTTTCGCCAGGCCAACTTATGCCAAATATATGTTAGTACTTGTGTTGTATAAAAAATTTAAAAATTACTTAAAAAAAATAAATTATGATTTTATAAAATTTTTATACAACGATATTTTATTTATTATGCTACTATTTACAGAATAATCTAAGATAAGGGTAGCTTCGTCATTTTTATTTAGTTCTCTCTTAATTTCATGGTTATAGTATAACAGATATAAGAAATATCAAAAGTTAATTAAATCAAAAAATGACATATTTCAATCTTATTATCGATCTTTATAGTGCCTTAATGGACAACTACGTTCATTGCACTGGTACTACTGAAAACTACTCCAACAATGAAGTCAATGAAATCTGGGCTTTCTTGGATGAAATCATGAAAACCCAAGTAATGAAGGATGCTCATTCTTTCTTGGTTTCACATGGTCTTGCTTCATCAAACGTTGCTACTTTCAAAGATGAATTATATGAAATCTGGTTTGAACCCTACCAGAGAAAAGTTTCCGGGTAGGTTAGAGGTCAAGGTCTATGTTACTGTATGGATTCAATAGATCAATAATTGTAATTGAGTTAAATACGATACATAATACCGGGATTTCGTAGTTGAATTTGATAGCATTACTATCATAAAGGAGCGTTAGGATATTTGATACCTAATTAGCATCTCAAAAATACTATAATAGCTATATTTTTACAGCAGGAACGTATATAATAACATTTTTATGTCTCATATATCCACATAAATAAGAATTTAGCTAAGATTATTTGTTGCATACGATGGATTAATACTAGTAGTAGCCATTGAGGAAGGTCAAATTACGTAGATCCAAATACCAATAACAATCACTAAGCGAACTAATTCCATATTCCGCGTCCACTGATTAGCATTAGAATTGGATAAAAGTTTATGTGGATTCGTACATAAAAATTGTTATACTGTGGTATAGATAGAAGACTTCAATTGGTTCCATGCACGAAATTGCTAATTTGAGTATATTCATCACATTAATCAGCGCATAATCTTATTAATATATCCGATTATATAAAGAAATAGTAGTATAAAAATACGTGCTAATTGATTACCATACCGTGAATTTCTGAATAATCTATATAGACAGAGTTTGCAAATTAATTATTTCATGACTGGCTTTAGAAGGTTACATACGGTACTCTAATACTCGAAATTTTAGAATGAAACTGATTTTGCTATTACACTGTCTCATTTTTGAGGCTATATGGCAATATACATTATTAGAAAACAATACTGAAAATTTTGCATCCATATTTCATGATTTAGAGACACTTCTGGTTTCGAACACGTTTTCGTTGGTGAATTGAAATGCAGCTCCAGTGTTACTGGATTTCACAGTTGGATCCAATTCTACTTGGAAGAAAAAGCCAATAACCTCAACTACCACGGTTACATTGGAACTGTAAGTCCTATTATATAACAGAATATGCCAAAGTATCGCCAACTATTTATAATGTTCAAATTGCAAGATTATGATAATCTGAAGTGAACTAATACTATATGTGCTGCTAATATATAACTCAAAAAGTGCTTGAAAAAATTTGTGCAATCTAATTTTTGTTGGCTTTTTTGTGTTGGTAATATAGTACCCCAAAAACACTCCACGTGTTTTGACTCTCCAATTTAAATGGTACAATATGATCAAGAAGATCGGCGGTGGTTTCATTGGTACTAGCCCCGAATATGATTTCGCTGTCTACTCTACTTGCTTTATTGCTACTGGTGGTGGCAAATGCTCTATGTACGTTGACCAGCTCAACCTTAATATCCAAACTTGGAAGAATACTGGTACCGGTAGAGTCGCTTCCGCTTATCCTATCGTTTTGTAATTAAACGATCGTAGTTACTTTATATTAGTAGTATTGATTGCCGCGCATCATGCCAGTAACACTTATGGTGAATGGCATCGCGGTAAATTTAGATTTTTAGCTTGAATCTGACCTCAGAAATTAGCTAGATAAGTTGGCTACTAATAAAGAATAATTTGTTCGAGAAAACTTGTTTATTACTTCTACGCGTATCTGCATTATCTTCTTTCTGTGAAATAATCAGTATTACGTTCGGCATTGCAACCGTAAAATCCAATTATGAGAGTGCATTTAGAGAACAAAGTCTACACATAAATCCAAACATATCACGGTTTAGCTGACAGAAAAATTTTAGGTTACTTTTATTGTCTATTACTTATTACCATCTCTGAGATTGAAAGTATGTATCGTTAGAAAATAGGGTGGGACTAACTTAATAATCTTTGTGTTAATTTTATACAGACATTAATATTAATATTGCTTTAACGACGTAGTTAATGGAATGAGTTTCAATATGAATTATTTATAATCTCCAGCTGTAGAATTCGCAACGATATAAAGAACTATGACCTTTACTATTCCATATTTTTCGTAAAAAAAACTTTACCAGAATATAGAGTAATTGCTGTTTAAAAGTGTAAGATGAAGGGCGGTACTACTAAAATATTAGTGGAGCACAATATTAATAGTTTACATAGTCACTGTAATTCTATGAAACAGCTATGACCAATGTGTGTAAGTATCTACGAAAATAGGCTTCGATGAATGGAAATAATTTTCACGCACGAAGTTATGCTAGTTTCTTGGAGCTGTAAACTTTAATACCTCTAACCAGGTCAGTTGACGTCCGGGTGTACTTCAGTAAAATTGTATTTAATGATTGACTACCCGTTGCTAAATCCCTATATTGATAAGGTCAGAATAGTACACATTTTGTACATAACAAGTAGGGAACACTTTAATATAAAACATATAATATTGCATGTGAAAAATTTTGCAAAGAAATTCGACTAACTTTATATACGGTTCAATTTCTTCCAAGCTCCACTTTGTTCTAACTTTAAATAATTTATTAAATCTATTTACGAAAAATTTGTAAATGATGTGTTAGTAAATTTTCCAATTTGAGCATATTAACTGGTTCTTGACATCACAGTTCTCACTTTGGCTTGAGGTATAATAAAACTTACCGAACGTATGGGTCAGGGGGTAATTCTGAAACTTGAAAGAGCCAAATGACAGGAGGTTTAGATGTTGTATCAGTTAAAGCATAACCCTAAGTCATATAAAATTAAACAGTGTACTGAAATTGTTGTAATTTATCTACGTTTTAGTTACGTCAATTATTATCAGATAAGAATAAACCACGTCAAGATTTTAAGGATAACCTTAAGTTGTTCGATCTTTGTATGCATTCCTATTGGCACGCTACTTTCCCAGCATTGCATGAATTCCTCATAGTTGAACTATTTTTTGTTAATATTTGATAATTTCGTAAAACTAGAAGCCGGAGTTTTTTGTTATAACAATAAGATCTTACTAGGCGTTAAGTACTATGTTTAAATATTATGTCTTATTAAACGAACCTTTCCGGCAGGCTTAAGGATCGAAATAGCACATTGCCGGCACACCTTATCTTCATCTAGGAAACATTTGTCTGTGAAAATTATTGCAAGCGATCAGACATAAATGTATAAGAGCAGTAAGCAACCTTTGTAATATGGCTAGTTAAACTCAATACAGACTATCAGCGCTCATAGCTTTACCTTCATCGATAGTTCCATAACACTTGATGCAATGGTTTATGATATACCTATCCGGGAAATTTATATCTTTCATGGTCAATTAATCACGTATATAACTTACAAATTATATATCAGGATATTAATAAGTAAGATTGATTACTTGGTGTAATTAATAAACCAACAACATATTATCTATATTGTTTACCGTGGATAAAGCTCTTCTAGTATATCACAACATTCACCTAGGGAGAAATTGTGAAAATTCCAATCTTTCTCTTCTACTAGATTAATAATGCACTGAAATACTTGTTCTTTGTAGCTCTCATCCAGAATACGCCAATAACCTTCGATAATTGGAGATTTAGCAGATTATGAGAATGATAATATTTAGAAATAGGATAAATGTACAAGTCAGATCTATATTGGTATTTTTATTTACCGTCGATATTGCAGGCATTCATAGCCTCAATTGCTGCCAGCAGCTCGCCTTCACTCGCTTGAACTTTATTTAATAAATCTTTTAATGTATACTAGATATGCACAACATTGTCAATGGCTATCATTAGATAATTAATTAAATGATATCTATTTATTAGTATTATGAATAAGTGTTTTATTGTACGAGGTTAGGATAAATAATTAATGCGCGTAACGATCTAGCTAGACGGTTTAATATTAGATAGCAAATGTCGATCAAGTAGCGTATTATCAATTGTATAAGGAGCTGCTAATACTAAAGTTTGTCCAACTGAAATAAATTGTAGATGCTACCTTATTTTCTTTTGTGTCATCAACGCCTTTAAATGGGTTTTCTTGTAGTAATCTCTTCAGCTTATGAATTCGAGGCCCACATTTTCTTAATTCTAGGTATGATTTAGGTATAGCCCATGTCTAGTAAGTAGGAAATGATATATATCTTTTGAGTAATTTAATAGAGTAGTGATATTCAAGTTTCTAATATTGAGGTCCAAGATAGATTTGTTAATTTAACGGTGAAATAAGTTAATTTTAGCACACCAGGATAGCATAGATAAGAATATGTCAAGTAGATAGCAGAATTTATATTTAATATCAGCTTAGAGGATCCAGAAGTGATCTTCAACAGCTACCTACTAACCTGACATTCTTGAACTTTACACTCTTGAAATGATGATCCTATTCAGTTAATTACGAATAATAAATATCATGCCCAGCTCAATAACTTCTAAATAGACTGATGACTGAAATAAATAACAAAATTGAACCTTTGATAATTAAATTAATAATTTAAAGCAATTAAGAATTTAGGATCCATTACATGCATCAGGGAATACTACAGTATGAGAAAATGATTTTTGAAATTTTCATCACTATTGTAGTGTGCAAGTCTAAAAGCGAAAATATTCATCCATTCCACATTCTGCTTCGTAAAGTGATATTGACAAAGCACAACAAAGGCAAATACTGTAATGTGATGTGAACTACGTACACACTCTTTAGCTATCGTGATCTCTTTTTATAAGATACAGTACTCGTATTACTTTAATCTACATAGTTCGAAATTCTATGATTCATCAACTGTAGTTTATAAAGTACAATTGAAGATGTGAAGAAAGGTAAATAATGTAACGTGAGTTGTACTCTATTTCTACCGTGATCTCGCTGAGGCCATATGCAATTGGGGCTTAGTAATAAGGTATTTGATGTTTCGGCAATCCGTACATCGAATGTAGCGTTGTCAACGCATAAAGTGACATCGTCCTCTTCTTCTCCACGAAATACAATCCTATGATAGATAAAGAATTGAGTATATGGTGCTGTTGAGATTTAACGTTGATTGTGCATGTTGGAAATTTGTTCAATGTATAAGCAACAGAATCAATGGACTGGACTGCGAGTCAGTGATGACGCCCATACTGTACGTACTTTCGGCTACTTTCAATGGCTTCTAAAATTTCTGGTGTTGCTTCCAGTAATTGAAATTGTCGATTATTATCGGGTGATAGGACTAATTCTTGGACTAAATTGAGATGGGAAGATAAACCAGCTTGCTCTGCACTTTGGCTAATTTGCGTATAATCCCTTGATATTATCCATATAAGCCAAAGGTTACATCATTTATCTACTGTCCTTACGTAGCCATTAATTAATTATTGACAATACGAATTGTTCTACTGTACCTTATACTGTACAGTAGCATCAAAACAATCTTAGTTTGCGAAATTACTGTATGCCTACAATATTAATACTATGTCTATGGTCAATGGAGACTATTTTAGTTCGTCACAAATACAATACAATACATCCAACTAGAATATTTCATAGTACACTACAATAAGTGGAATCATTTCTTCTCTCCATCCTAAACAAATTACTCTGACTGTCCATACCTCTTCAAATTTCCCGCCATCTTGGTTAAAGTGGATGATGAGTCGACTGGATCAGAGATCTTTCACTTACTGTACACTATCACGTGATTTACAGTACTTTTGTGCAGGTCTGTGCAATACAATGCATTGTACTGTGCACTGTACAGTACAGTACTGTACTTTTAACTGTTAATTAATTTCAATTCACTACAGTACAGTACAGTACAGTACTGTACTTGGAGCCCAAATGATGATGAGGGTATTTTGCCATACACTCAGTAGTTAGTTAGCAATAAATAAATAAGTAATAATATTCAAAGCTTGATTGGATTTGCTAGACTTTGCAAAGTTTTGTTTTTAACACACCATTCTTACAGAAAACTTTTTAATTCAGATTAAAGTGCAATATTATTGTGTGTGGTAAGGTTGTGTACATGTACAGTAGGCACTTCTGGTACTTGTTCTACAGTACTGTACAGCTGTACATCACTAAATATATACTGTACTGTAGAGTTCTGTGAAATGGTCATTTCTTGACAGTACTCCAAAGTCCAAAATCCCCAATTTCTAGCATTCCGAAAGATCGCTTTATTTACCTTTATGCATACAATTACTCAATAGCACCGAGTTTATAGCAGTTGAAATTTTGAAAGAGAGAGGAAGGCAGAAAATGAGTAAGTAGTCCCATGATCGTCACTATTGTATATCTTGAATGTTTTCCATTCCATTCCTATCACCAAATAGAATACCCACTCAAACCGTCCATTAGACCCAGTCATTTCCCTAAACGATTGCACACTAAATGTACAGTAGAGACAGTGCAAGGCGAGACGGGATAGCTATTGTTCTTAGTACAGTACAGTACTGTACGGCGTCCCGTACCGTCCCCCAATTTTTCAGTTTGAATCCTATTGATTTATTTACAAGACATTGACTGAACTGCAGTACAGTATCTTGTACTGTACTGTACAGTACAAACCAAACTCGCTACAGTACAGTACATACAGTACTTTCAGGGGGTGACAATTGGTTTGTAAAAGGGTGTACAGTACTGTACAGTACAGTACAGTACTGTAGTGCTGAGTGAGTACTGCAGACTTTTGTCGAGATCCAGGTAATTGAGCAGCTTCACACTTGAGCAGTTTTAAATCATTGCAGCAGATTTATTGACTTTCTACTTGAAATCATTTATCCAATCGCAAACAGTTCAATCATTAATCTACCAGACGTTGTGGAAATAAAGAGCTTGCGAAATTAAAGTTCAAATTACTTCATACGTATCAGCACTCGAAACTTTGCCAATAGAGAGTCCTTCGATAGCGATCAGACGCGTCGTTTAATCTACTGTATTGTCACTTTTCCACTGCAAAATCCTCTTTTATGTCTGGTAGTTTGACCGCTCCATGCAAAAGGAAAGGGTGCGCAATATTTTGTATTGATGATAGTGAACATCTGGCCTATTTCATTTGCATTCAACGCGATACACAGTAGTTAGTATTCATTGGTGATTCAAAATACGTTGAAAAAAGAAAATCGTTGTGGCTTGTCGTTGATCGTGTATTCTTATTCGTTACAGACAACCGTGGATTGGACGTAACTTGATAGCAGGGCTATGGAAACAAGGAGAAGTTCTACTATTGCAGACAGCTTATCGGATCGAGATCTGATAATGATAGGTGAAAATTTACGTTTAAGACTTCATGATAAAGCTGGCAGTGAGACTATTATTCAAAATAGACGATATCATTTACGTTCCTATCCTAAGTGCTTTGAAGGCACAGAACTAATCGATTGGTTAGTACTACATGAAGAAGTTTTAAATAGGCAAAATGCCATCGCTTCAATGCAAAAATTACTAGAGAAGAATATCATTCATCATGGTATGTGAATTAAACTATTGTAAAAAAATTAGATTGATATCGGTTTGTTTCATGACTTCTCATTTATAAATTTTATAGCATTAAAATCAATCATCATACCTTCCTAGGATGACTTTTGAGACTTTTTTATTTACTGTACTGTAATTACACCAATAAAGAGATAAATAAATAAATACTCTAGGTGTACTTGACATTATTGCTAGTTTCCAAGTCACGTATACGAATAGTTCTTATTATGTTCGTATTCATGTATTATTATTTTACCTTTAAAAATATTGATATCAAAGGGTAAGTGATACAGCCAGATTTGTAATAGATCAGATCCTCTTCTTTTTTTTTCGAATATTTGTAAGATACAGAAATACGCGTATGATTTAAACGAATGAGTAATAAACGGTATGTAGTAGAGTAATTAGTATGGACTACAGTGATCGATCGACTGTATACTTACGATCTCTTGTCGAAAAGTAGAGTATGGTACTATCCTAAGGTACACCAATCTCAACGTCAAGTGTTTTCATTATATCATCTTTAATTAATTTGGCATTATTTTCCATCAACTGATGGAAAATACTGCGAATTGATTTTAAAATGCAAAGCTTGACTGCAAAAGTTAATAAACTATCTTGATCAATAATTAATTACAACATATCAATATCGCTGTATACTGTACCGTAGAGATATTGTGATATTGTGATTGTGATATTCTGATCGCGGAAGTCTAATTATACTGAACGCGGTAACAATTAGATAATATAATAAAATTAGCATACGAGTATAATCGTTCAAAAGGATAAAATTGACTTTATATCCAGTTCTTGCTTTATTTCGCTATCATAGGCATGATTTTAGTAAGTTGCCTTATTATACAGCGCTATACAGCTAAAATAAACTTGATAATTTATTGCCTACTTGAAAATTTCTGTCCATCCGACTACAGCAAATAAATTAACATTTATCCCATTTATAGTTTGCGATGATCATCAATTTAAAGATGAACGATTATATTATCGATTTCGTGTCGACGATGAAACGTTTCATACCAATGTTGAAGTTGATGTACTTTTAGAAGGTGAAAGACTGCGTTACCTGTAAGTACGCTCGTACAACGGATAATTTTGAAAAAATGGCGTTGCTTAGTCATTGAGAGTTTCCATATTAGTCTTCTCTTGGAAATAATTTGGTTAAACCTTAGTATCACATGAAGGAAATCTTACTTAGTTCATGATTACAAACATAATACTAAAGTAGAAAGCATACAGAATATCTACTCTTCAGTTGCTTCGATTTAGAACTAATTGACACTGTATAATTAACGTTCTGGTGTTAACTTTGAACGTTTAATTATCAACATTTAGCTTACATGCAGAGTATGGCAGCTTGTTTCGTGACTATACCCCTCATAAATCTCAAAAAACTTTTAAATGTTTTTTGGGCTCGGATTTGGTAACTTGGTTCGTGCAACAAGGACGTGCAGGTTTCAGGCCAGAGGCAGAAGCGTCATGTAGAAAACTTCTTGAAAACGGAGTTATCAGACATGGTAATACTTTACCCGAAGCTTTGCTTTCTATGCCACTATTTCGCAATTTTTGATTACTTTTGGTACTGTAATCCTCCTTAGTTTAATTTTATTAACTTTTTATTCAATGTGCTTCTTTTTTTAATACTAGTCACTGACGACCACCATTTTAAGGATCAAAAGATATTCTACCAGTTCCGATTGGATGCTTTAAATGTCAAAATAGGCGACTTGTGCGACGAAAATGATGCTTCATCAATTTCGCATACTACTAAAGCAAATTTTCACGTTGATGGATCCTCTATTGGTAAGTTTAAACAGACCAACCTATTATGCATTACTTGTACAGTACATATCGGTCAGAATTGTTAACGTAATGAAATTGGTTGCTTTATTCAATCATTGCTCAATATTGGTACTATTTATCACTTCAATATCCGATATTTTTAGATAGTGGGTACAGTAGAGATTTTAGTTAATTAGTTAAAGAAAAAGTAAATATGCTTATATTTATAGTAAAAACTTTTAATGTTGAAAACTGCTAGATAAAAATACTAGACCAATTACAGATGAAGATCTTTTAACCAAACCCGTTGATAAGACTGGATCAGGTAACGAACTACTTTCTAGTTATTTGCATTTTTACGATTGAAAACATTATGGCGTACAATAAACTTCTTCAATGTTTTAGTTTTAAAGAAACCTATTACGCTCAAAGAATTGCGAGATCCAAATGCACCTTATGTCAAGAAAAATATAAAGGTTTTATAGACTCATCTTGTGATATGTAGAGGATAAGGTTTTCTATTAAAAAATGACAACAATACTATTTTACTCTATCGTTAGATTATTCGTGATAACGTTGGGTTTGGATTTGTCGTTCGAGGTAAAGCTCCTGTCTACGTACAGACTGTCGATCCGAATGGCCCAGGTTATGCTGCCGGTCTTAAGGTTTGCATATTTACAGCGTCTCTAGCAATATACGAATATGTGATTATGGCTAATATGCCTGTATGAGAAGTTTTAGATTATGTACAACTTTTACTTAAAAGCTGACGCATCGTCTTATACTAGGCTGGCCAGGTTATTGTATCAATTAATAATCAATGTGTCCTAGAGTGGTCTCATACTGAAGTTGCTGATTTAATCGTCCAGTATCCTACTACTATTAATTTAATCATAATGACGGCTATACAAGATGAGTAGACTTCATCAGCTAGATATATTTGTATTCAATTTAACATTGCACTGTCTTTCATTATATTAATTATTAGACTTGAACATATGGCATAACTGAGATTGCCAGTAATTTATATGATATGGCTAATGCGTACGAATGTTAACATGAAAGTTGTGAAATGAATGTACAATTTAGTATGCAGCTCTTATATATATCTGTACACTGTGAGTTATGAATCCTTGTAAATTGTAATATCTTTTAATATAATCGCGAATACGCTAACTAATGTAATTAGTTATAGCATCCAATTTATAAATCAAAAATAATATCTACAAATCTTATATACCTTCCTAATCGTTCTTTGTCAAATTGATACACATTTGCTGTACGTTTAGGTCTCATTACAGTGATGTAAATACATTATTATTTGTGGTTAATTTTAAAAGCGTATTCGTATCTTATATTGGTAAATTAATATACAGAGTATAATACTTTAGTACTTGCGTATATAGAGATTATAACTGTTAAAAATCACAGTTTTAAAGTATAGCTAATAAAATGCGTAACCATCCTTTGAAATTATGAAGTAATTATTTGGTAACAATGTTTGTTTGTCTGCAATAGTGTATCACTCATTACAATTAAAAATTAAATAAAATATGGTTAATTCTGATCAACAGACGCTATATACGAAGACATAGTTTATCGTTAATGCCTCGTATCCGCTGCAAGCTTGTTTTTTCGATATGAGATAAAGCAGTTAAGCCGAGTGGCTAATATGCTGTATTCTATTAATGGCATTATGCTTGATAGTTTTCAACTTGGCTAATTCACTAGATAAAGGTTTGTATATGTTTTATGATGGGTGATACAGTACGTCAGTAGAAGTGTATTTGCTACTCGTAATGTTATAGAATCAGCGTATGATCAGCTTTTTTAGAGTACATACTTCGAAGATGAAGACAGATATTAATACTGATCGTCTCTATTACACTTGATATCTCTGCATAAAATAGAAGGAAATATTATAACTGTGCCTCAATTGACTGTTAGTTCGAATATATTAATACTTAGTAATTCTCGGAGAAGGAAAGCCTTCGTAATAGCATATTGTAGTAGAAAATCTCAGTCTTTGTTTTAGTACACTTAATAGATTTTAAAAGATGACAGTCCAGATACACTCTCATAAAGTACAGCAAATTATGTACCCGTTATAAAGGCTTCTCCAGTTACAACAATGTAGAATTTAGCGGTTTGAATCTACTGCAGGAGATGAACTAAACGAGCAAATGAGAAACTCTAGAGCACTTTATTATGATGCTTTGTAATCACTACTAATACACCGTTATACGTTCATCTAGCCCAGTAGTGAATTTATAATATATTTCGATAATTTCTCTTGCCTTGTCTACAGATTCTATATACCATAATGTATCGGCGTATTTTACTGGCGTACGTATTACTAGTCCTGTTATTGTAACAGCATACGTACTTTATTAATATATTGCTAGTAAATCGATCGATGATTTACCGTATTATGGGGGCCTAGCGGGATTACTCAGTTACTACTCGACAACAGTACATCAGGTCAGATATTATAGAAAATAGTGAATGATACTATAGCTTAACTAGTGTGCTGCAGTTATTTATTCAATTAATTGTAATTGCTATTTTATTATTGTTAATAGTATTATTTCATTTAAGCAATAAACAGATCATTAATTACAGCTATGCAACGCCATCAATTCTAGGCAGTGGAGAGAGCTCTTTGACTGCAATAAGTTTACGACTCTTCTAGAATGTGAGAGGCACGTGACGGAAAAAGCCTTAAAGGTCACAGCGTAGATCAATTTCTGATCAATAGATAGACAAGAAAAGAAAATTAACAGTTAATCCTCCAAATTAGCTCATTTCCAAATTGAATTAAACTATTCTGTCATCAGATGTGATGACTGGAATGATATATCAAGACTAAATTGAGAAAGATTTTCCTTTTAGTATGCAAGTTCTACGTATACAATCTCATATGTAACGGTAGTTTGCTATGTTTTCTATCTGTTTGACTGGCAGATGGTATTGTTTGTGTATCAAACCGTTTTTGTACCGCGTCGTGGAATTTTAGATGTTATTAATTAATTAATTAATTAAGGTTAGGTTAGTATACCAGCGTTCATGGAATACTACTGCAGATATCTACAGTAGTAGTCTATGCAGTGTTGCACTGGTCAATATTGTAATACAGTATTTCACAGTACTCGTCGTCAGTAGCAACCGTACAAGTGGAAATTTTCTTCTTCTCTATTTGCTAAGCGTATTTAGTGTGTGAAGGTACTGTAGGATTTCGATACAACTTGAATTAATTTGGAGTATCCGTATTACCGTGCATGCAATTTCTAGCTCGGACATTTTGATCTCAAATTATTTTTACGAGTTAGATAGTCATCGGTATTGGTAGAACATCATGAAATTGATACATTCTGTGGCGATTATACTGATCAGTTTAGCCTTGTTAGTCCAAATTGAGGCACATATTTGTATGATCAATCCAAAGCAACGAGGAAAATTTGATATTTCCACTGCCGGTAATCCAACCTGTTTTCGCCACGGTGAACCTTGTGGTGGACAAAAATTCGACGGTAAAATTAAGAAGCATATCACTCCTGGCCAGACCTTTTTTATTAAATGGCAACAAAATTATAACCATTATGAAATTGGATATCCAGGCTATATGGATATTTCTTATGCAGCTGGCAACGATAGCAAACCGTTTGTGGTTTTAGCTGTCATTATGGATTTTTACGCTTATGCCCAAAGTAATAGACAAAACTACACGGTACCAATTACTATCCCAAATATTAACTGTTCCCACTGCGTATTACGTATACGATATAACTCTCATAAACCTGGAGAACAAACGTTTATTCAATGTTCTGATGTATCATTCAGTCATAAGAAGAGTAATGATGATCATCATGAAGCTGAGGAGGAAGTGTATCAAGGCTGGAAGGAGTGGCGATCGCAAAGGATGACGTTACCAAAGCAAGCAAGTGACTATTTAAAATTTGCTGCTTTATTATCTGATCGATTTTCTGCTGCTAGCTCGGGTAATTACATCTATGGTATTTCTGCAAGCCCTTTCGATCTTGATGAAGCGAATTATGTTAAAATTGACACTGCTACTGGAGAAATTATTAAATTATCAACACTTAGTGCCCCATTAACCAATCAATTTCGAGTATATTCGGCCAAGCAAGTTATCGATTATGTTGCTATTCAAGCGTTCTGTTACGTTTACAAAAGTGACATGATGTACACCATCGTTCATAAAGGGAGTAATGCCGATGCAACTGCTAATAAGTTGTTTGCTATCGACAGAGCAAAGGGCAACACTAAAGCAAATGATTCACTCGCTGCAGAAGCTGTAAATATTGCCCCGATAAACGCTATCATGGATGATGAAGAAGGAGGATTTATTACTTTACAAATAGTGAAATTGCCGAGAAAACCTGGCTACTTTTCCTTTCTAGTGTCAAGAATGAATTTAAAACCTAAGCTCTTCCAACCAATCATAAATTCTCAACCGGAAAATTTATACGTCAACTTTTTATGGTCAACTTTAGATACCAAAAATAAAATCTGTTATTTACTCATGGGGAATGAAAATTCAGCTGATAAGTTGTTAGCAAAACTCTACGTTGTTCACTACGGAACTCAACCGGGGATCGAAATTGTTAACCTTAACGTATCCAGATATACGATAGGAGCCATTCATGTTAGTTTACAATTTCATACTTTATGCATATGAGCTTCTCACGATTATTTTTATAAAACTGTCCATATTAACTCAGTTAATTATTTATTAGTTTATAGATTACATTACTCCTTAGTCATTATAAATTTGGATTAGCTATATAGTTCAGCATTTGTATACTTTATTTTTGGACTATAGTTCTATAAGAAAACTGGAGAGCTATTGGCTGTATCTCCTGGAGTTGCACCTCGAAAGGATTTCAAGCGTGCACCGCAATGGTACCTAGTTAGCGTCAATCCTAAAAATGGACACATAACAAAGAAATTTCAGATTGCACCTAATGGTAATGCAACAATTGAAATATCACGTCTTTCATATTTAATCACTTCCTCGATTGATAACTGTTTTTAAGGATATTACTATCGTACTAGTTATGTACTCTTATTAGAAATCAGATTTATGCTTGATTTTTAATTTAATACAAAATACATAGTTTCAACAGTAAATTGATAAGCTATCCTACTATGACATAAACTACCGCTTAAGTTGCAATATAGTTTTATATACCTTCTGGAACGATTTGCAATATTTTAATACTTATAATACTCGTACTTATCGTTATGAATAATATGTATGTCTTTTTTTTCAAAATAATAGGTGCATTTAGACCTGTATTCTCTGGAAATATAGCGAATATCGATGAAAAGCGCGATAAATTATATTATAGATTCGAAGTTCTGGATGAGCCAGCAGATGTTATTGCCTCAATAGATTTAAAAAACAATGCTGTTTCATACTCTAAGCTTGGCTATTTTCGTCATGTTATCAATTTGTATTCTCCATCTCATTGATATCAAAATTCTGACTTGTAAGAAGTTGTTGTATAAGAACGATACCTGTAGATGATTGCCTCAGGTGCCACATTTTTTATTATGTATATCATCTGTTATACAGATTACAGAATAGAGCTATAGTAGAATGAAGTACTGTATAACTAATCGATGGTGTCTGAATACTTTTGAATACTAAATAAATCATTAAACTGATCGTTAAGATAATCATCTGTATGAGGGTTATAATAAATACCGAATAGCCCCAATAACTATAGTAATTAAGAAATAATAATCAACAGTCGCATTGAGAAATTTTTATTTGTAGCATAACATTCTTAGTTTAATAGATATAAAACATTAAAATAAGTTCTTATAAGGGTAGTTTTCAATTTCAGCGGGTGTATAGTCTTGTAATTTTTTAGCCGGTTTGCATGGTCCTGTTAATTCCTGTGTAATGTTGTTTTTATATGGATGTTTCTGTGAATTTAATCAAAATATTGCAATAGTTTTTTGTGTTAATAAAAGTATACGATAAAGCATAAAATGATTACAAGTCATTAAAGGATCTTCCTGTCATCAAAGCTATTGCTATCATTAAAAATACGGTATTCTAGAAGGTGTTGACGGAGATTAATATTGCAATAGTTTTTTGGGTTAATAAAAGTATACGATAAAGCATAAAATGATTACAAGTTATTAAAGGATCTTCCTGTCATCAAAGCTATTGCTATCATTAAAAATACGGTATTCTAGGTGTTGATGGAGATTCTCGATACGGCTAATTTGCTAAAGCTTCAATATGATACAGTATACAGTACACGACCATTCTACAGCATAATTACGATGTACGACTGGTGATGCACCTAACCTTGTCCTTGTATAAATATAGACGGCGCATAAAGGTGTACCGTAAATTGTTCTTTGCCAGCATGCCATAGATAGCCTTTCTTAAAACCTGCGGTGGGATAAGTATTGGTAAGCAGGAATGTTACATGCATTACAAAGGATTAAATGTGAGTAATTTATGTACATGAACTTCGAATACGATCAGCTTTTATTAAAATTGATACACATTTTACATGTGTTTGATATTGATAGCCTTATGAGATAGAAGGGAAAGAGAGGCATGATTGTCATACTTCTATGTCAAAAACTAGTATTATGGATGTTTGCAATTACTTTACTAAGATAGTAAAATGATACAACCAGTTCAAGAGGAAATAGTAACCCACCTCTCGGGGATCTTTTGCGTGGAGATCTTTGGCTTTAATTTCTTTCAAGCCACCAGGATATCTTGATTGTAATAAACGACAATATTTTAATCAAAAAACTGAACTATTCCAGCGAAATAAAGGTAAGCAATTAAAAGATAAGCTAGATGTATAGCCATAGCTATAAAATCATCTGAAGTACCCCGTATGATGTCGATATAACTTGTCATTCCACTTTTTGCCAGTGAATACAACATCTTGAGTGTTGACAATGACAACGAAATCTCCTACATCAGCTTTTGAATCAATACGAAGGGAGAAAAAAGTCAATTAAACCACTCACAATCTGCAACAATTTATTCTATATCATTTAACTAAACTATTACCGGCAGGATGATAGATAGGTTTGGTCTTTCCTTGCAATAATTTAACAACAAATGTAGCTAATCTCCCAACTTTTTGATCTTTGGCATCGATTAAATACCACATACGTGCATGAGTACGCAAACTCTGCAGAGTTGCATCCGTGTCGAAAGAGAAGTATAGGAGATTCTATTAGTCTCATCATGTATGCTTTTCTATCCAACTATCTCAACGCTGTAGTGCTTTCTATCTCTCTTTCATGAAGTATTAATGTAGCATGATTTCCTAGCTTACCTGACTAGCTCGATGAAAGGAAGACATATTGCATCGTGCGATGAACGGGAGAGCAAAGCTACCAGCGCGTCTAGTGCGGTACTATCGCTCGTGTACAGTACATGTACCGTACGTACAGTACTGTGACTCCATCGTGATCCATATGTACTGTACACTGTACAGTACAGTGTAGTGATCCATATTAAACATTATATTATCAACAACGCTGATGTACTGTATGTACAGTACTGTACAGCATAAGAAAAAACGCATCACATGTCTACACTGTACAGTGCAGTACTGTCAGCGTTACTGTACTGCGAGGTACTGTCCATCCTAGACGTCTGTACTTCTTTCCTAGTAACATACTGATTGCACTGATCGACCGACTATCGCTTGCACAAACAGCTGTCAACGATGCTTTCGCCATTTAAGATATTAAAAAGAAGATTGAATTTATTGAGATATTGAGAATGAGGAGAAGACCGGTACTTTTCCTCTACAAGAATGGACTGCTGTGCTTGATTGCAGTGCAATATAGAAAATCATTCCTCGTAGAATGAAAGCAACTATACATGAGTGTACTGTATAATTTCTTGTCCAATTTCACGATACTGTACTCTACTATTGCAATCGATGCAGCAAGTGTCGTCACAGTCCGCGAGCGTATGCTTGCATAATATCTCTTATATTAAATTGATGATGTGTTCGATCTGAGAAAGGTTCGGCTAAATGGAATGAAATTCGATATGTGAGAAATTACAGTATGTCCATTTAGGGATATTGCAATGGTAAATTGAGATACGAAAGGGACTACTACAATACATCTTTACTGCAACATGGAGAATACACAGTACTAGCCCAACTTATATACACTCTACAATTGGACAATGGATATGCATCGCTTAATAAATTGCAACTCGGTTGGATAAATTATGATTTCTCATGAACACTGCTATTGGGAATCGAGAATCGAAAGAAACCAATAGCTTGTGTATAGTAACGGCGTGCATTAGTTAATTGAAATATGACGTACTCGTCTGCATGAATAATTTCTCATAAACACTGCTATTGAAAATCAAGAATCGAAAGAGATCAATCGCATGTATATAGGAACTACGCACAGTACATTAGTTGAAATGAAATTTAATATATCCAACTCAGTCGTATAAATTATTCCTCATAAACACTGCTATTGGAAATCAAGAATCGAATGGGACCAATAGCATGTATATATAGTAACTACGTACATTGATTAAATTGAAATTTAATACAGTATATTAATTATTTGCTATGGGTAATACAATAGGAAATCGAGATAGAAAGTACTGATTTATACACGTTTATTTCCTCATTTTTCCGTCTATGGTATCATACGTTATACATTATATATAATTAAATATAATTATCAGGGCTATCTTGCACGCGATGACCTAGATTGCTTGGATTTTAAATTCACGTACTCTTTTCTATGAATATTGCGATAAAGAATCAAGACACGAACGAAATCTAGCCAGGAAATTGGAAGCGTCATTGCAACTACTACTGAACATAACGCCTATGTAATGGAGGACAATGAGATAGTAAAAAGTCTTTGCTTTATTAAAAAGAGTTTTGGTTAAGTTTACCATGCATTCTCTTTATTATGCGAAAGATTTATAAAATTATCAGGATCCAATAAACATGCACACTACAGTTTTTCGGTACGTGATCACGAGTTGTGCAATAAATGGTAGCCAGTTAAGGTACTACGCTATGTAGAAGTAAGACCGAATATAGCTATTTTCTGTAAATTAATTTAATCATTATTATCAAGAAAAAGGCATGTCAATAACAAGCGGATTAGTGTTGTGGCACTCTTTTCTTATTATTTTAAACTAGTCGAATCCTCGCTGTATACTGTACTTGCACTTTTACTCTATAATTAAAAAAAACCTTTAAATTTTAACAGTAGTTTTTAATAACGTTAGCAGCGGTACATCCTGCGGTATAACAACACTCTTCGTTTAGGTTTTTGAGAGAGGAAACGATAAATTTGGTCAGATAACCTAAATTAAAAGTAAATTAAAAAGAGGTAGATATTAACTTTACTTTGGCGTAGGCTTTGATATTTTTCGCATCATTTAAGATTAATTAGTTGGCATACAGCAGCTTACGATGTTCAACAGGAAAACTAGATCATGAATAAAGATCGATAATAGCGGAGCTATAAAAATTAATTTTTCCTTATGTGAAAGTAGTATTACAGATACACTGTACTTTATATTATCAGTCTATTTTATGTCAACGATCGTCTATTAAGTCGATACTAGGAATATTCGTTGGGTAAAATCGCAAACGATGAAGGGAAGCAAGTTTTTGGTATCATACTCATAATAAACGATCAATTTCGTACTTACGAGAATTATATGCTGACTTTCCATGTATAGGACAATGTTCTATCAGCCACTGAGCAACATCTGGAAAGCAAAACTTTCTAACAGTTTCTCCCTGCAAGCCAGGTACTGTTATCAATATTAAGATTGCCAGGCAATATCCTATAGCTTTATAGCTAAAAAAATAGTAATTGTTATCCTCTTACATGAGAAAAAAGATCACAATGTATCTCATCTGCTTTCTCCTACTGTCAATAATGAATCAGAAAGTTAGTGTATACTGTGTTTGGTCAGTTAAGACAGCTGAGAAATCGATGTTGATAAATATCGAAAATCATGCGATAGAATTAATACCGTAATTGTCCTACGGTGAAACAGAAATAACAATATAATCTCTTACTACCGCCAGGGACTATTCGCTACTTTTTGTTTGGAGTTAAAGCCATAACAGGCGATCCTGATTCGATTATGAAACTATCATTATGCTTGCTAGCTACTTAATATGGTAGGAAATAACGTATAGAGTCTAAATTTGCTATAACAGCTTTAAGTATAATACCATTTGTACCCTAAATTATCCGAAAAATGCTATAATATGTTTTAATGATGCATTTTACATTTAAGCTTCTTCGGTGTGTATAGCTTACCGCATTATTACCAACTTTGTTCTTATAATTCAGTTGATTTTACTACACAAGAATCAAGTGCTAATCCTCTAAATGATTGTTAGAAACTTTTCTCCTTTTATATTAAATCATGTTAGAAAAAGAAAGAATTTTGACTATTCATAGAATGACATATTCCCTAGGATATTTGAATGGTCGTTCATTAGTGAACATTATTGCGTATCGTTTTGAATAATGATTCATTTTTTTAGAAACGTGCAATAATTTCAGCTAATTACAGTAATTATGTGTTACGAAATACGGCGATAGTATGTGGTGTAGAGCTGAATGTCAATAAAGTAAGTGTTGATTAAGTTAAAACTCATACGCTAAATAAAGGTTATGTAATGGATTAAGTATCAAAATGGCAGTATCGAAAGTGAATTGTGAATTGTTAGGTTAAAAACAAGGAAGTAATTTAAGACTGTCATTAATAAGGAGACGTTTCTTATGGATTTATTATAATCTAAATGATAATCCTTTCGTTCTAATGGATAAGCATTCGTTCGCAAATACATAGTGCTCTAAAATTATCCCTTTTGAATGAACTTTCTTGCCTACATCATGTTAAAGAGTTGATACCGTACTATGATACCCGTCAAAGTGAAGAAGCCATTTAATAATTCAATATCAAATAATAATATACAGTAATAGTCGAATACTCGTAGCATCGAAAACCCTATAGTTCATATTCTTAAAATGACGATAACTCAGGTAATAGTTAAAAAATAACTGATCTTTTAGCTATTCAAAATGTTGTCTATGTTAATCTAAAACCTACTTCTGTACTGATACATATGTCTAGTACGTGAAGCGTTAAAATAAATAACCTAAAATACGTGGTGCCTGTATACGATTCTATGCTATCAGTAATATTCGTAAAGATATAGGATCGAGCCGATTCATGTACACTTAATCAGGCCGCATATTAAATCTTAATATAATTCAAGAATTTTATAGTAAAAATTAAATCGATATAAGTATCATTTTTGACTTTAAAGTACAATTGCGTACAGAAAATATTCCTAAAGAACAAATGTAAAGCTACCAAAGCATTGCTTCTTTGATAATCAAGGCTAACGATAAAAAAAAGTTTTAATTGTGATTAGTATTATCATAAATAAACAAACATAAGGTTACCTCGTGATCGGCCAGATTAATAAGCTTCAATTGCAAAGGTTCGTTCGTATTTTCCAAGGTAAGTAATTTATTCTCGAAAGTGCAACACACCTTTGCTTGTATTAATTAATTTACTATCGTTCGATCTTTTTAATAAAATTATAAAACCCTTTTATATAGTAATTATGTTAATCGATTTTCAATTATATAACAGGAGGAATTATTAAAGCTATAGTACAGCGATAAGATTAATAAAATTATAAACCCTTATATGTAATGATTACATTAATCGACTTTCAATTACATAATAGGAAGAATTATCAAGGTGATAGTAAAACTTGGTGTTCGTATTACGATCCCTTATTCCATGAGTATACGGTATGTTCGTATTAGAAATAAAATATTATTAAAAATTGCATAAGTGCATTGGCAACGTGATTAATAGCTATTCCCGTAGTATAAAATTCCATGTTATAGACTGTCGAATTGACGTATATACCTGTCACGGTACGCCGTTACTAATTAAGTAACTGTAAATTAATGAATGCTTATGAATAGATAAGATAAGGTTATGTGCTATGTTTTAATGCGCTTGTAGCTGATAATAGGATGGTAGAAATGAGATAAAAATAGAAGTTGTTAGCAGTTAATTTACTGTAGGTTTATAAGGTGTGTTAATCTCTAAAAATTGAGCTGTATATGGACGAAGGTTAAGCGTCTTAACACCTGATAGCTTGTAGCTATCTAAGTCTGAGAATATCGACATGTATATTTAGTAATGGTATTATACTAATTAATGTAACTTATAAAGCATGAATTCTCACTCGTTAATATTGGGATTCACTGTAGAAACCTATTTAAGCGCGTGTGTTTGTAGAATAAAGTAAGT